ACCGAATTCCGCATCAGGTGTCCGAGGCTAGCAGCCTCTGACCTATTAGAGCAATGTAGGTAAGGGAAGTCGGCAAAATAGACTTGTTGCTTCGGTGGATAGGTTGGCTCTTGTAGTGATGTTCATTGGCTACTACATGAAGTCTGGCGCCGCAAGGTCATGCAGGTAGGGGTGGACTGGGCTCTCGGGTCCAGGTAAGCCTCTATTTGCTGCTGGATGTAGTGTAGTAGCAGGCTTAGCAAACTTGTTTGCGAGGTCGCACAATGGACGTTTAGTCACATTACGAGAACTCATGGAGTCTAGGGGAATCCAACTGTTTAATTAAAACAAAGCAAGGTGTCCGAATCGTAACGGTCCTGCACACCTTGTGATTTCTGCCCAGTGCTCTGAATGTCAAAGTGAAGAGATTCGATCAAGCACGGGTTAACGGCGGGAGTAACTATGACTCTCTTAAGGTAGCCAAATGCCTCGTCATTTAATTTGTGACGCGCATGAATGGAACAATGAGATTCCCACTGTCCCTACCTACTGTCTAGCGAACCTACAGCCAAGGGAACGGGCTTGGGTTGGTTAGCGGGGAAAGAAGACCCTGTTGAGTTTGACTCTAGTCTGGCGTTGTAGAATAACGAAGGAGGTATAGTATAGGTGAGTTTTGTGATCAGCGTTCTGAATTCTCTTCCACACTCGAGGATGTATTTCTTTATTTTAAGGCTGGTTTTGAGGCATGCTGAGGAGCTTTATTGTCGAGAGAAAAGCCATCAAAAGCAGAATTGCATCAATGGCTTCACATCATTTATTGACAACCAGCTTACAACAGGAGACTCTCAACTGTATTGGTTACTTATATCAGATTTAAGAGGATGCTGATTGGATATTATAATAAAATCTATCCATGTATTTTGAGGGATGGGACAAATTCACCATCATTAATGATATTCAATTTGGTTGAAGAGTGCACTGCAATACTCGTTAAAGAAGCTTCTTTCTTTGAACCTGAAAAGAGATATTCCGAAATCTCCAAATGTTCATCAAGCAAATAATTGACTCGGAGTTCCTCATAAAAAGTTTTCGGAGTTTGATCCGATTCAACATCTCCATCCAGGCTCAACCTCCAAGACACACACTGAAATCTCCATCCTGGTATCAGTTGTACTACTACTGACTCCACTTCTCCTATTTGGCGTTGAACGGCGAGATGAGGTCAAGGTGTCGCTTTTCCAGTTGAAAAAAATGCGAAGAGGTAAGAAGAACAAAGCTTAATGAACGAAATATAACTCTCTGATGATGATGATTGATATACCCTTGATGTCATCAACCTCCTGTGATGCGCATCCACACGGCAAATATTCATGCGATGAATCTGCTCATGGAATTCGACATGTGTAGTTTCATCCATGTCTAAGAGTTCACAAGGGACTCTCTTGACACTGGTCGTCATTCTCTCTCTTGTGTTGACCAATCATTATTGTCATGCAAACATTCAACATGGTATGACTGAGTACGCAATGAACGAGGTTACCTATGACTTTTCCAATACTGTGAACATTTCAGATGCCTCAGGGAATGGACTTGTGAATTATCCTCTCCAAATAGGAAGACCATTCTTGAAGGGTGAAATCCCAACAGGTTTTGTTCCAGGCGTGAAATTGAATGGAATGCTCCTTGATTCACAAGCTTAAATTACTACTCGCTATGAGGATGGATCTGTTCGTTTTGTACTTTCTACAGTATTACCAAAAATTGAAAAAGGAGGAAATGCCACTCTGTCATTGGTTCCTGTTGTGAAGAGTGCCTCATTAAATCCATGCTCTATCTCTGAAATGTTCACTGCAATACCAGATGCAGACATTTCCATTAGCTTGTCTGGAAATGGAACGATTGCCACAGTGAGCGCCAGAAATCTAATTTCACAAAATTTATATTATTGGAACATTCAACAAGGAAACATTCGATGTGAACTCGTAGTGACTGATCATATCACAAGAAAGGCGGATTTTGGCTTGAATGGTCCCAAATCATTTCGACCTATTTTTTATTTTGAATTTTGGAGAAGTATCAATCGATTAAGAGTGAGAGCTGTTTTGGAAAATTCAAATTTAGACACTTTACAAGATGTCATGTATAACGTGACCATTTCGAAAGGATATTCATCACCCTCGTTGGTTTATTCTCAAAATAATGTTCAACATTTATTTGGTGCAAGATGGACAAGAATATTTTGGTTTGGAGGTCAAGATCCTGAACCTCGTGTGAATTTCAATTACAATCTTGACTACTTGAGTGCCACTTTTTTCATTCCAAACTATCCTCGGAATAATACTCAAAAGGAAAGTCAAATTCAAAATTATTACTATTATTGGACTCAAAAACCAAAAGGTGTCATGGAAGCTGGATATTGGACTCCTTACATGCCTACTACAGGCATGAGAGATGATATTGGCATAATGCCTGAATTTGTTCATGCCTGGTTGACTTTGGGAGATTGGCGTTATCGTGAAATTTCACTTGTGAGTGCAGATTTAGCAGGTGGATGGAAATGCCATTTTCGTGAAGTGGATCCTCAGCTCTATTTCGACCGAAATCAAACAGTTCCAGCCATTGGTAAACCAATATCACTGAATGCACATCCAAGTTTGTGGTTTCCAGATAACGCTGGAAAATATTATGGGGCACTTAATGTACCTCAATTACCAAATGCAAAGAATTGGGTCTTTGATGGTGCCCATCAGCCAGACCCTTTCTCCATTCCTTATATTTTGACAGGAGACTCGTATTATTTAGAATCCTTGCAATTATGGGCTGCAAGTGGAGTCATGAGACTCAATAATGGTCAATATGGAAGAGGAATGACAGGTTATGGAGGAATTAATGATCAAGTGAGAGGACAAGCTTGGACATTCCGTACACGTTGTTTTGCTGCCTTGTTATCTCCTGACAACTCTCAACCATGATTACCATCTTAGGTATGATGAGAGATTTGGGATTTCCAACGCATGAAATTTTGAAGGAATATCACCACTCACGTAGGATCTCCAAATTATGATCCTCGTTATATGGGTTATTACTGGGCCTATGTTATGAACTCTAATTTCACGTGGTATTCCACATGGGCTGAATTTAAAACTCAAGATGATCTTGTTCAAATGAGTAGTTCTGTTTCAGCAGTGAATCAATTCGAAACTGGAGGATTCTATGCCATTGCAGCCACTTGTGCGAGTTCCTTCACAACCATGTATCCAAATGGACCTGAAACTTGGGAATTCACACGTTCCTCTGTTTATGACAAGATTGATATGAGTGTCAATTACAGATCATTCAAAGTGTGTCCGAGAACTTTTGCACCTCCTCAACCACCACCATTACCAACACCAAAACCAATACCACCACCCTCTCAACCATCATCCAAACCAAGTTATAATGGAACAGCACGAGCCTCAGACGCTTCGAAGAGATTTGAAAGATTCAATTGGGATGGATTGATGAATCGTATAGTAGTAGTTTTGGCAGTTTGTAGCCATGTTATAATAAATTAAAACTTGAGTTATAATTAATTGTTTTCTTTCGCAATGGCCAACCGCATGATGTTCAAAGATGCTGATGCCTTTTATTAAATAACCATCAAATTCAAAAAGGCAGACAGAAGTCTAAAATATACATTAATCTACAGTTTAACGGCAATCAGATTGCATTTACAAAGTTTTAGTTATGCAATAAATCAACAATTACTCGTTGAATGTCACCATTGTACTTCTTTAGCAATTCAAGGCAACGACGTTCGTCAAAGAACCCCATTTCCTTCAACAAAATCAATTCAGTGCTATAAGGAACAACAGTTGGTTGTTGCTCTGGTTCAGCTGGTGATTGAATTAAGACAGGATTTAAAGGGTGTGGCATTTGAGAAACTGGAACTTGTTGTTGGACAACTGGAGGTTGTTCAATCACTTTAGGTTCCTCAGCAACTGGTTCCTGTTCGACAACAACTGATTCAACAGACACTGGTTGCTCTTCAGCAACTACTTCAGGTTGCTCCTCAGTCTTTTCATACAGTTGATTGTCAACAATTGTCTCTTCTTCAGGAGTGCTATTGCTATTGCTCTCTTGTTGTCCTTCGAACAAACGATCAAGCCATCTTCTGCCTGGGGCAAATCTCTCAGTGAAAGTGTGGTGTCCACCATAGTGGTTGGCTCTTTCAGTCTCGTAACACTTTTCACAGAAATCGAAATCTGGACATTGGTCACACTTAAATCTTCTTCCAACGAAAGCATACTCTCCACATCCATCACAAGTGACACCATAATGTGGCATTTGAACCTTGTCCAAATGCTTCAAAATGTTACCACTCTTCAAGTCGTTAACGTCAACGTCCAATTCCAACACAGCATCACCAGTATTTTCATCCTTTCTGAAAAGATAAGGACATCTACGGTGTTGTTGTTGCTTGAATGGACAATTTCCTCTTCTCCATCTGTGACAGCGTCTGAATGGACATTCTTGTTGAGGTTCTGAAGTCTTTGCTGGTTCCTCCTGTGACTTGATTTGAATAACTGCTAATTTGAGCACTGGACGATTGTGGCTCATCTTTCGCGCAGATTGGAAAGTTTGAATGGCGAATTTCCATTCTTCCTCGCTGGACACATCAACCCATTGATTTTCATCATCAAGGTAACGAATGATAGCCTTCTTAGCACTGACTCCACACTTTTCAGTGATGTATTGAATCAATTCGTTGTAACCGAATTTTGCAAGACTCACAATATTTCTTCGGATCGTGCGAGCATCCTTCTCTTCCAAGCAAGAGGTAATTTCCTCCTTCTTCTTTTCAAAGATGTAAACCTTTACATGTTGTTGTTGTACTTCGAAAGGTTGAGGAGAAATCAGCATGTTTGTATTGTTATTGGCGGTTGGTTGGATGGTTTGATAAATGGTGTTTGTGCTAGCAGGAACAAATTGACCAGGATGATGATACATTTTTTTTTAGATTGTTGTTGTTCTTCTTGAGAGATGTCTTCAGTTTTTTGATTGCCACAGGCAAGGTTGCATTTTAAAAATAGGAAAGGAATTGTAAAAAGTTCGGAAATTGATGAACACACACATTTTCATAAATAACCATGCGTGATAGATCTCAGTTATGAGGGTCCATCAAACTTTCACAGCTTGTAAAGTTTCAAGTTGCTTTTTTGAGGTTCTTCATGAATTCACTTTAAAAACATTCGAAAGAAATTGAAGAAACAAATTCAAATATTGGAATGCAGAATAAGAAATCTTGTGACAGATAGGCACCACAAGATTATTAATTATCTGACTTTAAATTACTCTGAAATTTTAATTCCGCAATTTAATGTGCGGCAAATGATATCAAAAAAAGAAATGTGGGAAGAAAAATTTCTCGAAAAACAGTCGTCAAATGTTGAGATTTCGACACTACGATTTCAGACAAAAACTTATTGAGACGGCTCGAATGCGCGCATGCAAGCCGCATGTTGTCACTGAAGAATATGCTTCCAAATCATGTGGATGGCGTAATGTGATCAAGGATGATTTATTTGGAAGAAAATGGTTCCATTGCAATCAGTGTCACTTGCACAAACCAAGAGATGGTAATGGCGCTCGAAGTATTTTCATTAAGAACTATCATCATTTGTTGATGTGATTCTGAAAGTTGAATGTTCGAGAGTTGACCAAAATTTTCGCATTTGTTGACTCGGTTTAGACATTGATAGCAATCTTTAAATTTGTGATTGTCATTCTGTTTAGATGATAATTCCATCTCTCCTTCGAGAGATGTGTTCGAAGCACTCAATTACACCAGCCTCATATCAATGATGTGTGGGTGTGGTGTCCTCTCCGAAAGTAAGTACTTCCAATGATTGGGGCTATTACATGAAGAACCCTCAAGGTTATTCCAACATTTATTGAAACATCCTGGAATAAAAAGAAGAGTACAAGTCGTTAAATATCTGAAGGTTCGTTCTTTCAGAGTTAGATATTTTCAAGCTCGGTTTTTCCATATTCAACCCTAGAGCCTATTCTTAACTCCTTTGTGGCCAATTATAAGTATAGATGCACCCAACAACATATTCAGCGAAAAAAAAAGAATCAACAACATTTAGTTTTCACAACACTACTTGTCATCGTCAGCAACGTACTCGGGCAGAATATCGTGCCAATATTCTTTCGAGCCTCCTCTTCTAAGAATTTTGTAACTGTACAAACAATAACAAGGAAAATGTCGGAAAATCATTCCACTCCACATCGTGATGATGATAAAACCCAAACGGAAAATCTTCATCATCATCATGATGACCATTGCATTACGTGTGAGTCTCATCATTCTATCCTCTGGCCAACTCATCATACCATCTCTGAATTACTCACCAAACTCAACAACAAGGAAAACAATGATCAGATTCTTGACATGAAACAACCACAAGAACAACACGACACGAATCATCATCAAATAGGCTCTCCCAATAGTGGTGATGAATCTTTTGAACAACTCGCCTCTCCAACAACCATGGCAGCCCATCAACTACTCTCCAAGAAGAATACCAAACGCGGAATTGGTCTTTGGAAAAAGACTCCAACCCCCTCATCATCATCACAGCCTCCATTGGTTCAGAATGTAGTTCAAGTACTCTCAAAAGCTCAACACAACCACACAAGCAACGATGAAGCCGAAGATGTGAATGTGGACAGTTCGGGCTCTTCCTCACCCGAAGATGAGGTTCTTCCTCACAATTATCATCCCTTTGGCACTCCGGAGCCTCTCATTTCAACGACACCTAAGGATCACAACACATCGTCCTTGACAAAATCCTTTTCATTTCACTCCAAGCAAACACCGGGCGAAAAACCACAAGTGGTCTTTGTTCCTCACACAAAAGAGAATTCACAACATTGTTTTCATACGAGTGTGGATGAGGAGATGGAGTCCTTCGCTGTTTATGATCAGTTGTTAAGTAATAATATTGAATATGTGAGAGAGAAGACCAAAATGGATCCTGAATATTTCAAGAAACATAAGGCAAGCCAAAGTCCAACTTTTTTACTTATTGGCTGTTCGGATAGTAGAGTTTCATGTGAGAATATTGTGAAGGTAAGTGTTAAACATGCTTATCATCTGTGTGTTAACACATGAGTTCAATAATTAATGACACTTTAGCTTGATCCTGGTAAAATGTTTATTCACAGAAATGTGGCTAACTTGGTTGTAAATACCGATTTGAATCTAATGTCAGTGTTGCAGTATGCTGTTGAGGTTCTAAATATTAAGCACGTAATTGTCATGGGACATACAAGGTAGGTGGTGTTATAAATCCAAAATTTTGGACATTGTGACACTTTTGAAATTTTATTACAGATGTGGAGGAGTGAAGGCTGCATTGGAAAACACATCACACGGATTGATTGACAAATGGTTGAGAAATATTAAGGACGTCTATCGGTTGCATAAACAAGAAATTGATGCCATTCAAGACGAAGATAAAAGATGGCAAAGAATGATCGAGTTGAATGTGATTGAACAGACCTTAAATATTTGTAAAACTTCCATTATTCAAAAAGCATGGGCAATGGGTAAGTTAACATGTTTTTCCTTCCTTTGAAGAGCTCATAATAATGTTTTCAAAATATTTCACATACATAGGCAAACCAATTCACGTGCACGGATGGTAAGTAAAGTATATAGCAATTTGGGGGACACATCATATCTTTGTAAAGGGTATATGATATTAGCACGGGGTTAATTCAAGATTTGGAAATTGAGGAAAACTTATGGGCACCCATCGAGAGTATTTATCGCATCGAGTTCCCAAATCTTCAACATTCAGATGAATAACCATGTTTGAGATGTAAATAATAGTGATATTGATAGTAAAGGTTTAACTAACATATTCAAATATGTTTCACAAATGTTGGTCATTGAATTGTTGTGTTCAGTTGTCCAGATTCTGGTTGTCTCCATGTCTTTTGAAAACAAAAAAATGAAACGAAATTTGATTGTGAGGAGTACACGTTCATGTGGAGGTTTGAAGTCATCATCAGGTTCTTGTTTCTCCAAACTGGCTATAAAACAGGCCAACTCTTTTCATTCAACAATTTCCTCCGAAACAAAAAGCACATTTTCAAATTTGAATTATCAAAATATGATCGGAGCAAACTTCTTTTCAACATGGCTCGGAGCAAGCCCTATGAATAGGATGACAGCAACATCTGATAGTGGAACAGTAACTTCTACACCCTTTTTGGAGAGAAAACCCTTGGAGGAACAATTTATGAAATTGTTTTATTCCTCACAACCTCCATCAGACAAGAAACATTCCGGTATTCTATTGCTCGGACCTGTAGGATGTGGTAAAACTATTTTTATGAGAAAGATGGCTTCCAAAATTCGAGAACAGGATAATTTATTAATTGGAAATGATGATAACCACCGTGTGGTCATTGAATTTGGAAGTTGCAAGGAATGGGTCAACAATACTTTCGTTTCTGATTCTAATGCCCAAAAACCTGCTTGCGTACATTTTGTGAGAGTACTGTTAGGTGAAATAGAATCAGAATACGAAAGATATTTGAGAAAGTTTAGACTCATGGAAAAAGTAGAGGCTGAGAAGGCAAAAGAACACCAATTGTCACTAAAGGAACAGTCAGAATCTTCATCATCCCAACCAATGTCATCCAGTAATGAAGAGGATGATGACAACACACCTACAGATATTTCTGGACTTCGAGCAGCTGTTCAGGTACTTGAGGCTTGGAAAGAATATCTACAAGAGCTCTATAACGTGAGAGACGAACTACCACAAAAAGATTTTATTGGCTCATTATCTAAGTTTACCAGCCTTCTTGCAGAAAATACCTTCATGAAAACTATAATTATGTATGATGACTACGAAGCAATTTTCCAGCATCCAAAAACTAATAAGGCCATGTTTACCATTTATCCATTTTTTGAAGCAGTGAAACCCACGGCTATGTTCAAAAATGTGGATTTTGTCTACGCCGGAAATGAAGATACAAATCTTTTTAAATACACAGTTACCTACCGAGGACAGTCGGAAAAACACAAGCTATTGAAGATTGGAAGGCTAACGAATGAAGAAGTTGATAAATTCTTGGAAAAATACCAGAAAGTGAACGAAAGCCCACTATTTGCTCGTTCTGACGAAATTAAGAGAGTCACTGGCAATTTCATTGGCGATATTGTGAGATTGTTGAACAATTATTCATCATTGGAAGACTACATTCGAGATAAGACATTGGAATATGAATCAAAGTTAGTGAAATCAATATTTGAGGCTAGATTACAGCAAGTTAGGCAGAGATCACAAATCGAAAGACAACAAAATTTATTGGAAAACAAGGAATTTTCAGACATTTCAATTGAACACAAGCCATTTACTATTGGAGGTGTCACATTTAACAGCCAGGAAGAGGTGACAATGTGCTTAGATAACGATAGGTTAATGCTCTACAATAATGCATTTGATTGGTATTTGACCAGAAATGACACTACTGAACGATATAGCTCGTCATTCTTGGAATCTGTACTTTTGGATTCAGGAATTTGGTACAGAGTTGCGTCAGAGTTAGGAACTCAATACAAATTCAGAAATCCAATGGCAGAGAACGTTTTCAAACAAAATTTAGCTAATCATTTGTATGCGACGAAATTCAATTTACATTCCAATCGATCCGATAGAATAATGACTCTGTGGTCTACAAAGGCAACTTTCCCTAAAAAGAGAAATGCACTGCTCTATGAATTGTTAGCTCGACTCCTTGAAGACCAATCTCAAATTATTGGAACTGTGCAATATACTGCTGGAAAAAAACTAGAATTATTGAAAGAAAAAATTAAGGAGCAAGAAAACAAAAAACATCGATCAAAAATTGATGAATTGTTAGAAAAACCACCCACCTTGGACATGAAAGGTCTCTCTATTTGCTTAAATCAGCCCAGCCCTCTCTTATTTATTTTTGCCAGAGAATTGTCAGATATGAATAAGGGCATGAAGATTGCGCTCAAGGATGAAAATCCACCATTTGAAGTGGAAATTTTTGAGGCCTCCAATGATGCCTCTGTTGGAGATATGGTTAAAACTATTTGCGAGCAAGAGGCGTCACTTTCCAAGTTAAACGTTGTGTTTCCAAAATACAGCGTTTACAACGATTTTGATCTTGTGGTCTTCTCTACAAATTCCCAAACTAACACGTTGAACGTTTTTACTTTCAGAATAGTTGAAGGTAATGGCTTTGGAAAGAAGCCAGTTGAATTCCATGATGAAGAAAACATTAAGAAGTACGCCTCTCTCATTTCTTCGTTAAAGCCAAAAGGAGTACAAACTGTCAATCACCATTTTGCATTGTTAGCACTCGAAAAGAGTCACATGAATGTGAAAAATTACAACTTGTTCATGCCAGAAGATCTTGCTTCCCATTTTTCTAAAGTTACCATTTCATACATTGAGGATTATTTCACCGAAGATGTTGAGAGAATCTCTCAATATGCTTCTTATCTTAAACAATTAGAGGAAGAATTAGAAAGAGAACAAAATGATGAGTTAAACTTCAGAGACCCTAATACTGTGGAGGCAATGATGTCACAAATGGGCCACAAAGACTTACCATGGTACGATAAGCTCGACATGTAAATATCGATGGATCCTCTCGGCATTAATGAAAATGAGCCAATATTTACAACATTGTTACATCATTGTCGCCAGACAAGGGCAAAACTCTTTTTTTCGTCAATTTTCCAAAATTGATTCCTTTTGTGTATTAAAAAATTTTTCAGCTTGCTTTCATCATCGTCATCCTCGCCACAAGATCCTTTCAATTTTGCTAAGCCAAGCTATCATCATCCCGAACATAAATCACGAAGGATCAAGATATTAATATATTATTGATTCAAAAACATCCGAACCGATTGTTGTTATTTTCTTTTTCTTGTTCGTGTTCTGATCTTTTGTAATAATTATTGGTCATCATCCACTGTTGATAGTAGGAAGAAGGTGTACGATCAAAGCCATATTACATAATCAATTATCCAAAATTTACACGTATATTATCATCCTTTAAATCCATCAGCATTTGCTATTTTACATTGTAAACTTCGTTCATGCCCGAAAGAATGATTTCATCGTCCAGTAGAAGCAGTATGAGTAGTAGCACAAGCTCAGAGGAGCCTCTTGTGATTGATGAAGACTTTATCAATCAAGTTGAAAAACACTACCGAAAGTCCCTTAAAAACATTCCGTTTCAATACATTGTAGGTGTTGATGTGGGAGCCACCAACACAAGAATTGCCATTCAATTTATCATCAATGAAGACCAAGACGATGAAGTATTCATGACCAAGTTCCCATGTAATACTTCCACTCATTTGGCAAATTATCTTGCAGCGTATGGAAAGGCTATGGTGAAAGCTGTCGGAAAGGGAAGTGCTGCTGGTTCTATTGCCCTCGCAGGTCCAGTCACTGGAGACAAAGTAAGAATTACAAATTACAAGGAACATGACCAAGAGTTTTTCTATTCACAACTTCCAGATACATTGTTCCCAGCCAGTAAGAATACTTTTTTGAACGATCTTGAAGCGAGTTGCTACGGAATTATTAATGTTGGAACGAACAATCGTTTACATGAATTCTTCTGCCCAATTGATGCTTTGAATAATTATGCAACTTCACAAACTGTACGACTTTCTGATACCAGTGAATGTAAGTATACCTATTGTGTGTATTAATTCAATTCGTTATCATTGAATATGTGATGAATATAATATTATTGTTGAAAATGGTTGTTAAACACCTTGTAGATGCTGTGTTGGCGATGGGAACTGGTCTTGGAACAGGATTAATTGTTGGTTCTGCTGGAGGAAAATTCAATGTCATTCCTCTCGAAGCAGGACACGTGCATATTGCCACTCCTGGCGTAAATAGTGAACATTTCAAGGAAGAACGTGAGAGAATTGAATTCTTGAGCCAAAAAATTTATGGAGGTGCCTATCCAATTGAGTATGAGGATATTTGCAGTGGAAGAGGTTTAGAATTTTGCTATGAGTTTGAAATTAGAAATGATCCAAATGCTGTAAGAAAAACAGCTTCTCAAAGTAAGTTATTGCTATACACACAGATTAAGGTCGTAACGATTGATTCTTTTTTTTCACAGTTGCCGAATCTTACTCCACTGACACATATGCAAGACAAGCCATGATTACTCATTATCGATATTTAATGAAGGCCGCTCAAAATATTGCAGTTCTCATTCCAACCTGTCGTGGAGTTTTCTTCGCAGGTGACAATCAAGTATTTAATGAAGATTTCTTTAAGGAACATCTTTCTATCTTACAAAAAGAACTCTTCCAAACACACCAAAAGAAACATTGGCTTACTGATTTGAAGCCATACAGACAAATGAAAGAATACAACTTTAATGTGAAGGGTTGTCTTCAAAAAGCAAGAGAATTAGCCCAACTTGGTTCTACTACCATGGTTGATGAAAAGCCAAAAGCTGGACTCAAAGATGTTCTTTCTGTGGCCATACCAACTGCTTTCTTCTCAGTCCTTTCATTCTTCACTGCTAAGAATTTGTATGAAAAGTAACATTTTAAGATTTTATATGAAAATTAATGTTTATGATGAAGTGAACGCAATCCCCTCTTAGATATGTACGAATAAATTATTGAGGCACACACGACACGTGATTTCTTTACACACAGCTCTTCTCAGATCATTCCATATGTGAGTGCTTTTTCATATTGTGGAGCATCATGACAAGAGAGCTGTCTCCTTGATATATCGACTGTTGATTGGTGTCTTGCCAGCTTTCAATGTTTTTAGAAATTGATCTTCTTCTTTGAAGTGGCCTCTACTTGCTTGTCATTCTTCTCTTCAGTAGCGTTCTGTCATGCTCTGCAAGCAAAACGATCAAAATGGTTTTTGCCAAGCAATACAACACTGAACACACGAACAAGGTGATGCAGACACAAAAGCCAGCGAAAAATCCTGCAGACGCTGCATAATAAGCTTCTTCATCCTCTTTGCTATGTTTTGAATTTCGTTGATTCCATCGTTGCCAAACATGAAGTGCGAGAAAGATGATACTCATCACAAAAGATGCCATCACGATCAAAGAAGAGACTGAAATTTGCATGAAAAACGTCTTTCTCTCCTCCCGAACCTTATTGATGGTATGTTCCTCACTCACAGCATATTCATCCAATTCCTGTTCAACAATTTTGCCTTTACTCGGAGTGTGTTGGATCACCTTCACTTTGAAATTGTCATCATCGCTTGGGCTCATCATTTTTTTTGGGTTGTTTTAAAAAAATCAGTAAAAGCGGTTGGCGGGCATTCACGAGAGATAATTTTGTGCTTTCAGAGAGCAGAATTTCGAATACAGCAATTCCCTCTCTGGATCTCAATGATGAAAAGTAAAAAAACCAGATGCACTTGTCATGACCATTCCAGCTGGGTTGGATCAACTGACATTCGTCTTAATGAAGGAAAACACCAAAATAGAAAATTCACAAAATTCCTGAAAAGAAAATGTAAAGTGACCAGTTTTGTACATTTGACAATCCAGTAAAAGAAATTTCAATGTGATTGCTGCATTTCACAAGCAAATATTATTTTGAAAAATTACTGGAAATGGTCGAATATAAACTTCAAGAACCTCCATATGTGCCTTGCCAAGAGCAAGTGAAGCCTCCACTCTTAGATCAAGGACCTTCAAACTTGGTCACAACCGACGAAGAAAATATCACTTCTGATAAGGATTGGATCTCTCGTGACAGACAGTGTGTCATTCACGGTCATCAACACCATGTAAATCCAAGAGATTCTGTGATTTTCCAAAAAGCATTTGGTACTTCATATTGGGATGTAAATAATGTTGAATACATCGACATGATGGGTGAGTAGAATTTTAAACACGAACGGAATATTCACCATTGTCATATCAATTAAGGTGGTCTTCATAACAATCACGTGGGTCATGGAAGAGAGGAACTTGCAAATGTTGCAGCCAATCAAATGAAGCAAATGGAATTCTCCTTAAACGTTGCTTCGTATTCACATGTGTGCGTGATTCAATGTGCTGAGAAAATTCTTTCCATTGCCAAAACTGAATTACCCTCCATGGACAAGGTGTACTTTACAAGTGGTGGAAGCGAGGCAGTGGAAAGTGCCATTCATTGTGCTCTTAAATATTGGCAATTACAAGGAAAGGACTCAAAAAGAAGAATTATCTCCTTCAAAAATTGTTATCATGGATCTACTTTCATTTCATCCTCTCTCAATGAGTCCATGAAAGAAGAATATGGACTGGAAAGAGTCTCAAAAGAACAAACTAGTTGTTTGAATGTTGACTTTCCTCATGACTTGGTCATTAATAAGGACTCCCATGGCAAGCAGCATGTCAATAACGGATTTTACGTTGCAGAGCAATTAGAAAATTTGATAAAGCAAGTGGGAGCAGACAATATTGCTGCATTCATTGCAGAACCTATTCAAGGGTCTGGAGGGGCGCTAGAACCTCATCCAGACTTCTTCCCTCTATGTAAAAGAATTTGTGACAAGTATGGTGTCCTACTCATCATTGATGAGGTCATGACAGGATTTGGTAAAACAGGTAAATGGTTTGCCATTAGTCATTCCAATATTGAGCCAGACATGATTGTGTTCGGTAAGGGTGTCACGAGTGGCTACGTCCCATTAGGAGGAATAATCATTTCCAAAAACATTTTCGAATGTGTATTCAAATCTGAGGAAACATTCTTGCATGACTATACCTATTCTGGGCACCCTGTTTGTTGCATGGTCGCTCTCAAAAACTTGGAAATTATTGAAAATGAAAAACTCATTCAAAGAGCCAAAGCCATGGGTGATCAGTTCAGAAATATTTTGGCAGAACGATTGAGAGACTGTCCACTCTTTGCAGGTACCTCGGGAATGGGCCTCTTGATCGGAGTCATGTTGAAAGAGAAGGTATCTTCCAAAGTGGAGCATTATCTTTCTCATCATTGCCATATTCTTGCAGATCATTGTGCTCAGAATGATAAAGTAGTGATCATGACTCCTCCCTTCATCATTGAAGAAGATAGGCTTAACATGGTTGCCAATGGCTTTTATGATGCTCTCCAATCCGTTGGTTCTTCTCAGAGCTCTTCTTCTGTTGGTCCTTCAAAATCCGATGAATAATTAACGATGAATAAAATCATGGTCTTTTCGTCATCATGACAAAATGCGGAACATAAATGAACATTTTTTGTTGTGGTTTCGCCTCAAAAGAGTTTTCATCAAAGGCGAAATAGTCAGCGGAATAAATATCTTGAACTTCCCAACACCAATTTCTTGGAAACAAGTTCTTCCGCACAAAGACCCTGAGCAAAACAATTCTCTTGCTGATGGACAAAAATCAAAGAAAAATCCTCTTACGTACACACACAGGTGCTGAACTCTAGTTCTCCGAATCATCATGAAGATCGCAAACAATATTACTGAATTGATTGGCAATACTCCATTGTTGTATTTGAACAAGTTGGCCAAGGAGAATGGCGCTGTAGCAAAGATTGCCTTGAAATTGGAATCCATGGAACCTATGGCTTCCGTCAAGGGTAAGTACGCGTAACTAAATCATCATGCTGTCTTGAATCATTATGGAATGTATGATTGATCGGGTGAATGAATTTGGAACTGATCCTCCTGTTGGTGAATTATTACATTTCGATCACTCACAAAAAGATCGAATTGCCTTGTCCATGATTGAAACTGCTGAAAAGGAAGGAAAAGATCGAGCCAGGAAAAACTGTTCTTATTGAACCAACTTCAGGAAATACAGGAATTGGTATTGCATTCATTGCAGCCTCCAAGGGTTATGAGGTAAGTTTGATTTTTCAACATTTGACATTTGTCATTAAAGACTTTATACACTTTACTCACAACAGTGTATCATTGTCATGCCTGACTCGATGAGTATTGAACGTCGTGTGGTATTGAGAGCTCTTGGTGCAAAAGTAGTTTTAACTCCAGCCGCAAAAGGAATGAAAGGAGCTGTGGCTGTTGCTGAAAAGCTTTTGAGCACAACACCAAATTCATTCACATTGGGTCAATTCAATAATCCTGCAAATCCTCTCATTCACTACAATACGACTGGACCAGAGATTTGGAATGGCACGGATGGAAAGATTGATATTTTCATTAGTGGCGCTGGTACTGGAGGTAAGTAACTTTTCAATGCGTGAATTTATACATCATGGAATTGTTATTTTTGGATTCACTTTTTGATCTCCCATAATCTTCAATTTTTGATTTCGTTATTCAATTCCGATGGTCACATCATGGTCAACTTGTAATTTTGAAACACCATAGGTACCTTCACTGGATGCATGAGATATTTCAATGAACAAACAGAGAAGGCTGGACGTCACAAGGTGCATGGTATTGTTCTTGAACCGGAGGAGTCAGCAGTCATTTCTGGCAATTCACCAAGCCCACACAAAATTCAAGGAATTGGAGCTGGATTTATTCCACAAACTCTTGATACTACTCTAGTTGATGAAATCTTTAAGGTCCACTCTGAACAAGCGGTCAAATTTGCAAAGGAAGCTGCCACCAAGGAAGGTTTGTTTGTTGGTCTCAGTTCTGGTGCTGCCATTTATGCTGCTTTGGAAGTTGCCAAGAGACCTGAAAATGAAGGAAAACTTGTGGTTGCCATTATTCCAAGCTTTGGAGAGCGTTATTTGAGTACTGTCTTATTTGCAGATTTAAGAGAAGAATGTCAAAATATGAAAGCTGTAGATCCAGAACAATTGTAATGTCCCTCTTCCAGCGTTCCAAACTCTCACAGATAAATTTTTGTAACATTTTTGAAAATTAATTCAGCAAAATTGAGTGCGTCGTCTTTCCATTCATGGTAAAATCACATTTATGGAAGAACGATACGCAGCATGAAAAGCTCAATTAATCGAAATTCTCCTTTTCACACCTCAAAAAAACATTCGATTGCCATGCTAGCCACTCTCTTCCTGGTTGTGCCTGTGGGATTTCTTCTCCTCATCACGGGATTGGTCATTCTCATGAAGTGGCACGAAGCCAAAACACTTGCTAAACTTCATGTGGTGGTCAGTAACAGCAGCACTGTTCAAGCAACAACATCCACCTCTCCTTTAACTCATCACCATGAAACAACCTCCATCGAGTCGTCTTCCACGATGAATGCACAACAAGAGGATGAAGATGGAGCTGCAACCTTCCTTCACACCACCACAGAAAAGAGAAAAAAGAAAATTGCATATGAACTTCTCGAACCTGTTCCAGTGAAACAACTGGTTCATTTCAATGCTCTACAAACAGCATGGATGACTTTCAATAAGAAAGATCAACGATCGGTGCAACTCTATGAATCTGCTTTTCGTAGAAATGACTTTCGTCCAGTGTTGATTTTTTTCGGAAGAGTTCCAGTCATGCATTTTGCAAGTCCGAGTGCAGCTCGTGTCTTCTTTATGAAATGGAAAGAATTGGAGAAGGACAATTCGATCATTTTTGGACAAACTTTTCACAAATTTGTTGGAATTAATGTTGTGTTTGCGAACGGAGACGTTTGGAGGAGACAACGTTCTGTCATTACACCTGCCTTTAATGAAATCGAGAGATTTATGGATGTGTTTGTTGAGAAGGCTCAAAAATCTGTCTCGTTATTGGAAGACATGTTCAAAGAAAAGGATATGAACGAATTGACAATTTCTCCATTGGATGTGACCACTCGATTGGCTCTCGATGTGTTAGGACAAACCATCTTCGATGTAAATTTTGACTACTTGTCACAAATTATCGAAGGTCCAAATTCACAAGCAGTGAAAACTCAGAAAAAACAACAAGCTCTTGAAGCGTATCATTATGTCATGTGTAATTTGTTAAACCCTGAGAGAGTTATTCTTGGGAAAGCATTTACTTCACTTCCATTAGAAAGAAATCGCAAAATGGAAAATGCCATTCAAACCTTTAGAAGTTTTTTGGATGACATTATTGTGGAATTTAGAAATCGAAAGCATGAACAGCCAGAAGAAAGCATTCACAGGGATGTCAAACAAAAAACACTTTTGGAACTCATGGTGGATGCTGTCGATGAGGAAGGAACTGCTCTTACCAATGAAGAATTGAAAGATCAATGTGCCATTTTCTTTTTGGCAGGTCATGAAGTAAGTAGCTCTATCCTTGTGGTGCAATATTCATTTTCAAACAATTTATTCATTGGAATTTTTTGTTTTTATTATTGTTGTTATTATTTATTTTGTCATTCATTTCTTTGAAATCAAAAATATATTGAATGGTACAACACAATATTTCAATGCATTCTCAAAGACAACTGCCAGTGCTATGGCTTCCCTATTTTATTCACTTGCAAAATATCCACATGTTCAAGAAAAATTGCTCGAAGAAATTTCCAACACCTTTTCACACGATGAAAACATTTCAAATTACAACAAACTTCAAAGTATGAACTATTTGGACTGCGTCTTGAAAGAAAATATGAGATTATTCCCTCCCATTACTCAATTACCATTGCGTGTGTCCAATTCCCCTCAAGTCATTGAGGGATATAAGGTTCCAAAAGGATTCATTGTGACTCTTAATATTTATGCCTTACATCGAAATACTCAGGTGTGGGGCGACGATGCAGAAGTGTTTAGACCCGAAAGATTTATGGAAAATTCCTATCCTCCATTTTCCGTGGCCTATTTTGGTGGTGGACCAAGATTGTGTTTGGTAAGTTTATTTTAGAAGAAGGAATTCTTGTTGACAATGTTATTGTTGTTGTTTAACGCCATCATGCAAATAGGGAAAACAATTTTCATTGCTTGAACAAAAATCATTTATCATTTCACTATTGCAACGTTTCAAAATTGAATTGAGCTATCCTGATCAAGTGATGAAATTCAACAAGAGTCAACCTGGTCTTGCCCATGAAGAAGGTTTTAAATTGAAGCTTGTAAAAAGAAAGAACTTGTAGAAAATTTCCTTTCACATCTCCAACAGAAGAATTTATCCACAACAACAACAACAGACAATATCCTCGTTCATTCATTTGGTAAAAAAAACAATAAAAAAAATTTGCAATTTTCAATCCTTCCTTTTCAAAAATTTGCGAATTGCAAAAAACGAGAATTCCATTTTCAAGCTGGAAACCCAAAAAAAAACTTTCAAAAAATGTCCACCACCTCCTACATTGATATCAATGCCTTGTTAGGCTCTTCCAGCGATCCACAAACCTATCGTTGGTCTTACTCTGCTCCATTGGGCTCGGCTTCATCCAGCACAACAACCACAGCAGCAACAATAACAACCATGTCTGTGGCTGGAACGAGTTCTTCTTCCTCGGCAGTGAGTAACTCCTACGGGTCCATGGCCTTGAAAACAACCGAACAATTATTTGAATCCTCTACTTCTTATAAAACTCCAAGCTATCATCATGCAAATGAAAATAATAATATTCAGACCAAACCACAACCAGTCAATCATAATACTCTCAATGGTGGTGACGATCATCAAACCAATAATAATAATAATAATAATCAAAAATTGATTTCATCTTCTGCACACGATGCAAGCCAACCAACAACAACAACAACTTCAAATGAAATGGACAATGATTCAAAGAGTGTGATCATGGATGAAGAGGATGATGATGATGTCGTGTACTTGGGTTATCAACATCCTCATACCAATGATGATGATGACGAAGATGAAGACATTTCAAACAACGTCGATGCAACTCCACGCAATACCAAAAGAAGAACATTCAGACACTCTGAGCCAGTAAAATCCGCTAGATTCACGTCACCAAGCACATCTCGTGCCCACAGAAACATTCAAACTCCTTCACCAAGATTGTCATCACACGAAGAAGACTCAGAGACAGGTGAAAGCGAATCAGAAGAGGAAGAAAATTCAATCATTACAGACACTCCATCGATTTGTTCAGAAAGAGACTTGTCACCACCAAAGAAGAACAGAAAGACTAAAGGTAGGAAGCGTGATCTTGAAGAAGTGAGAGAGAAATTGAAAAAATATTCTAAAAGGGTGAAGAATGATGAGAGACAAGTGACACAAAATGGTGTAACTGCTCAACAATTCATTGTACCTCACGTCACACCCTCGGATAATAATTCACAACAACTGCCTTCTTCGATTCTTCAACATGTGGCACCACCAGGTCCTCAAATACTTCAAGTACCTCCTCTGGCACAACAGCCATCTGCTTCAAATGATGGTCAAACCGCTGAGCAAGCTTTCTCTGCGAAACAAGAAATCACGAAAAAGTTGGTCGATAGTTATGGAGAAGAACGATTGATTCCTGATATAGTAAATTTTGTTACTGTCATGCAGAAAATGAATCCAGAAGATATGACATGTGTTTTAAAAAGAATAATCGAAGAAAATAATGGTAACTTTTTGGACACAAGGAATGCATATTATTATTTATTGTGTGAAATTAAAGAATGTATTCCCAGCAAAAGAGCAAAGGTTCAAAAGACTTGGAATCGTAGAAAAGATGAAACCAAAAAGAATAACCGTAATTGGAAGTTGTTGTTAGAACAATACCCCAAGTAAGTTTACTGTAGTATTGTTTGTATTGTGTGTTCATGTGCATATCAATTTTAAAAGATTGAGCAACTATGATATTTCGTCAAAATTAAGCCCTCTACAAATAAGAGACGTGATCGACAAATATCCAGCGTTACAAGATAAATTTAAGTGAGACTTTTCAACAGCATTTATATTGCTTCTTCAGCTGTTCAAGCTCTTCTAACCAATGGGATTCATAATTAAATTGTGGATTGAATCCTTGCGTTGGCCATTGCAAATTCAAATGGTCTCGATGTACTTTCAACAGAAGAGTTTTGGATTGCTCATTCTCTTTGTAATTTACATGAAATACAATTCCTTCACTCTTGGACATTTGATTGTTGGGATCATCGAACCATCTCTTCAAACTGTCCAATTTAATTTGCTTGATATCCTGTAAAAATTCATTCTTTTCATCCCATAGATATGATGCCCAGCCATGAGGACACAAAAAGTGTTGTTTCTCTTGTTTAGGAAAATTGTAAACATTTCCATTAATTTTCGAGCCAATTAATTCCAGAGTCTGTCCCTCCAATTCAGGAACTTTTCTTAATTCTACTCTAAATTTGGCCATTCTCTCCACTTCATCATAATAAGGAACCAACAAGGTTGCATATTTTTCGTTATCGATTTTCGAGGTGACAATAGCAGTGGCATGCCATTTATCGGAAGCTTCGTTAGAGTTCACAGGCACCCATCCCACCAGGTGTTGAGAAGAAACATGAGTTTGTTGAGTTTCAAATAATTCACGAATACTATCACAAGGAATCCAACCAGAAGGGCCTTCTTTAAAGTCTGTATTAACATCAAATTGTAAAATGTCATCCTTATTTTCAATATTTCCGTTTTGTGAATTTAAATGTTTTTGAATAATCTTATTTTTCAAGCTACCCTTACTGTTTAATTTTCTATCATATCGTTTATAAAGTTGTCCATTTCTAATCAAGCAGCAAGTACCATCAATTTTAATTGTCGGATTTACAGAGATGATATCCAAAGGCAACCGGAGTACTCTTTTATGTAACTTGTCAATAGCAACAACCTTCTTTTCGGTCTCACTAAATTCAATTTCAAAAAGACATGATATTTTGGTCTGTACTGGCAAATAAATGAGTTGATCCTTGGATCTCATTTCCGTACTCAAAATATGGTGTGTGATGGAGCTATTTTTTTCAATTTTTATTATTTTTACAAAAAGATATAATAATTGCATTTGAAAGATTATGTGAAAGTTTCCAAAAAGCACTTAATTAACCTGATGATTCAATTTTTCAACATGTTTTTGTGTTTCACAACATGCTTCATCAGCAGCTCCCTAGATATCTTAGAAAATCAAATAATGGATTTGACTGGGAGAATGAACAGAGAACATGATCATCTTCATCATTGTTCTCTCTCGCATTACACTTTCTTTTTGAGAGTCTCTCGGACGGTATCATCCCGATAGACCTTGATGGTCTCAACATATCCTTTCACCTCCACTCTTCCATCAATCTCAACAATTCCTTTCACTTGTTTCCGAGGTGTATAGATCACATTCGATGTTTGCATGGATTTTTGTTTACTAAAGGCTTTACATAAACTAGCTGCTTGATGAATACTTTCGGAAGAGAAGGAAGTGGTGAGAGAGCGATCCACGGGTGATAGTATAACATGAGGACTCGAGACATCTTGCAAATGAAACCACAAGTCGTTTTGTGCGGCTTGTCGTCGTATGGTGTCGTTTTCTTTGGCATTCTCTCCGACCGTGATGAGGTAGAGTTGATCGGAGGAGTAGAATTGTTGGACCATGTATATGACAGTGATGATGAGAGTAATGTTGTTGAAATTGGTGTTTTTTTGAGAGAAATATGAACGTCAAGCCGCTCTTTGAATTTCAAGTTTTGGATGAATCTAAAAATACATTGATACTCTTTAAATTTAGATTTGTCTTCTGTGGTACCTTCTTGCCTGATTTCAAATCAGAAAACCTCATTCAACAACAATCTTTTGCTCACCTTCCCTCTCGACGCTGTAACTCAATTTTTTGCTTGTTTTTATGGGAATAGAACTTGAAAGCTCCATCTTCTTACATTAGCCTTCCCTCGCAACAAAACCGTTAATGATTTTTCATTTCAAAAAAAAATGAAGCGAACGAAACAACAAGAGGAGGAATTAGACTCCTTTCAGTCGATGAATGGTTTCTCGAATATTATATCGGAGAAAAAGAAGAAAATTAAAATGGAAGATGCAAGGCTTCTCGGGATTGGAATGAATGGTGGAGGTGGTAAAAAGAAGATGACTGATGAAGAACGGAAGAAGGCAATACAAAATTTGAGTTCTCAAATAATGGCAAAACCAAGCGCGATTGCATCTTCATCGACCTCTTCAAAGAAATCTGATAATTATGAGAGTTTAACGCTGCAATCGATTATGGATATTCCGATTGATTACACTCTCAAGACATTTGTTGTTTTTAAATCATCACGGGATTTCCTTTGGACAAATAATATCACCTCTAACTCAAAAACATGTGGATTGTCAAGTTTTGTTACTGGAACTCCAACATCTGGGTAAGTGAATTGATGATTTTAACTATTAATTGGATGACGATTTGTGTGAATTTATTCTCCAATCAGATTCATTCAGAGCAAGGGATTTTCCCAAGCTGCCAGCGGTGCTATTCCAGTTTTTTCTCAGAACCAACCATCCATAGATTATCAAGCCACTAGTGAATTTTACAAGAGTCTTTTATATTATATTTATCCATCCTCTCTGCTACCACATTGTCTAATGACAAAAATTAAGGAGCTACCAAACTATAACAGAGAAAATTTGAACAATATTTCGAGTGTGTACGAGTCATTTCATTCTCTGACACATTTAGATATACAATTTATGAACGAAAGATATTTATGTTGGTCAGAAGCTTTACTCTCCGTATTTTCTTCGTTTGTTGAAGGTCTTTGTCCTTATTTTTACCTTTTATATGATTACACCTATAGAAGCTCCATTATTTTCTTAAATGACACAGTATTTTCTGGGATAGGCAAACGATGTATAATTTCAAATCCAAGTTCAGACCTTATGAAATCGTTACGAGAAGAACAAATTGAATTTCAAGAGTTTGGAATTGGCTCTGAAATGAGAACAGAGGCAGACAATATTATGCTTGCCTCACGTACAGAGGAGGTGTCAAGCCAATTTAAATGTTTAGTGGTGACTGGACGAAAACAACTTCATGCACTCGTTGACTTTTTGACAAATTATCATTTGAAGTTTTTAGATTGTGACATTCCTCAAATTGTTAGCCCCATTTCATTCCTGAATTCAACCTTGAAAAAATGTAAACTATTTCCGAGATCATGCAACGATAAGGATTTTCAGTTTTTACTCGAAATTAGAGGAGGATATTTATTACCTCATAGCTTTTTAGATATTTGCAGAATAATTCAAACAAGTCACAATGATTTATCATGCTCTGTGAAGGAATTTAAAGAAGAAACATCAAGGCTTAATGACATGCAAGGCAAGGACCTTGTTTGTGTTAATTCAATGCCGACACAAGGCGTACCACAAGCCAATTTTCAACACCTTCCCTACGTTGAATCGGATCGTATGAGAGGTCACACCATCAAGACCATTACTCAATCCAAGAACAACAATACACTCTCTTTACGAATGAAAAAGGTGTAACAGGTTTGTGTGGTTTTGGCAGCTCTAAACACAACTTTTTTTGCATAATCACCTGTTGCTTGGACAACCCATCTTAGAGACCAATCCAGTGAAGTGAAAACGAATACTCGATAAACTCTCGCATGACGTCCAAGTCATCGAGCAAATCAAGAAGAATTCCTCTTGCGAATAGGTTAGGTTGAACACCTTACATGATCCTACCTTAAAAAAATGCCCATTATTAGTAGTAGTGGTAATGGAAATACGAAATCGGATCGCCTGAATGGGTTGTACCGAGTTTCGAAGGTGATTTCAACCTCGACCCATAAGGATCTATTGAAGAATGGTTACTTGTTAGCCGCGGAGCCGAGCTATCGGTATGAACTTTTAAATTTGAAAAGGTGTTATCTATTGAAAAAAGATGATGAAGTGGAACGTTTAAAGAATGAACTACAAACACTGAGGACTGAATATGACGCATTAAGGTTAAAAGATAATGAACGAAAAAAGCAGTTACACGAATTGTTGTTACAAATGGCCGATGCCAAAGCCAAGCTTAGAGTGGCAATGACCCTCGACGATTTTATTTCCTTCTTACAGTTGGGATTTTTTGCCACACTTTGGTTCTCAGCGTTGCTTCTTTCCAGAAACGAAGAATCTCATTCTGATCCATCAAACTATTGAGACTGATCCATAGTCTTGTTGGTTGTTCGAGTTGTAACAAGACCATCAACAAAGGACATCCCGCCACAATAATAATTATTCGCTCATAAAAAAAATGTCTGATGATTTTACTTTCCACTATATGATGGTATGTTTTTCCAATGAATTTGATCAAACGAGCATTGTTGGATCATCGGCTTACTTTTGCATGCAACATAGCATCCATGCAAAACACCCAACAAGGTTGGTTAAATTATATTTTTGCTTTGATCCTATGAACAACAAATTATTATTCAATCTCGATCATGATCCTATGAACAACAAAATTATTTTAAAAATTTCACACACAGGCTGGTCTTGGAAATGAAATTCTTGAATTACAAAAACAAATGGAACAATTAGGTATGCTAAAAAAAGAAAACAAAAAAATCGATGCAACGAACTGCATGTTTTGTGCCATGGAGACCCGTGATCCTGAGGTATTAAGAAAATTCTTTTCGAATTGGCACAACTTTGTGACCAATCCAGACATTTTATTAACTCCTCTTTCATCCCTGACACTTCAATTGTCCGCTTGTGGAAGTGAAAATTTACAATATTTTGTGGATGTTGATTGTGTGAATGCATTTATTGAACTCATGACGAGTAAGATCGAATATGCGTCTTTTTATTGCGTAAGAAATTTGAACGTTCTTACTAGAGATCGTCCTGGATTAGTGTTTTTGAAGTTATTGTCTCAGAATAATGAAAGACTGAGCGTGAAAACACTGATCACCAAGTTAATTCAAATCATCTATAGTCAATTCACTTTGGAGAAGAGAGAATGCCTTTTGACATTTGCCAACATTTGTCAATATATTGTCAATGAAGACAACCCGGATGAAGATTTTTATGTAGAAAAAGTCTATAACATGGTTCAGGACATGAAAGGTTATTTATTGCAATTGGGTTTATTCAAGGCATTTGTTCATTGATTAAAATTGATGAATAGTACTCAATTTCGAGCAGAGCGGTGCATGTGAGAATATGAACGAAATGAAGCTCCTTCCCAAAGACCTCTATTACAAGTATGGAAACGATTATGTGGATGCCACAAAGTTTAACAAGGGTGCCCATCAAGAGGACTGTCTCAGCCGAGCACACTGTCATATTGGAGGCACGCCATACGAACAAGCTGCCATGACTGATTTTCATAGAAGTTTGGCCAAATCCATTTACAAATTTTCACGTGTCAAATTTAATAAGGATGTTGCCGTTCCACACTTTTCAGAATATGCATCAGAATTTTTGTCACTCACTTTAGAATTGTTGAAAAATACTTCAGATTATGCCACTCAATGTTACCTGATGGGTGCTCTTTGTACATTCGATGCAAATGGATACTTTAAGGAAATGGCACCTCAAATGTTTTGGAGCCATTTGAAAGGATTACCACTTTTCAATGCTTCCAAAATGAAGGAAAGAGATTCAAAGGTTGGATGGAAAGCTAAATGTGGAATATTACCAGAGAGTGGATGGACTCCAACTTCAAGATGGATACAACTTGAAGGATCACTGGAATCTGAATATCATGAATTTGATTTACGCTTGGAGGAACTATCGAAACAAATGCGTCAAATAGTAACTCGTTGTGTCAGTGATGAAGATATTGAACGTGAGGAAGAGGAACATGAAAAACAAGCTGCTACTTTGAACAAGAAATCAGTCACACCTTATCAAGAACCAAAGAAGGCAACCATCCCGTCCAGAGTGAAAACATCAAACGTGCCCTCTCGAAACTTGAGTTCTTCTACAAACTGTGAATGCTGTGGTAAACTAGCTTCCAAGAGATGTTCTCAATGTCATTCTGCGTACTTGTTCGGCCGAATGTATGAAGGGGTATTGGCCCGAGCATAAGAAAACGTGTGTGAAGAAGCAGTAAAAGGAGTGTTTATTCCGAACTGCCTTTTGTCACTTTTACTGTTTCCAAAACGACCATGCCATTTCCGGAATCGATCACAGATGTTTTGTGCAACCATGTTCTTAAAGTTTTATATCACAAACTATTATATAACTAGGAATGAAATTCATTCTTCACAAGCAAGCATAAATTATTATCATTCACCACACATACTCCACTTTTACTCAATTTACTCTTCAGGATTTTCATAGTCGTTGTCATATGAAATTTGTTTAAGGAACTCTTCTCGCCATTCTCCAACCGACCTCCACATGGTTCTTCGGTGATTTTTACTGGTGTTAAAACTATTACCTATTAAATCTTTCATGGATTTACAATAATAACCGTAACTTGAAGAAACAAGTCGAACATGGATGCGTGAGGATTTTGGCTTAAAAGGAGTCATTAATAAAATGGCCATGTTTGTAAATTCACAACTTAATTCTAACTCGGGAAGCTGTTTCAATTCACTAAACTTATTCCATTCATCCATGTTAAAAAAATCATCGTCATTCTCAGCAAAAAAATTGACCACATGGACTTTGAGCTTTTTCAATGACTTGAATGCTGGACTAATTAACAAACGTAAAAGTTGAACCACATCCATAAAGAAATCTCTACATTCGAATTCAATTCTCTCCAAGTTGGGAAAACATTCGGCAATGACTTGAAGCACATCTCACAACAAATCATCGTAATCAAGTGATACACCGCTATCATTCTCGTCATTTACAATGAATGATGTGACAGACTTGTTGGTCATATTTATATTTGCCAAGCCAAAAACATTAGAAACCTCTAAAGTTTTGAGGTTTGGAAATTCACTGACCAAAGTTTGCAATATTTCTGTACAAAGATAACAGTTGAGGCAAATATATTCAATTTCATGCTTATTCATAAGCTTTCGCAATAGTGGCACCATTAAATCATCACCATAGCCATCAAATACGACATACTTGAGTCTAGTAAAAGGAAATGTGCCATGATGGTTGAGTTGAGTTTGATCTTGTTTGTGATCATTATGTTCGTCATCACTAGTACCATCACTGTTATTTTCGTCGTCATCATCATCATTTTCACTCAAATCATCCTCAATATCACTTTCATCATCATCATCATCATCATTCAATTCGTTCGAACTAATTTCAATCATTCTCACATAATACGGCAATTGAATCGCTTGAATAAGAAAATAGAACAAATTTGAAACACTCCAACTCGGGAGCAAATAGTACTTGATGGAATTGCCGATTTACCAACATGAGCCTTGCAAAGCTTTTCAGATCGGAAATGTACTGAAAAATCAAAGCCAACACCTCATTTGGAATCAAGTGATTAAATGTTGGAGAGTAGTATTGGGTTTGCTTTTTGATCTTTTTGTGGTTCCATTCCGAAGAGTTTTGTTGCACCAGCGATCGTTTCATTTTTTTTTAAGAATTTTTTTGTAATCTTCTTTTTGAGTAACACAATATTTTCAGGCCACTTTTCCAAATGTTCTTGCACTACAACATAAGAACCCCAGTAACGTATACAGGGTGGGAGTGACAGGTAACGAGATCTCTCGAGCCAGGAGAAAAAAATTGGCTGGACGGGAAATTTAATTTTTTTTTCTCAATACCACCTCTGTATTGCTCATAGGGTGAGCTTTAAATGTTAAAAAGCTTCGAGAGCAATCAACCAATACCAAATTCCAACATTGCTTTCGTTTTGGCTTATCCTCACCCTAAGATTCCTTTCATAGATTGAACATTGTTCACAATTGTGAACATTCAGCGAAACATATCAATAGACATTAAACACACACATCTATGTTTCACAACCTTCTTCGAGTCGAACATCCTCTCTCTTGCCTAAAATGATAAAATACAAAAATTCTTTTACACCTCACGGGGATCGAACCCGCGACCCCTGGCTTCGTAGGCCAATGCTCTTCCATCTGAGCTAAAGGTGCTTACTCTTCTCTTCCTAAGAATATAGTTATATCTATAAATCCAGACAAACTTGTGGTCAGCAAAATCGATATCAAACGAGATAATTATTTTTAAACAAGGACGACTGAATATGACCAAAATGATTTACGTGAAACGTATGGCGTGGGAATGGTAGTATCGACAACACCAAAGCTACAGGTTGCAGAACATCCTGTCCAATATGTGATAAAGTAGGACCTGACGCCACAAGAATTGGCAAAAGAAATTTAAAACAGAAATGTGATGTGATTATGATGTGACAAGATGTAATTATGATCCACGGATCTCTATTATACAGACATGTTGTGGTTTCCAACTTCAAAAAAGGGAAAATTCATCATTTCAGGAAAAGTCTTATCTCTGACAGACATTTATTGAGAGCTTTTTTTTCAAACCTCATCATTTCCAAACCAAACGCCAAAAAGTGTGTCCTTTCCATGTCCTGTGACTACTACCAACTGCAACAATCCTCCAACAATGTCACTAACACAACGTTTACTCCCCATCCATTGACACCACTGGAAGTGTATCATATTTTGAATTTTTTTACCACTTCACCCTACATCATCATTCAATCGATTCTCTTTGTACTCTCCATTGTCGTGTACATTTACAAATTTAAGGAAATGAAACGCAATCAACATGTATTATTTATCATGTTATTCGTGTTGCAAAGCGATATCATGGTGGATTTGATTCTGCGAGTCAATAATGAAGCAAATGCTTATGAACACTCTCGAAATACAACGAATGGAGTTGAGGATTATCTCTTAACAGGCATTGCTGTGGCCCATCGTTGCATCATTAACTTTTTAGTTTTTTGGCAACTTTGGATCATGTATTTCCTGTGTTCCGTGTTGTAAGTTTACATGTTTTGTTTTGGAAGGGAATTTCTTTTTTACCTGGTCAATTCTTAAAGCTTACACACTTGTCATGAAATTGCAGCAATTTCGTCCATTGGATACAAGTGTTTTAAATTCGCAAATATTGCAACCATTGTTGTGATTAGCGTGTTCTTTGTTTGTCATACCTTGTACAACATTATCACTGGAGCTCTCACCATTCATGGAGTGTTCATTGATGTTACTGTTTATGTGCCGATGGAAATTGCATTATTAGTAGCTGCAGGAATTTTGTTCTTCACTTCCTCGCTTGTCTTCTCCATTCTGCTCAATATCATTAGTTACAAATTAGAGACTTCTCTCACAAAAAGTATGATCAAGCTTAAACAAATGATGAAAGGAAATGAAGAGTTTACGAGTAGAGAATTAGAAGCAACGCTTCGTTTCAAACAAACCTCTCTGAGAAAGACTCGTCTGATGCATGCTGGTCTCTCCATTGCGATTATATTGGAATCGCTTGGTTTTCTATGTATCTCTTTCTATGTGTTGAACATTTTCTTTGGATTTGTGTATTTGTTGTTGTCGAATTTTGGAATTTTCGTATTTGTTTCCCTTCTTATTGGCATCAATGCACCAATGAAAGAGGTTCAACAATTCTTCCAAAAGTTTGTCGTTGACGATAAGGCAAATGATTCGTCCAAAAAGAACAAGTATTGAATGAGTCTGTTTCCCCATCTGAATCATGATGGTTGGCCAAGACTCTCATATTGTCACATTTTGCTGGTCTTATATGAATAAACATGATTTGCATCGCTGTGAACCCATGTTTAGAGCATTTTAAATTCTATTTCAGACTCTTTTTGTGAATAGTTCCACAAATACCACACTGAATCAGAATGATCTCGAAGTGAAGGGCATGAATGTTCAAACAATAAAAGAGTTTGGTTGAGCAATGAATAAAGTTAATTGCCTTATTGGCATCAATGAAAGAGGTTCAACTATTCTTCTAAAAGTTTGTCATTGTTATTTCATCCAAGAGACAAATATTGGACGAGTGTCTTGATTTCTCCCCATCTCCGTGTCGTTGTAGGACAGTAACAATAAATTGACTAAATAAAAAAGATTATGGATTTAATAAAAAAAATTTTTCAGAAGCTTCTTAAACTGTCTTTTAAGCAACCCTTATTGTGACACAAATGTGTCTAAGATTGTAACTCTATTACAACACTAATTTGTAATTTTTGAGGGAATCATCGCTCAAAAAATTACCTCAACAGCAACACAGTGTAGTAGTGTCTAATATGCCCCAGCCAAACCAACAGCGATGTTTCCTCCTTTCCTTTCATCTTCCGTTATTGACCCTAATTTACTTCATACCTATTCATTCACTCCTCCTGCATCACATCATTGTGAAGTTGTTTAGAGTCATCTCTAAATCTAACCTTGACTGACTTTGCCTGGAGCAAGCAGGTCCAGTAGCGGATTTGTTACGACCAATGTTTCTGGTGGTCTTGGTTCTCGACACTAAGTTATCCTTTCATATACTTAGGCGTCACCTATTTAAAATCCAGCTGAAAGAGCTTTTCTTTCTACTGGTAATTTTTTCTGGGGTTCAAGGAACAAACAGTCGGTTTCTCCAGGAATCAGTTGCGTTAAAGCCAACCTCTGATCCAGCATCCTAAGGTCCTGCTTTATTCTTGACCTTGATTTTTCCGGTAAGCTCTTGTACCTCTTGCTCTATTTCAGTTGTCTTTCACTCACCTTTGTCCATGACAAATTTCTTTAATAAGGGTTGCATGCGAGTGATTAATAGTCCTAACTAAAGGAGAACTCTGTTCAGATTAAGCACGGATGAAAACAGAGTTCTTCCTCATGATCACATGCATCTTCAAAGAAGGTCAAATGAATTACCTCCTCTCATTTATCTTCGGGGAATTTGAAGGAGTCCTCAATGCACAGAAACGTTGTTTGTCCCTTGCACAGAAATACTTCCTAGGAATGAGGGTTCTAACAAAGACGTGGAGATTACAAACATGGAACATGAATGGCTATACGAATTTAAATTGCTTTTTCCATCGAAATGAAAATCATATATATTCACATATTATCTATGAATGTGACAGTACGAGGTCTAATCAATCGCTCAACCAAAGCTAACAAATTCATCCAAAATTTCTTTCCTTATTCTTCAGAACATTCGAACGAAATTACTATTTTATAGATATATTCTTCGGAAATGAAGAGTAAGCACCTTTAGCTCAGATGGAAGAGCATTGGCCTACGAAGCCAGGGGTCGCGGGTTCGATCCCCGTGAGGTGTACAAGAATTTTTTTTGTTTTTTATCATTTTAGGCAATTTGGAATTTTTTTTCGTAGCAAAAATGTGGATCTAATTTTGACAACTGGCATTGTGGTGGGTAGATTCATGTCAAATAAAAACCCAGATGTCGATGTGCCAAAAGTTTGTCATTACTTTGTAAATGATGGTTTTGTTTGAATATGAGAATTATGTCTGTGAACTCAAGACGAGTAAGTAGTAATGATAGTTGTTTTGACTGAACATGCATGTTGAATGACTGTCCTCTTATTTGTGGTTGGTTGTGTTTGACATTTGACACTTGGGGCTCTCCATACGTTTGTCCATTTGATATCTTTGTCTTGCCAAGATAGTGATGTCTTTCTTGTCTGCTTTTCCATTGACAATCACACATGCTTAATGAACGTCAAAGCCAAGTGGGTTCCAGATATTAGACATGTAAGTACAATTCAAATAATTCCATTGAAAGAAAATTTTAATTCTCATTGGAATTCATTGTCTCATTCCCAACTTGAATAGCGCTGCCCAAACGTTCCAATTGTTCTTGCAGGTACAAAGAGTGATCTTCGTAAAGAAAAGGATTACATTCAACGAGAAGGATTGAAATTGGTGAGTCCAGAGGAAGGTCAACATTACAAGCATGTGAGGTCAAATGATCACGATCATACCCTTAGTTAAAGAAATTTTCATGATGTTCAGTCATAAATATTAACACAATTTATTGACCATTCCTCACATGACACTGTTACCAATGGCCTTCACTCTTCTAATCATAGATATACTTGACATACTTGATAATAGACGCTTGTTCCTTAAATCCAATATCAATCAAATTTTGCTCCAAATCTCCACGTTTTATAGAGCTCGCAATGGCTTTCCTCTCTAATTCTTGATTCTTAAATGATAAATTAATAAACCACAAAACATATCTAATAATGGCCTTTCTTTCTTCCTCATTCACCAATAATTGTCCAGTCACTTGATAGATGGCTTGTAAGATATCAAATTCATGTCCATCTTTTTTCGATGTATTGAGTGGAGGAGTACTTGATGTTTGGTTGCCATTACCATTACCACTACTACTGCCAACAACAACAGCTCCACCACCTCCTGTTCCATGAAGCTCTCCTCCTCCACCAGCCGATAAATCTTCATCATCCTCTTCATCCTCTTCGTCCTCTTCCACATCGTCCTGAATGGAAATATTTACATTGGTACTTGTAGTTGAGGCTGTATTGGCAGTGGCATTGAGTGGAAGATGAGTGAGAATGGTCGGATCGGAATGGTTACCTGTGTTGAGAGCAGAAGGGTTAGAATTGGTTGTGGCGTTATTGTTTTGTGGTATTGGTGGTAAATCCTCTTCATCTTCATCAAAACTAAATAAATAAGTGTATAAAGCACCATCGGGATCAAAATCAGAAACTGAAATACCAATCGAACGATAAAATCGGTTATGAAAGAGAACAAATTTTGGAAGCTCATCATTGCCACTCTCGTTGCTAATACTACTCATTTTGTTGTTGATGATGATGATGATGGTGTGTGTGGTGTTGATTGGGGTGATAGGATATGTGTTGATTTTGAGAAGAAATTGATGATCAAAATATTATAATATTGATCGGAATATTAAAAGATTAAAAATTATTGAATTTTCGTCGACACGCGTGTCGTCTCGGATGGCTACAAGATAACTGATGATGACGAAGAGAATCAGAGTCGAAAGGAATCACGTGGTGGTGGTGAGGTCGACAATAAGGTCGCTCAATTTTTTTGTATTATTTTGAGAGGACAAAATTGGTTACAAATCATCTCTGTAGTAATTCATATAAATAGGGTGTTGTAAATGTATTAGCTACGTGTCACACTCGAAGTCATGAACCTTCCTCCTTCTCTCGATCATGCAATGCAATGGATTTCACTTGATATTGTTCCCATAATTGAGAACTCAAAACCTTTTCAAAATCTTTTGAACCACAAATAAGGACAGGTCCATGTGAAGCATTGGATTTCACCACTCGCAAAGCATCGAATAATTCTGCAGAGGGCTGTCTTGTCGAATTCTTGAAATTGTCCGAAATGGTTGTCAGTTCAATTCTTCCAGAAAAGGAGGTTTTCAAATCTTGTAAACTCTGTTTTAAAAGATAATCCTTGTTGTTGTTCGAGACGATATAAAAGAGATGAATTTTAGGAGGCTTTGTTGTTGAGGGAGTGATGACTTTTCGGTTGTTTGAACTTGTATTTTGGTTCTCTTGAATCAGTAATTTATACACAAGTTGTAATGATGGGGCCACTCCATGTTCCACATCTTGAGCTAGAATTGAAATTGTGGAATTATCAGAGGAAGTTGAAGTGTTGGACATGAATTCTCCGACATTAAAATTCGACTGAAAGGGTCCCTTGATATTGAATAACATTCCTGCTTTAGATTTAAATAGCTCAGGTTGTTCCTCCATATTAATTACCACATCCATAAATCCAACATTATTTTCTGAATTAATTGGATACAACTCAACACAAGCGTCCTCATCAGAATTTTCTTGTTGATTCTTCAATTTGATAGATGCTATGGAATTAAAATTCAATTTCAAAGCCTCTCCATTCTTTGCCAACACAAATCTAAATAATTTAGAATCCGCATTCAAAGGAACCACTTGTCCCAAAGCATAGCTTCTCCATTCCGAATCGGAAAGAGCCTCTCGCATTGATTCTTCACTATGAGAATATTGAGAATATTGAGAAAATCTCTTATTTTGCATGTAGATGGTCGCTACCAATCCCGAGCCTAGAAGTGTCATCGAAACGAGAGAGGCATTCTTGATGAAGCGTGAACTCATTTTTTTTGTAAATTATATTTCAATCACTCTTTTGGACAGCCCATCAGTGCATGAATCAGCGTGAATGAAAATAGGAATGTTGATCTTGAGTGCCTGGTCTGAAACAATTTATATTGTTTTGAAGTCTTTTATCGCATTCAGGTTCAATCAAAAGATGAATTTTCGATTGTACCAATTACAAAAAAAATAATACCACGAGTCACTTCGCAAGAAAGCTTTTTTTCAATCATCATTGAAGCCAATTTCTCACATCTCCACATCAATTGAAACCGTTTCGGCACATTAATGCAGCATTTGTAGCTTCTTATGTCAAATATTGAATTTACCACCTCAAACGATCCTTCATCATTAACTCCTTCTCGAACATCTCCTTCCGACAACCACCACACGACCATCACACATTCATTCCGAACCTTTATTACACCTCAAACATCTCTCGAAGAAATTCACAAAGTATCGCATTGGTTTGATCAAGATCGAATTGATTATCATACCTTGAGATTTCACGACGCCATTCAGAGACAAATTTTAAATCGATCAGCCTCGGAAAAGGACAAGAAAACTGCGCAGTCCCTTTTAGACATTATTCGACTCAAATATATTTTCCCATATTCTCGATTGCTTGGATTATTTACCTATTTTTATATTTTGACCATTAAGAATTTATTTAGAGGAAATTAAACTAATCTTAAGAATATGAAACGAACGAAACATGTTCACAAAAAAAAGCCATCCTTGAAAAGAAGAATCCACAAATATTCGTCTGCTAATAGTACTAGTGAAGATGATGCTTTTGGAGATTACAAGGACACGTTTTATTATGATCCAACAATACCCCCAGATCAATTTTTGAAAATTTTATTTCAAAATAATTCTGGAGCAATGTTATCGAGTGATTATGTGGCTTATCGAATTTATTTGATTGACCCACAAGTGCAATGCACGTTTAATGAAGATGAAGAAATGTGTGAAGAGATCAATGAACAACTTTTGCAATCGACGGCTCAGGAAATTCATCAATTCTTTATGGAGAATATCCCAAAAAATTATATTTGGCAAGGAGATGCCTTTCATTTGAATATAATATCACCAAAACAACAAATTGAACAGCTCGAACAAGAAATGCTCTCTGTATATCGAAATAATCAACCAATTTATCCTCTTCTATTTGGTAGAATTGATTACACAGAAACAAACATTGATGAATGGTTTGTGACATATTTACTCATGGAACTAAGTCAAAAATTTCAAAACCGTGTGGTCATTCAAATACAGGATCAAGATGGTGAATTTCTATTAATTGAGGCGGCTATGCATATAGAAGAATGGATGAATGAAGATCCTCAGCTCACTCAAAATCGAGTTTTTATTTTCAATGGTCACATTCACATTCTTCCAGATCAACCACAAACTCCTTCACACTCTTACTATGAGGTATTTCCAGTTCAATCACCCGTTCAAAATATTCACAAAGCAGTAGAAATGGTTACTCGAGAGTACAAATACACCATAGCCAATAAGGGAGTACAAAATTCCATCAAGGCAAGATTGTCTTCCTTTCCAAAGGAAGCTCATGATTATGGAACTCAAAGAATTGCATGTTTCCTACCATTGGATATTATCAAAATTTTGGACCGACATCCACAATCCATTTCGAAGGCCATCTATTACTGGGTTCATCGAAATAGTGTGACAGAGAATTTTTTGAACACTTGTTCTCGATTTTTTCCATCCTCTCGAAATCAGAATTCTAATGTGAATTCCACTTCCTCATCAAGTGATGACTTGTCAACGATTGCTCCACGTGACTATTTTACCTATGTGACCGTTCTTGTCAATCGATGTCAATACGTTCAACTTTTAGCGTCCCGAATGGAAAGTGTTCCATCCATTTTACAATCGATTTACAAACCAAATGCAAAAAGAACCGAAGAACAAGAACAAGCTTACATGTTTGGGTTGAAGATTTTATGTGGATTTGAAATTTATTATCAAACAGAGAAACCTTTGGAATTATTTGAAAACTTTGAAGAATATTTGGAACATTTGGATGATCATGGATATTTTGGAATGGAATTACCAGGCACTAAAAATTATAATTTTCTCATTCAAAAAGCAGAAAATTATTATCGAATGGATTCCATTTCACAAAATGTTGAAAAATGTTACTTTTTAGAACAATTAATTTATGAAAATCAATATTTAACAATGAAAGATCTAAAGCAACGAAAACTTAAAGTCGATCCTGATGATTGGTTAGACTCTGCTCAAGAAGAAATGGAAAAGTATCTCACACAGAAAGGAATGGTGATGAATGAAGAGGTTGATGACGAAGAAATTTTGAAACAAAAAGCAATGGATTTGATGAATGGTGTAAAATCTTTTGTAGAGGGACAAAGTACTGGTTTTGAAGGAGTGGAATTTAATTGGTCTCAAGAAAAGACTTTCGATGAAAATTCTCGTGCAGAAGCCACATCAACATCTTCTCGACTCGACAAATTATTGCAAGAAACATTTGGTAAACTCAAAATTGAGGATCTCATCGATAAGAAAGATGAAGAATATTTGAAAAAGTTTTCAAAAGAGCTCTATAGCGGTGAAGAGCTGGACGATGAAGAGGACGAGTGGGAAGATATCGAAGATAACAGAACCATTGATCCAGAAATGCAAAATGTTATGAGAGAAATGGACGAGGAGCTTCTGCAGTACAGTGACACTCAACAACGATCTGAAATGATGAGCGATGCTAATGTCATGAAGAATCTTCTCAAATCGATGAAAGCACAGGGTGGCGACATTGGTCCAGCCTCAATACTTTTGGAACAATTGGGATTCAAAGTGCCAATTGATGATGAGGATGAAGATGATGATGAGCAGGAGAGTGATAACTAGAGGGAATTCCACACGCCTTCCTCCCAGGCTTCCATGTTTTTTAACATTTACAAGAGTGTTCTGGACTCTAAATACTTTAACTCTATCTTAGTAAAACTTGTTTTGACTAACTGTCTATGATGCGACGATTTGGGATTTATGACAATTATTTACATGATACATAAGTTAGTTTGCCTCCTCTCTGTTGAGTGTGACATTCAAAAACGCCACCAAAATTCATTGTGTGAAAAGATCAGCATTGACAGCCACCTCCGCTTGGTTTTGGTTTTTCTTCGTCCTCCGCAGGATTAATTGGTTTGACAACTTCACCTCGAGGTTGACCAAGTCCTTCGCCAGGTGTTGGAACAGTACTAGTACCAACTGGCTTGACAGAACAAAACTTATAAATTTCTTTCAAAATTGTCAAGAAAGCGAGTTCTACGTTTGTAGAATCCAATGCAGATGTTTCAATAAAAGACAATGAGTTCTTTTCGGCGAAAGCTTTTGCTTCTTCAGTTGTAACAGCTCTCAAGTGACGCAAATCGCTCTTATTTCCAACTAGCATTACTACAATATTTGGAACGGCATGATCTCTCAATTCCTTCAACCATCTTTCCACATTTTCAAATGTAACTCTTTTTGCAATGTCATAAACAAGTAATGCTCCAACTGCTCCTCTGTAGTATGCAGAAGTCTATTTATATTGAGTTGCGAGATGTTGTTGTGGCGAGAGTGTCAACGATTTTGAGTTGTTGTTGTTGTTATTGTGATTATACATGATTTAAATATCAGGGATCGCCACACACAATTCCAGACATCGATTTTGTTACATTTTGTTTCGTTGTTGACATTGTATCATCACGATATTAAGTTGAGATCCCAACAATAAATTTCATCATGAGTATTAGTATTTAAATTAGAGAAAGTAAAGTATACCTACGATTGCTCTATATCTTTCTTGTCCTGCACTGTTATTATCATTGTTGAGTATGATTCCATATTACAGCAATATGAACAAGAATTATAATTCATTCATCACATTCGAAGTAGCAACGTTTTCAAAGCGAAATTTACAGAAATAGAGAATAAACAAACGGATAACGAATGAACAATCACGTGTTACAATTTTGTATCATCAACAATGTAAATTCAGCACTCGCTACTTCAATAACAACTACAACTACTTACGTATCCCAGATTTGTGCTTTGATTGTTTTTCCATCGGTTTGAATGGTACGTGTGGCAAACTCTACACCTATTGTTGATTTTGATTCGAGATTGAATTCATTTCTAGTGAAACGAGAGAGTAGATTGGACTTTCCTACACCGGAATCACCAATTAAAACAACTACATTGAACAATTCAAATCACCGATATATGGCAACAACACCCGAAGTGTTCAAAAATATATAAAAATAATCAACAACAACATCCAATCAATAGAACACACAACAACCATAATAACATCAACAAATAACAGTAAACAAATCAATAACAACAACAACAATAAAAGGATACACTACTCTTGAAGAGGTAATCATACTCATCGTCCTTTCCAAAATTCGATGCTGACATTTTTTTTTAAATTGTTGGACACTTCCAACGGTTTTCTGACGCTGAGCGTTGTTTGAAACGGAGACAAGGTCGTCAATTTTCGTGGTGGTTCCTTGTTTTTAAAAAATGTGCTTTATTTGTCAAAAGAAGAGCGTTTGAACACTCGATCGTTTCTTGCTTTAGAAGAGAGGGTTCTATATTTCAAGAAGAAGTCTTTGTAAATTGTTTTTTCAATACTTTTTCTTGGACTCTCATGAGAGTCTCAATATCAATATCATCATAAGACGTTCAAGGAATTGCCCGAAACTCCAGAAGAAAAAAATAAAACACATGAGCAAGGCTTGTTATTATTGATACAGAACTGGGATCTTCAATCTCCGAGAGAAACATAATATTGCGAGCTGCGGACAAGGCAGAAAATGATCAATGAACACGAGTGGTTCAACTCATCCGAGCCATCGGAAGAAAATGATGATGCGGAGAACAGGTTATCATTGGATGATTTACCCTTTGAAATTATTTATGAATGCATTTCGTACTTGCATTATATTGAACTAGTGTTTCGAATATCGAATGTGTGTTCCGTATGGAGACAGAAAATTGTTTGGCCAATTCTCGCAGGAAAAGTTTCAGTATGGCTTTCAGGAGTGGATTTTCCGTTGCAAGAAGAACCAAGCACTCGAATCATTGCAAATTTTGAAGATTTATTTCGAACTTCACTCGGAAGGAATTGTCTGCGATTCATGATGCGAGATTATGTGGCACAAGTAGTACTCCTTCTTTTGAACAAAATTGTTATTGAAATTGAGGAGCGGAGAATTTATCAATTGGATGCAAGTGAATTGTCATATTTATTGCCTGATTTGAAAGAGTATTTTTCAAAATTTGAAACTCCTTCGAGTTTATTGCCACTTATCCATAAGGCAGCCATTTCACAATCATACACCGAACTTAATATTCCGGAAGAGAAAACAAAATTGCTACATCGAATATTTGGTCTCAAAAAGAGAAAGACCTTACAAGATATTCCAGTTCAATATACCTTCAAATCATTATTTATTGGCAAGAAAAAACAAGGGAAAAGGAGTTTATTTCGTGCAATGCTCGATAAAACAGCCTCATCAGATGCTGACAATCAATTTCTTGAGTATAGAGTACGATATTTAAAGTTTGGAGAGGAGTTTGCAGTACGAGGAGAATTTTTCACTGGAATGAACGAAACAATGCTCTATTATCCTTCCAACCCTTTTCAATCTTTGCATATTTTGTTCATTTGCTTTGACGTGACAAATCGAAAGAGTTTTCAAGAAATTGAAAAAGCCATCGCACTTTTGAAGCAATTCAAAATGAGACACATGGAAGCTATTGTGTTGGGAACAAAATGTGATTTAAAAGATCAAGCACGTGTGAAGAGAGAGGAAGTGGAAAAAGTGTTAATTCAGTCCAAATTATTTGAAGGGGCTTACTATATTGAAACAAGTTGTCATGACTTTAAGAGTGCTGATTTTGTTCTGTGGTATGGAACTTTGCTGACCTATTGTGTTTATCAATTTACATCAAGAAAAGATGAAAATGCCATTTATTCATTCATTGAAGCACTTTCAGATTCCTCTTCCTCATCCTTGTCTTCATACTCAAAGTTTTCAGACTGAAGTTTGGAATGTGCAACAAGAACTCCCTCCACATATACCTTAAATCCGTAATTGCCAGCCTTTTCAACAAGATACTGAATATGGAATTTTCCTTCACCAACATAGGAAATATTAGCCTTAATATTTTCAGTTAAAACATCAGTATCTGCATCGACAAATTGGACCTTCACAGATTCAAGCTCTTCATCATCGAGCTCCGTATACTTGTTTCCACAATCGTCAAATAATTGAACTTGGAAGGATCTGTTGGTGAATTTGGCAAGTTGAGGACCTGGTGGAAGAACACGAGCTCCTCGAATAGGTGAATTCTTAACTGGCGTTCTATTCACCTTTACATCAATGTCATATTCACCGGGAACTAGAGGTGTCCAGTCACATTCAAATACACCATTTGGAGACTCTGATACTCTAACTTTTTGTGGAGGATATCTATCAGTATTAGGTCCTACTGGTTTTACATTAACAGTGACATCAGTCGCACCAGGAATTCTCACCGGCTTTCCATCCTTAGTTTTAAGTTTAACATCAAAGTTAATGGGCTTATTTACAAAACCTGTTTTTGCCACTTTGGACACTTCACATTTGGATGGATCAGGAGCGTAGGTGGACTCTTTGACTGGAACTTGGAATGGAGAATCTTTGATTGGCTTGCCTTTGTGTGAAATGTTGACATGATTCAAACCAACTTGTTTAGGAGTGTACATGAAAGGATAAAGTCCTTCTTCATAAGGAAGAGGTTTCACTTCGATTTCATCTCCGTTCGAGTCAGTGAGTGTAATATCAAATGTGAGATTTGGATCTTGTACACGATTGTCATTGGAATCTCTTGCCTCCACATAGAAAATAGCAGGTGTATCCACAAAGGCTTTTTTCAGTCCAGGTCCATGTGCAATCGTGCGATCAGGATGAACACCATCTGAGACAGTCATGTAATGAGGAGAGAATGGAAGCGCTTCATCATGCAGAGTTAAATCGAATCGATAGATACCAGGTTCCTGAGGTATAAATTCGATGGTATAGGTTCCATCGTAGTTATCTGTTACAATAGAATTCGAAAGCTCGATATGAGTACCATTTCTCAATCTCAAATCCTTAAAGTATGTCACATCCGCTAAAATATTTTCTCCTCCACAGGTTACAGCAACGCCTCGTTGATCTCTTGCCTGAACTTTAGATTTAAGAGGAATTGCATAATGGCTATATAGATCTCCGCCATTAATTTCATTTCCGAATATAGTACACATGCTTGGTGAAACATTTGGTACGGCCTCGATTTCAATTTCCGTCAAAATAGGTTCACCATTCAATGTTGCCTTCACTTTGTATGGTCCAGCAACATTAGGTACATAGGTAATGTCATATTTACCAGTGTCATTATCCGCAATAAAGGTTGTGACTGTTTCTCCCTTTTTTCCTTTGAGTACCATTTCAATTTTATCGCCACCACGAATTCTCTTCTCTCCAGAGGTGTCATAAGTGACGAGTGAAAATGTTTGTGGAACGTCACATTGAACTGTGGTTGAAAGATCAGTTACAAGCGTTCTTGCTGGATCTGTCTCATATTCAACCAATAAATGAACAGGTGAATTAATAATTGGTTCTCCATTGAATAGGACTTTCACAGGGAAAACGCCAGATTTCTTTGGAACAAACGGAACTGTGTAAGTACCATTATTATTGTCCTTGATTGGTCCAATCTCCAAAACACTTTCATCTTCCAATATACAACTCACTTCGTCACCTCCTTCAATAATATCCAAACCATTCTCATCCTTTGCTTGAACATAGAACTCTCCTGGCTTATTCACTACATTTGGGTTGTATGGTTTGTTCTTTTGTTCAGGATCATATAGCGACTCTCCAAAAGCGACAGTTTCTCTCGGTAATGGTAGTGGGTGAACTGTCACTTGTCGAGGACCATACTTGGATGGAGTTCCCTTTACTTTATATTCAATGAGATAATTTCCTGGTCCATCTTCTGGAATGAACTCTAATTCGATGGCCAATGGGTCTTTCTCTCCTTCTGTGTCGGCATTTGTTTTTCCTGGTTTTACTTTTTGTTGCTTTCCATTAGGTCCTGTGGCTATGCACTCAATATCTTCAGGTTTCACACGAACTGTTTTTCCTTGCTTATTTTTGGCTGTGAAATAAATGGGTCCAACTTGATTACTTCGAAGACCATCTATTGTTGTGTGTGTTTCAAAACAGAAATGTTCCATAAGTTGTTGTGCGATATTTCAATCAATGCATACCATTAAATTGTTGTGAACAAGTCACCACTTACCTCTCACACCACGACCTTCAATGACGACATCCTCAATATCAGGATCAGTTGGTGTCTCCTCAGAAGGTTCAATTGGAAGGCTAGGAACTTTGGTTGGATGTTTTGGAAGGCTCTCTAATGTAGGATCAATACTAGAAGGAGTGTTAATCACGGGTTGTGGATGTTCATTTTGACCTAAAATGGCCTGTTGTTGACGATCTTTTTTGAGAGCTTTTTCTTCAAGATCAATGCAACGAATTCCAATGTGTAAATCACCAGAAACCTTATCTTTGGATGTTCTTTTTTGGAGAGGAAGCCATACTGTTTGTTGTGACGGAATGCAGTTCATTAAATATGTGTGACATGGATGAATATGATTGATGCATGTTAGTGGATGATTTCGCATCCAATTACGTATTGTTGTCCATTCCGTTCATACGATATTATATTCAATATTGAATTCGATAGCATTGTGACAATCGGATTCAATAATGATATCAAAAGGCAATATTGTCAAAATTTTCAATATTCCAAGTTCATTCCATATATTTCGCAAATTCATTCATTCACTCATTCGCACACACACACGCGAATTTTCATTCTCACAACTTACATTCAACCCACTTTCCAGTCGTTTCCTTCAAAGCAGCATAATCACTAAATCGAATAGAAATTTCTCCAAGAAATTCATGATCATGATCCTCACTCTTATTCCAATCATACAATTCACATCGAATACTCATAGGTTGTTTCACCTTTTTCCAATTTCTACAATACACATCCAATACTTGATTCCATTTTGGTGAAGTTGTTTTCTTTTGTGGTTCAGTAGTCACTCGTGGAAATGATTCTTTGAGAACATAGACACCGAGATAGGGATTTGGTTTTCTGAGAAGACTTCCAACAAGATTTCTTGCTTCAATGGCTGTCGATTGAAATTTGAATTATTTGATCATAATGATGACAGGAGGAGAAGACGAGAGTGGTGATGATGGTGTTGTTGTTGTTGATTCATTGTAATGTCGTCCGACCGGATCAAAGAAAGTGTATGCGAGGATGAGAGAAGATCGTTTGATCATAAAAAACAAACCTTGGACTTGAATTTGAATATCATCTTCTTTTCGGTCGTTGAGGGTGGGGTCTACAATCTTGTGGCTTCTTGGTCCTTGTTGTTCTTTGGCTGAGCCTTCTCCGAGCACCATTTTTTAATGAATGGGTTTTTTGATGTTTGACGTGTGACTTGGCCAGATACAACGAAAAAATCCCAAATCATCACAAGTTGTTTCCGAATGATGAGAAAATACCAGTTCTTCAATTTGAATTTAGTGTTCGATCATGACCATTTGGTTTCACTCCTTCTCTTCGTTCGTCATCCACTTTTTCAATTCGTGTGTGTGTTTGTGATGAATTTATCAAACGCGAAAAAATTGTGTTGGAATACAACCTCATTCAAAAAGCTCCCGAACTTTTTCCTTAAACCAACAACAACAAAAGTCTTTGGAGGAGGATCGGTTGATGATTGTATGAAGAAAATCCATTTGAAAGAAGGGATCGGAATTTATAACTCGTCTTGTCATTACCACTCATTTTCTCACTTCTTGGGTTGATTCCTTTCAATTTGTTGGGATTTTAAACATTTGAGGATGTCATTGACTTCTTCATAAACAGCTCGCCAAGCCATCCATAATGAAAATCCAGAAATACTTGCTGGATATAGGGATGAGAGAGAACCGTGCCCGGTTGTTCCTCTTCGGTATTGTACGTATTGACATTGTCGAATTTCATCGACTATATAACTCTTCTTCGTTGTTTGAAAAATCGGGAATATATTAGCCTCGTTGAATATATCCATTGAAGAAAAGGCTAGGATCATACAACAAATGCTCAAATCGGAACACACCTATTGGATCTTTAAAAGAAAGGTGAAAGCAGAAATTGCAAAATCAAAATATAGCCTGGATGATGTCCGAAATAATTTATTCCATTATTTACCTTCTTCCTCTCTTCCGCCATCATTTGCTCCCACTAAAACAAAGAATGATCGAAACATTATTCAACAGATATTGGAGCAAGAGGAGTGGGATGTTGCTTTGGATAACGAGGTATTTAGGTTTAATCTTGAAGCGGAACGAAACACAAGACTGAGACAGAAATATACAGAATCTGAAGGTAGGTCAAAGTTGGAGCTGAGTTTTCCTTGTTGCTTAGTTGTAATTCTTCTATTTTTGTTGTTCGCACTTAATATCACTTCGTAGGAACTGAGGAGGAGGACACCGGTCTTGTCATACCACCTCTCCCCTTCGAAGAAGAAAAATTATTAATTGTACAGGAGGCTCGTTCATCATGGGCTTCATTTCTCAAGGATCAACTCGTGTCAATATCAAATCAAATTGGGCTTACATTTATTAAGAAGAGGAAGGAGCGAGCAAAGGCTCCAACAAGTAACATTTCTGAAATTTTGGATGAATTAACTGGAATGAAAATTACAACAAAAAAGCCTGACGAAAACTCAGAGCCAGAGGGACCTCTCATTTCTTCTCTCTCTGTGAAACCAAGATATACTGGCCTCTTCGATAGTAAAAAGATGATGGAAATGTGTACCAGCATTAGCAATTCTAATGCGAGCGAGATGTTGATGAGTGCTGGGTGGGGTCAAATCAAGCTGGAAATCAAAACTCCCTCTACAAAGGAACTTCAAGTCATGTTTCAAGATTTAGATCCTGAAAATTGTCAGATTGGCCTTGATGACATTATTGACGAGAAATTCGAAATAGACTACTTGGAAAAAACCAAAAAATCGCTGAAAAATATTAGGATGGCCTATGAAATCGCAAAACGAGGCGTTCCAACCTCACTTCGATCTAGCATTTGGGGTAAAATTCTGGAGGTTGAGATGGACGAAAAACACAAAGAATATTTTGAAATATTACGCAAAGATGTAAGAAAGAGAGAGTTCCTAATCGATCACATGGTACACAATGATGTGAAGAGAACCATGGATGACGAGAATTACTTTGTTTTTGAGGATGTTGTTGATGAAATGATGATTATTTTCTCGAGAGATCCGTATGTGGCTAATAACATGGAACATCCACCAAAATTTATTGTTGGATTGGATGAAGTGGGCATTGCACAGAACGAGGAAGTCTATCCTCCAAGTGGCGTGATTCCATTTGAAGGACTGTCAATGTTAGCAGCTCCAGTGTGTTATCTCAGTAATGATATTATGGAAGTATACTTTTTGTGGCGTAACTTGTACACGAGAATTTTTTGCAAGTTGCACACAATTTCTTCGAAATCTGAAGGCTTACTTTCACTTTGTAGATTATTTGAGGATTTATTGCAAGATAAGGATCCACAACTATTTTACCATTTACTTCAACTGAAGATACAACCTCTTGAAATCGCCTTCAATTGGATATTTCATGCATTTGCTGGATATTTGGCAGTCGATCAGTTGTTATTACTTTGGGATCGTATATTGGGATTCTCGAATTTGTACATTCTTCCAATACTTTCCGTTTCTATCTTCCTTTTCAGGTCCAAATATTTGCTCAAGGTGACCTCTAAGCAAGAAATACTAGATATTTTCTCTGACTTTACCGTAGTTCAAGTCATACCCTTATTGCAGATGTTTTTATTCAGTTAGAAAGACGTCAATGAATTCAATGAAAAGAGTTCCTTTCGGGAGAATCTGCAACATCACACTGGTTTGGATTACTTTGGAACAACAACAACAACCACGCCCCTCATTCATAGACGTGTGTGTGAAAATTCATTCCATGGTTGCTCGACAATTTTCACTCGTACTGAAACATTCCTTAGAATTATCCTTCAACACTCTCCGCTTCGCTCCATAAGATTTCACTTTGGGTCCCATGGCCGAACCTGGTTCGGACTCTGAAATCAACAAAACAACAAGAACGAATCTGCCAGCACATGCATCCCTTCAACAAAAAATTCGTTTTGAAAAAAAAATAACTCACACCAACACACGACACCAACACACACCATGAGCCAAACAGTGACCACCACTATTGAATACCAAGTCAAGGACATGAGCCTTGCTTCTTTGGGCCGTAAGAGAATTGAAATGGCTGAAAAGGTATGTTTTTGTTATCATCAAATTTTGTAATTGGATGATTAATAATTACTAAAATCCAATCAATTCGATCATTTGAAAATCCATGAACCACTTAATATCATCACCATCATCATCATATTGCCATATGGATCAAATCCAAAAATCCAATCATGATGATCATCACCTCCAATTTTGATTCATAGGAAATGCCTGGTTTGATGGCTTGCAGAGCCAAGTACGGTGAAGAGAAGCCATTGAACGGAGTCAGAATCACCGGAAGTCTCCACATGACCGTTGAAACTGCTGTTCTTATTGAAACTCTCAAGGCCATCGGCGGTAACATCCGTTGGTGCAGTTGTAACATCTTCTCCACTCAAGACGATGCCGCTGCTGCCATTGCTGCTGCTAATACTCCAGTCTTTGCTTGGAAGGGAGAGACTTTGGTTGAATATTGGGAATGTACCTGGAAGGCCATTAGATTCGGACCATATCAAGGACCACAATTGATTGTCGACGATGGTGGTGATGCTACCTTGTTGATTCACAGAGGATTCCAAGCTGAAAAGGAACCAAGCATTTTGGATGAAGATGGTGATGTTGAAGAATTGAGAATTGTCAATAACTTGTTAAAGAGAATTTTGAAGGAAGAGCCTGGATTCTTCAGCAAGATTGTTCCAGATATCAAGGGTGTCTCCGAAGAGACCACCACTGGTGTTCACAGATTGTATGCTATGCAAAAGCAAGGTACTTTGTTGTTCCCTGCTATTAACGTGAACGACTCTGTTACTAAGAGCAAGTTCGACAACATTTACGGATGCCGTCACTCCTTGTTGGATGGTTTGAACAGAGCTACTGATGTCATGTTGGCTGGTAAGGAGTGTGTTATCTGTGGTTTCGGTGATGTCGGTAAAGGATGCGCTGAAGCTTTGAAGGGACAAGGTGCCAGAGTTATTGTTACTGAAATTGACCCAATTAACGCTCTCCAAGCTTGTATGGCTGGTTACACTGTCAAGACTGTTGAAGATTGTTTGGCTACTGCTGATATCTATGTCACTGCTACTGGTAACAAGGATATCATTACTCTCGATCACATGAAGAAGATGAAGGATATGGCTATCATTTGTAACATTGGTCACTTTGACAATGAAATTGATGTCCTCGGTTTGAAGACCTGTGAAGGTGTTAAGGAAATTAACATTAAGCCTCAAGTCGATCAATTCTTGTTCCCTGATGGACACTCCATCATTTTGTTGGCTCAAGGACGTTTGGTCAATTTGGGTTGTGCTACTGGTCACCCTGCTTTCGTCATGTCTGCTTCATTCACCAACCAAACATTGGCTCAAATCTCCTTGTGGAAGGACAAGTATGAAATTGGTGTCTACACTTTGCCAAAGGTTTTGGACGAGGAAGTTGCCAGACTTCACTTGGAGAAGCTTGGTGCTAAGTTGACCAAGTTGACAACATCTCAAGCTGACTACATTGGTGTCAATGCTAACGGCCCATACAAGGCAGATCACTACAGATATTAAACAATTTTGTTTCTCTTTCTCTTTTTCAAAATGAAAATTGTAAACTCTTGCCTGTGTGAGGAAAACTGCCCTCGAAAAGAAAATTGTAAACTCTTGCTCACAATTTCAAATTGGAAGAGGTCGTTTTATTTACAAAGCTATTTTTACATTCGAGGATAGTTTTCCTCAACAGGTAGCTGAGAATTCGAACAAAATTAACTAAAGGGGATTTTCAATCAGGAGTTTACGGAGATTGAGGCAGAAGCATTTCATCTGTGCATAGCAAATCAAAGACCAAGTCAATCTTATTAAAAAATTCAAAATGAATGTAGAATTGAATCAACACTTCAACAAAAAACAAAACAAACTTCAACTTCAGCAATAATCTCTTGTTTTCAAGTCATTTCATTATTTTCTTAACAATGAACTCCCACAAGCCTACTTATTACATTCGTATTCAAAAAGCTTAAGTGGTGCAAGACCCAACCACTTTAAAACCCTCTCATGTGTTGTATCATTTCGAATGTCGTCTGAACACACCCAAACCTCACACCTTCTCAAAGAGATATTCTGAATTGTTGCATTTTCACAAAGAACTGCTAAGAGAAGCGTCGAATCATGGAATTGCTGTTGCAACAAACTTGAATCAATGGTTGCACTTTCCACCAAAGATGTTCTTGGGAAATTTCAAGGTAAGACTTTTGAAGAATTTTAATTTCAAAAAACTTGATGTTCAATGACGGCGGGTTAGAGTGAAAATATTGAAAAGAGAAAAGAAGCTCTTCAGAACTATTTCGATCAACTCTCGTCACCTCACGTACCTCGAAGGAAACTCATCACCAACTTCCATCTTCTTCAATTTACATGAACAACATTTCTCCCAAATACATCATGAAATTACTGATACACTTTTTCCGAGGGTTTGTTCGAACATTTGATGACAAATCATCCTCTTCGACACCTATCATCCACAAATGAACACTCAAGAAATCATTCGTGCCTTCCAACCATCCTCCCATGCTGAAGCCATGTTGAGTCTGTCAGCAGTCACTGGAGGTTTCTACGCTCTTTTATTGAAACCCGTTCATGAATTATATCCAGAGGCAAATCTCAACAAAATTTCACAACAATGTTTCAAACACATTGGAGTGCTCAAAGCTCGTGAATATTTATCCAAAGTTCAAACATTATCAGAAATGGAAAGATACAATCGTGACACGAGAGGAGTCCTTTTGGTGTTGTTGAAGGCTATTTTCAATGCAAGTCCAGAATATGTGTTTCATGTGGAAGAATTTTCACCCACTGAATGTATTGAATTTCCAACATTGGTTCAGTTTTTGGAAGGAGCTGCAGAAACTTTGAATCTTACGAAATGCTGTCAAGTGAAGGCCGTTCCATTGTCAGGACATAAGGTCAAGGATGCCTCTTTGACAGCACAAGAGAGTTCAATGCCGCCCTCAAAGGATGAATTTTTTGTGAGATATTTCCTTACACTTCATGATGATCAACGTTGTCAATGAGCATTCTTATCCCGTGAGTATTTCTAAACTTGGTAAACTTCAATTTCTGAAACTTTGAAATTGTAGGATCCTGCTAAATAAGATTGAACTCATCCTTTCAAAACAGTGTTACTGAGATCACAATGACTCAAATTAGAGTTTGTGAATGAATTTCCACCCATCACAAAATTCTTCACATCTTTTTGTCCAGAGAGATCCACTTGTTGCATGTTGCATTGTGTGGCACGAGTATTATTGTCCAAAATATTTGTTCTCAAATCCACTTGTTTGAATGAGCAATTGTTGAAAGAGGAACCACAAGTTGGTGTTTTGAAGGATGGTTGTTGAAAACTCACATCCCACAAAGGAGCATTTGCTTAGATTGTATTCACTTAAATTACAACCACTCAAATTAACTTGTTCCATTTTACATCCTGAAAGAGTTGTTTTGGAATTAAATTTCAGTTTTTGAAGAATGATTTGTTTGAATGAACATCCTTCAAGATTTGAATTTGTGAAATTAGTCGAATTCAAATTAGCACCACAGAAATTAGAATCTTTCAAGTCACAATTTGAAAAATCCACATTCGTCAAATCACATCCTGAAAAATCACATCCATTCAAAATACTATGGCTGAATTTAACATCTTTCAAATTCATTTTGCTCAAGTTAGATCAAATAATTTCACATTGACTCAAATCCAAATGTTCCAATGGAAATACATTTCTCAAATCGATTCCCGATAATTTCAATGTAGTTTTTTGAGATCTTGAAAAATTGAGCAAATTCATAAACTCAGTTTTTGCAATTCATCATGTTCATGTTTGTTGTTGGTGTGCTTAAATATGAGAAACCATATTCTTCTTCACACTTTTCTAATTCATTCACCAAACGAGAGAGATGAAATGTCTTTGCTTGATTCTTGAGATTGATTCGAAGAGTTTCATTGGTTTTACTTTCGCCAAGAGTTCCATATTTTAACCAATTATAGATTTCTTTGAAAACATCCAATTCACAATCCACAAAAAAGACCTTATCTGGGAATGCAGTACTTGGTGTTTCATACAATGGATACTCTCCTGTGAGCATTTTCTCGAATAGATTATCAGGTTCTCTTTCATTATGGAGAAAGTGACCTAAAGAGACAGTTAACACTGTTCCTCCAACATTCAAATGAAGGGGTTTGTTGGAGTATTCCAATTTGTAACGAGACATCTTTTCTTTCTGGAATTCCTTTCTTTTCAATTCTAATTGTTTTTCTCGTTCTTAAAATTGTTTCATCAATTCCTTTTCTTTTTGTTTCAATTCATTTTCTGCTTGTTCCAAATAGAGAGAATGTTCTCGATCCAATTTCTGATTCTTTTCTTGAAACTCTTGTTCTAATTGCTGAGATTGTTCTTGAAACTCTTGTTCCAATTTCATTTTCTTTTCTTCAAATTCCTTCTCCAAATCACGTTTCATTTGTTCCACTTGTTGATACGCATCGTGAAGAGGACAATATTTCTCTTGATGATTCTTCAATTCACCTCGATTCACAACATTCTTACACATGGGACAAAATACTGCTAACTTGTCCAATTGATTTCGAATAATTTTCACAACAGTCACTTTTTCAGAGGAAAAATCACCTTCGTGACAGATTGGACATTGCAAGAGTGAATTGACACATTCACGACAGAATGTATTTCCACATGAAGAATGAACCACGGGATCATAGAAGGGAAAGAAGCAAATGGGACATGCTAATTCTTTATCGATCAAATCGAGATTGACATAATTGAAGGATTTGGAAGTAATTTTTTCGGTTGGAGTGATGACGGTGAGAGAGTTGTTTGTGGATGGGGATGGGTTCTCGCCAGTGTCGAGAGAAGAGTTGAGATTTCTCATATTTTTTTGGTTTGACAATCACGTTGACAACTTTACAATGACAGGTTTAAATTTGCTTGTTGTTTGCTTTAGGAATTGTTGGGAAAATTTGACATTGATAAATTACAAAGTGTTATTAAGAGAAGCTTTATGTAAATTGTTTTTCATATCATATGAAACAAAGGACAAAATCTCCATGATTAGTGATAGATCTTTAATTCTATATACCACTCTAACAAATTGTCACTCTCAAAGTTTTTTCATTCTCTCCAATAGTGCAGCCTTATGAACATGATTTCACAAATCATTTCCACCTTGTTATTGTTTTTGATCACCCTCTCTCTTTTTCATTGCCAGTTTTTGTGAGAACAGTCACACGATGATCGCCTCAATGCAAAAAAGTTTGACGAAAGGATTTCAAAGAACTTTTTGGGATTTCGTTTCCAAAAGGCAAATCATCAAAAAGAATATTCTCACACGTGGGTGTGGCGATCAAAGTTCACCACAACCACAATCGCCTTTCACCTCATCGAAGGAGTAGAATCACAAAGCGGACAGAAAAATCTCTTTACATCATCATCATTATAAACCAATTCATCATCATCATCATCATCCATTCGGAGGAGAGAATGAACCCGAACCATCATCATCATCAGCCTTTCCATGGTGATGAAAATCTAAACAATAAAAACAACACGACTAATCCCGAAGAAGAAGAACATAATATTCCCTACAACCCAAATCACTGTATTACAGAAAAGATCTTACCTATTCACGAAATTGATCATCATCATCAACAACAACAAGGTTCATCCATTCCATTCTCTTCACCCTACGATAGAATTTTGCACTATCTATCGGAGGATAGGATCAAAGCCTATGAGGATCATGAAGGCTTTCGACATTTTTGTGTGGATCAAAAGTATGAATCATCAAATTCTCGTTGGTTGGAAGCTGCGGATTATGCAACATGTAGGGCTCTTTGTGAAAGGTTTTATGTGTTGCACTTGTTGCAATCGGTCACCCAGAAGGTGGCTCTCTTGGCCATCGCATGCATGTTGAATCGATATGAGGATGACAATGAAGAGGAAAACAAGACAAGTGGTGGCCACTTTCATGTTTCGGATAAGGATAGAGAGGAGTTGCAACAATGGGATATGATTGATCTGATTCATTTTGTCAACAGGTATTACAAAAAAGATTATGAGCAGTTTAAAGAGACTTTTCATTACGAGGAAAGTATTGGAGAGCCAAAGACAAAAAAGAACAAAAGCAACGAGAAAATAGATTGTGACACAAGTGGAAATAGTCGAATTGGAAAGATCAAGTTTGACTCGAACAAATTCAAAAATTTCTATTCTTCTTTACTTGTCATGAAGGAACTGATTGAAAAAGAGCAAACATCACACGATGACTTGGTGACTTCCATTGAAAATGTGTATAAGCAGCATATCTTCTCTTGTATCAGATATTTCAATAGCAGTTATGGAAAGAATCCAATGCTTGAGAGATTTTACTATCATATTTTGGAGCTCTACAGACAGACAGAACACAAATTAAGCTGTATCAAATTTGCAAAATTTGGAATGTTTTATGCTCGTAGGCATGTTCAATTACTGACTCGAATGCGTGACGTTTTGCTACATCAATCACCATTGAAAAATGATTTTGAAATTATTGAAAAATTTCTTATCAAACATATCAAACACTGCAAAGCACATGAGAAATGTCTTGAAGGAATTTTGCTCTTTTTCTATGATTGTACCGATATCGACTTGATGACGAGAATATTTGTTGAGTCTTCAGAAATTGATGACACCTTTGGCTACTCACACTGTAATTTGGGCTACTTGAAGGGTTTCAACGCATTTGGGAGTGCTGCCTTAACAGCAGAAGGTATTGAGCATTTTCATCAGTCTTTGAGACGTGCTTCGATCTCTGATCTTAAATTAATGACAGCCAACAGTTACAAAACACTTGGGTATGTGAATGTTGTCATTCATTGAATGGATATAATTTACTAACTGTAATTGAATGGTTACCTTTTTTTGATCATCCTTGAACGATAGTATTTTGAATATCATTATTGGAAATATTCCAGAGTCCATCCAGTGTCACTCCAAGGCATTACAAATATACCCAAATTATTACGACATTATCAAGGATCGATGTGAGATGTCTAGCATGACGAATGACTTACCTTCAGCTCTTCGTGACCTTCAGAAATGTCTTGAAATTGGACCTCAACGTAAAAAGGACCTCAGCGATCTCTACAATATGTTTGCCATATTTCAACAAAAGCTTGGAACTTCTTTGGATGATTTAAAGTTGGTATTGGAGAATGCATTGAGATTAGATCCTTCAAATTCCTATGCCTTTTTAACTCTTTCAACTTTTGCTATTGAGCAGCAAGATTTAGATGAATATTTGGACCTGCGTTTGGTGTTTCGTCCAACATCCTATCAAGGAATTTGTGACTTGCTGAATCAGGACGTGGCCGCCTTTGCCGTGTTTGATCCCATTCACAATACACAATTAGAGGAGGAGTATAGAACTAAGAGAAAGCATTTTACATCAAGCTATTTAAGAATTAGTTGACACAATTGTTTACTTTAACTCTTTCTTTTTACAGATATAAATATAATGATAGTTAGATTCTTCAGTATTGGGAATTGCAGAAAAGTTTTCCTTAGCTATTGGATGAAAAGTTTTTAACAGAAATGAATCTGAGAACTGTATGGTGACATTCGTAAATACTTACATATTTTTTCAACCTTTACATCCCATTGGAAATCCTCAACTTGAAACATGGGCAGTCTTAGTGAAGGAGGAGTATGTGACACCATGAAGTATATTCCATCTGGTTTCAGAACTCGATATATTTCTTCCAAATAACTCTTTCCATTATCCAAAGAATTTGACAGCTGTCAGATCATAATTTTTTCAAACGTGAATCATGACCAAATCATCCATCTCGCTCATTGATACTTACTAAATCTATGAAAATTGAAAATGATATTTTTCAAGAGATTACACCAAACTTACTGAACTCAAAACAGCCTTTATCAATTGCATAATCAAAATACCACGACGGAAAATTGGTTCTTTTGGCATCCATCGTCAGAACTATTGAGTACATTATTTTCCAACTCGCTCATTGAATTCATTCAAACAACAACATACATTCCAAATCAGGACTAGTGTTTTGCCTCCTCATAGCCTCAATCGCTGCTTCCGAATAATCAATAGAAGTTACTCTCTTATAACCATCTCGATGCATATCAAACGGCAAAGGTGAGGTTCCGCATCCAACATTCAATCCCGAAGAATCTTTGGATTTGATGTATTTTGAAAGGTAAAATTTGAGTCGATCATACGTTTGAAACCAATCAAAGGGTTCCGACATTCTGATCAGCAACATTGTCATCAATAAACACCAACTTCTTTTTCGCTTGTCCACTTACTTTTGATATCGATCATCCCAATATTCCTTATCTCCGTACGACGGAATCCAGGCCTTTGGGTGATTGTACTTGGAAGAAGGGTTTTGATGGAAGAGAGAGGAATTGAGGGAGGACATTTTTTTTTGGTTTGAGGTTATGTATAAACATGGGTCTTGGTTGACTTAATCTCTGGTTTCAATCATGTCTTTTATGTTGCTTCGATTGCCCTTCTTATCTTCATCAAAGAGGAAGGAAAGGAAAATCAAAGAAATTACTGTTAACATTCAATGTGACTCTGTTTCACTCCTTCAAATTCAGTATTCTTAACAGCGTTGTTATGAGGCAAAACATAAACACTAACCTGCCATACGATTTTTCAACTTTGTACATTATTTTGTAAAATTAATCATGCATGGTTTTTCCAGGACAGACCTTAATCGAGTCATGATTAGGTTAATGAAACTGATTCATGGTGAAACAAGAGGTTACCTTTCTCATCATTGTTGGAAGGATGGTACTTCATGTATTATTTATTTCTAAACTTGGTAAACTTCAATTTCTGAAACTTTGAATTTGTAGGATCCTGCTAAATAAGATTGAACTTGAGCATCTCTATATTTCAAGTTTTGTTGTTTCAAGGATTCAGGAAGGCTGTAACTTCTTCCTAAATTGCAACAATTCATATTTTCATTACACTTGTCTGTAATACTAATACCCCCAAACACTGCAAGGTAAGAGGAATGGCAATAAATAGCCTTCTCAGGTCTAGTCACAGGTAAAATTTCAAAAGTGCATGTTGAATCATGATATTTGAAAATAAATGCTTCTGAATCAGGTTTGCAATCGTCAGTATGATTCCATGTTTGTGTTGTGAAACCTCCAAAGATTTGATTGTGTTGTGATTTGATAATTGTGAGAGTTGGTGATTTTGAATCACATCGAGAATGAAATGTTTGTGCAGTGAATCCATCTCTGCTTCCACGATATAAAAGTGAACATTGAGAAACAGGTTTCTTCAATTTGAGAGTTGATGAAATTGAGAAAATTGCTTGTGCTGAATTCAATATATTGCTAGAACTGAATACATTCTCCGATTGACAATTTGAAATTTTCATTCCTTGAGTGTTAGCGTTCTGAATGTCACACCCAGTGAGATTACAATGTTCGAAAATGGAATTCTGTAAATTGGAGCCCTTCAAAATACATTCTTTCATATCGCATTCTTTTACGTTGCTGTCACTCAAATCACAACCACTCAAATTACATCCTTGTAGACAAGTCTTGTGAAATGACATTTTGGACATGTTACTGTTCTCAAAACTCACTCCTTTCAAATTCTTGTTATCAAAATTCACTTCTGTCAAAACGCATGAATTGAAAATTGTTGTGCTGTCTAGTTGGCAATCATTAAAACTACATGAAGAGAAATTCACTTGTTTGAATTCACTTTCACGTAAATCACATTTGTTCAAAGTTGAGTTTGAAAGATCTAATGATGTTGAGGAAGGTAGAGCCGATTGAATCAATTTACAAGCTTTCATTTTGGTATTTTCATTGAAGATAATAGTTTTCAAATTCACTTCTTGGAACACTGAATCAGAAAGATCAGAGTTGCAAAAGTTTGTTTCTGCTAAAAGACATTTCACAAAAGTGTATCCTTTCAAAACAGTGTTACTGAGATCACAATGACTCAAATTAGAGTTTGTGAATGAATTTCCACCCATCACAAAATTCTTCACATCTTTTTGTCCAGAGAGATCCACTTGTTGCATGTTGCATTGTGTGGCACGAGTATTATTGTCCAAAATATTTGTTCTCAAATCCACTTGTTTGAATGAGCAATTGTTGAAAGAGGAACCACAAAAGTTGGTGTTTTGAAGGATGGTTGTTGAAAACTCACATCCCACAAAGGAGCATTTGCTTAGATTGTATTCACTTAAATTACAACCACTCAAATCAACTTGTTCCATTTTACATCCTGAAAGAGTTGTTTTGGAATTAAATTTCAGTTTTTGAAGAATGATTTGTTTGAATGAACATCCTTCAAGATTCGTGTTTGAGAAATTCATATCTGTCACATTTTCAAAAACAGATCCTCTCAAATCAAGATTGCTCATGTCACATCCATTCACATTACAATTAATGAGTTGTGTGGTATCTATGAACAATCTGGTGATGTCTGATCTTTCTTGTAAATTGCAATTCAAAAATTGACATTTCACCATTTTAGTCTTATCATCAATCACAACTGTTTTGAAATCATAAGAAAGAGAAGCAGAGAGAATTTTTGAATTGTTGAAAGTGCAATAAACAAAAGTGCACTCACAAAATTCACTTTCACTCAGATCACAGTTAGAAAAATTAATATTTGAGAATGAATAACGTTCTAATTTCACTCCTTTCAATGATGCATTATTCAACTCAACACCTTCCAATTTGGTTGAGATGAATTTTGTGTTCTTATCAAACAAACAACCTTCAAGATTGGCTTTTGTGAAATTGGTTGAGTTCAATTTGGCACCACAAAAATTGGAATCTCTCAAGTCACAATTTGAGAAATCAACATTCGTCAAATCACATCCTGAAAAGTTGCATCCGTTCAAACGAGAATTGTTGATTTTGAGATCTTTCAAATTCATCTTGCTGAAATTTGAGCGAATGATTTCACAGTGACTCAAATTCATGTTTTGCATGACCAAACTTCTCAAATCCATTCCAGACAAATTCAATGTGGTTTTTTGAGATCTTGAAAGATTGACCATATTGATGAAATCAATTTGAGACATTTTCAATTTGGTATTCGATGAAGATCCATCTTCATCTTCAAGATTTTCCAACTCTCTCAACAAGTTGAACAAATGGAACGATTTGGCTTTTTTCATGACTTGATTTCGGAGAGTTTTGTTTGATTTACAAACTTCAACACATCCATCTGTCATCCATGAATAGATTTCTTTAAAAACACTCAAATCACAATCCACAAAGAAAACCTTATCAGTGAACAAGGTGCAAGGTGTTTCATACAATGGATATTCTCCTGTGAACATTTTCTCAAATAAATTCTCAGGTTCTCTTTCATTTCTAAAAAAGTGACCCAATGAAACAGTCATCACAGTTCCTCCCACATTCAAGTGAATGGGTTTGTTGGAATTTTCCAATTTGTAACGAGAGAGCTTCTCTTGTTCAAATTCTTTTCTTTCCAGTTCTAATTGTTCTTTCATCTTTTCAACTTGTTTCATCATTTCCTCCTTTTCTTGCATCAACTTGTTCTTTTCTTGTTCCAAAAAGAGAGAATTTTCCATGTTCATTTTCTGAGATCGTTCTTGAAACTCTTGTTCAAATTGAGCCATCTTTTCTTCAAATTCCTTCTCCAAATCACGTTTCATTTGTTCCACTTGTTGATATGCTTCATGAAGGGGACAATATTTCTCTTGATGATCCTTCAATTCACCTCGATTCACAGCATTCTTACACATGGGACAAAACACTTTCAATTTATCCAATTGACTTTGAAGATTCTTTGCGGCAGGAAAACGCAAGGATGCAAAATCTGCTTCACGACACATGGGACATGGTTTCAAAGGATCTGCACATTCATTGCAAAATGTATTTCCGCATGTGGCATGAATGACTGGTTCAAAAAATGGGAAAGAACAAATGGGACAAATTAAATAATCATCAATTTTGTCCAAATCAACATAATTGAAAGAAGTAGATGTCATTTTCTGATCTTCTTGTTGTTGAGTGATGAGAGATGATGTTTGAGAGGCAACTTGATTCTCGCCATCTCTCCCAAAATCACCAGAAGAAGGGAATGCTTGGTTGGGATTTCTCATTTTTTTGGGTTGACAATTCACGTTCTTTTGATGCCTGACATATGAACACCAACAGTTTACAATGCCGAAACTTGCTGAAAGTTGGCAGAGTAATTGTTATTGGGCTTTGGGAATTCTGGTCGTTCAATGAAAATTGATACAGAGGATGCAACAAACCAGGGTTCGGATTGTTTGATTAACTCGCTCTGAATGTGCCAAAGAATTGGAAAAATTGGTGATATCGTATGCAGCAGTTCATGTTATTAACAACTTGATTCTAAATTGTTCGATTTAATTCAAGTCATGTTGTTTCTTCTTGAGATATAATTTCAATCGAAATGCGCTTCCTTGATTTAAATAATATTTATGCAATCGTTTATCTCTCATAAATCCTAATTTTTCATAAAACGAAAGAGCCGATGTGTTCGAAAGTTCAGTCTCCAAAACCACTTCATCACAGTTTGCTTTTCTCATTTCATCAATGACTCGTTTTACCAGCTCGGAAGCAATTCCTTTTTTTCTATATGGCTTTTCCACAGCTAACATGGCAATATATCCTCGTATGCTCTTTCCACGATGATCTCCACTATTTCCGACACAAGCTCCAACAAACCTATCACCATCAAAGGCTAATACGGTTTGTCGGGGACAATCATTCATGAAATATCGATACGTATAGACTGAATAGGGCTCACTCAAATGTACATCCATGAGAGCTTTAATTTTTGTAATATCATGTTCTCCTTCATAGAACCGATAAGTAATTGGTTGCGTGGTGGATGATGGTGTGGTGGATTCCGAAGATGATGATGATGGCAAAGGACTCGTTGGATTTTCACTCATTTTTTGTTCTGTGTTTTAAGACGTATTGAAACTAGGCTTGGATTAAGTCATCTGACCTTACTTCTGAACACCTTTTGAAAAGAGTTCGTTCAATCGGCATGCAATGTCTTCATTTAAGGTGGAGGATGAGTTTGAAGAAGAGTGGTTCGATGAAGCAATGTGTACATCTGCACAAAAAGGAGCTCTTTTCTTGCTGAGTTGATCCAATTTTTGAGTCGCGTCAGTCAATTGTTGACTGAGGGATTGCTTTTCAGATTGCAAGTCTTTCACAAGTTGAGACAATTGGACCACTGCTTGTTGCAAGTCTGTGAGTGTGGATTCTTGTGAGGAAATTTTAGCTTCGTTTTCTGCCTTTTCTTTCAAAAGTTTGGTCATTTGTTCATGCATGGCCTTGAATTCTATTTGCATGTTAATGAGCTCAGATTCACGTTTGAGTCGCAAAGTCTTCTCGCTTCTCTCTTCTTGCTTTTTTAATTCTTCCTCCGTTGGGGTTTCTCGATTCTCGTTTCCTTCCAATCGACCTGTACAACTTTCATAGCCGCTATCATTCGTTTCTTGTGAACGTGGAGAAAAATCGACATGAGGTGCATCGGGAGGAGCTTGCTTACTATTTTGTTTGGGTAGATTTAGTTTGATCTTTTGAGAGGATTTCTTGTTTTTAGAGTTGTTTTTGGTTTGTGATTGTTTTGGTTTGGAATTTCGTTTGGACATTCGGTGAAATATAAACTCGTGGGTGTCAAAGAAATTAGAAAAGAGTTTGTGAGACTCGAATTTTTCACTAAACTCTGTAATTCCAAAGTTAAAGCTTAAATTAATGTAATCAATCCTCTCATTATGAACCACCACATCTAAAAAATATGAAATTCCAGTAACTCCAATAATATTTTTGCTTAAATCGAGCTCTTCATACGTATGAACATTATGTAATATTTACCATTCAGAATTCATAAAATTTGGAAAAGCTATTCAAATCAAACTCTTGAAATCATTGAAAACTTACTTTTCAAAGTATTTTCTTCGCAAAGAATTTGAGCCAGTGCTTTGGCTGTTGAGTCTGAAAAGAAATTGTTGGACATATCCAGGGCAATCAAGTCTTCGACAGTGTCAAGACACTCCTCTTCTCCTCTCAAACTGTACAACCATGCTTCATGACTTTTTTGATTTTCTCGTTCTCGCATCATGTTTATAATAAATTGAGCGCTGTCATCCGATAAACAACATCCACTGATTTGAACTTTGCTCAACTTTACAAAACTCGTCAGTATCGATCCAATATCTTTAAATGCTTCATCCCCAAGAGCTGTGTTTTTAAGAGACAATGTTCGCAATGAATTTCTTGCTTCTAACAAACCCTTTTGCATAAATGAGGTGCATTGTTTAGTGAGAGGTATACCAATGAGTTCAAGTTTTGAGAGCAACCCACTAAAACATGGGGTCAGAATTCTTGACAATTTTAAAGCATCTGCTGGCTCTAATGGATCGACCAAATTGATCGATCTTGAGCTGGTTTTTCTTTCGAGTTGATTTGTATTTCTCATTTGATGAATCATCATGGATTCCTTAATGGAGAGCAGTGAAGGGGATGAAGATGCTCCTCCTTTTGACACTTTGGAGAGAGTTGAAAAATCTCGAACATAGTTCGATTGACCCCAAGCCAACCTGATCGTATGAAAATGATGACGAGAGTTTTTTAAAGCTACCAAACATTTCCTCCAGTGCTCCTGAGGGATCAGATCGAGATCAACCTCAAACATTGCCCTCGACAAGCTGTTCATGACAATAAAGTCAAGTGGTTCCATTCTCACTCTTCGACAATACGCCGAATACAAGGAATGGAATGGCTTATCCAAGTCACTCTTTGAGGTTCGAACGGCTGACGAGCTCATGGTTAGTGTTTCAGTGGGATCATTGGAAGTGGTGGTTTTAGTTTCAGCAGAAGCAAGTGAGGCAGCTCCTGAAGGAAATTGCTTTTTACCTGTCCTCTTCGTAGGTTGTGCTCCACTTTCGGAACCTCCCAATTGAAAGGGTATAGTGTTGGGAGAGGCTGAAAGTGGGCGTAAGGGTATTCGGCTTTGAAAATTTGAGGATGATGATGCAGCTTGTCCTCTTGGATTCGATCGGAATTGACCTGCCGACATGGGCCTTGTCGAAGGTGGATGATGATGAGATGAGGTCAAGATCGAAGGAGGAGGAAGATGGTTGGAGATTTTACTGGTGGGAGATGAAACATTTTGCGGATGATGATGTTGCTGAGGCATGAAACCATGATGATGAGGTTGAGTTTGTGGTGGATGATGATGAGGAGAGTTTCCAATCCATGAAGATGGTGATAAAGTTGGGACTGCCATTGCTGATGATGATGAATTAAACATCACCACTCGTTGCGTGGGATGCTGTTGCTTGTTATTACTAGGAGAAGAAATGGGTCGATGAGTCTCCGTTGATGCTCCTGAATTGCTTCCTCTCATCATGGTACGACTCTTTCAAATGGTTGTTGAAAATATGCGAGAAGGATTGATCTGAATATTGTTTTTGAAAGAGAGTGACCGTTACGAAATAATTATTAAATCAGAAATTTCGTAAATCAGATTTGGCGGGTGGTTTCAAACTCAAAAACTTACCCATCGATTCCTCTGCCATTATGGACCTGCAGCAGCAATTTATTTTCGTTGTTGAGAGGAAGAAGATTGTGTTTGAATTTGAGAGGAATTATCAGCAAAACGTTCGTCCAACAATGGATTCGACAAATTATTCACATAATTTTGAATACTCTTCAAGTGGATGGACGTAATGACTTCATACATTTGATCCCGAGTAATTTTCATATTTTCAAATTGCAAGATATCTTCATTCGTTAATTTTCCCTTCTTATTGATCACTGTACGAACCAGTTTGATGATAGGAATGACATCGGGATGAGAGGTTGCACTGGGAAGGCCTCCATATTTCATCTCATTCAATTCATCCACTGTAAATCCAGCCTTTGTTTTCAGAAATTTAGCGTGCATTTGTATGCAATATTCATCTCCGTTGAGTGATGATGTAATGTATTCAACGATATGTCTTTGGATGAACGTGAGAGTGGCATGTTCCTTTTTCAAATTAATTCCTTGAAGATAGACTTGAATAGTGAAAGGATCTTTACACATTTCGGCCAAACTGTTTGGAACAAATCCAAACATACTCTTCACCTTTTCTTCTAAATCTTGGCTGACTGGCATGATGATGTTGGTTCGAGAGGTGTTTTGATGATTTAAAATTTTTGTGATGACAGTTGTCCAAGAAACAAGAACGTCAATAATTATTTCAACAAAGGATAGAAGGGTGTGATGATGATCTGCTATGGTATCTGCAAATCAGAGCTCAACAACACTTGTGGATGGTTATATCGAGGATTTAATGAGTGGATGTATTTTTTGATCCAGATTTGTCTTTGGCATTTGAGTGATGTCTGCAGAGAGGTTTCATCGAACCAATTTGTCCTTTCCGCACCGGCTTGGATTTCAATTTTACTAAGGTTCATCCCACGCATAGTATAGTTCTGTCTGTCATGCCTTCAACGGAATCCACATGAAGAGAGTTAAATGAGCCAGTTCATACTCTACTCTTATTGAACGAAGAACAACCTTAGAGCACAGGATTGGATTCCAAGACTTAATGAAACTCTTGATCATGCCTTCATAGCAAGATGCATCCCCTTCTATTTTTGTGAGACATGTGAATTTCAAACCATCCTCACCATTGTATCGACAAGGAAATGGGTTGTTCTGTCTCGCTCCAATAATTTGAAACCTTCACTTTCATATAATTTCACAGCTGACTGCATGACCTCCGGCAGCGTGACCAACAAGACGGTTTCCACTTGCTGTTTTCTTGCTTCTTCCAACGCAACAGTTAGTAGATATCGTCCTAGGCCTTGCTTTCTGTACATTGGATGAACAGATAACATTCGAATCCATGCTTGTTTTCCATTCCTCAATTTTGAATTAATCTCTTCATCTCGATTCTGGAATGCAACTTCAAGAGTTGCAAAAACTTGAAATTCGGTCTGTATCGAGGGACTCACATATAAATCCACACATCCAACAATACGATTAGAAGCCTCATCTCTCAATATCCAAACCATACTCTCCTCAAAATCACTTTCCGAATACAGAGCAGGAAAATCCTCATGTAAACAACTTTCTTGAACAATTCTTTCCTCTTCATTCCGAGTCGAAGTTTCCAAATGAATAGGAACATGAAATTGTTTAATTTCTTCTTGTTCCGAAAGTGTGGCTCGAAAACATTGAATATGACTGGGCAACAACATCGTGAGTGGTCGTGACTTCATTTTTTTTGTGGATGTTTTCAATTTTCCTTAAATCCTTTTTCTTATTTGAGGATGTTTGTTGCAAAAGTCATCCAACATCCTTCTATGGATAAGAAGATTGTGAGAAGGCCTTACTTTTAATATTGCCTTGAAAGTTTGTCATTGAATGCTTTACAACTGTAATCAATGTTATTCCTAACTTTGTTAAACTGTAAAGCAATGAGATGGGTCACTCACCAAGGTTAGTTTCCATCAATCAACGAGAACTTTTTCACCCTCCAATGAAATAATTGAAGGCTTGTGAGACTTCTATTAAGTGGTGTTGGGACTGCACTTCACGATTCGCTGTTTCAAGACAAATTTAGCGAAAGACATTTCTGGGAGTTCATTGCGATGATTTTCTCCTGTTTCGCTCTCATGCTTATCGCTTTCCATTTTCTGAAAATTTCATCAATACTTGAAATGCATTCTCACACTGGTGACTAGATGCATTGTATACTTGCCGCACTAAACAACAAAGAGTGAATGAGCATTTCATTTTGCTTCACAACTCAATAAGGTCAAAAGCATTGGATGACCAACAACTCTCTACATAGTTACGTAAATTACATAATTTATTTGAAAATAATAAACTTTGAATTTGGATTTGTCTTTTTAAACGAAATTTCTTCAAACATGTTATGACCAAATCGAACTCGATAATTGCTGGAACTATTGCTTGAACCGTTACCACACATTTTGTTTGATTTGGATATTTTACAAAGTGAAGGTGAAGAATTTGAAAAATCATTTCCTCCTGTTGTGTTCGAATTGCTCGATAAACAGGGTGAAGATGAAGTTTTCGAAAGTGAAGCCTTCTTTCGAGGCTTCTTTGGTTTACCATTCATCGGCATGTCATTCGTGTGGAAACTCATCGTTGAGCTTGCTAATGATGGACTTGATTGAGGGGATGAGGTTTGAGATTCTGTTACAAATACATAGGATGAAAACTTTTCCGAGAAGGACTGTTGTCGAACTGGCAGATCTGACGAGGCTGTGGATGCTGTCATGTTGAAGGATGATGAAGAGGAGTCTTGTGTTTGTACAAGTGGTTGTTGTGGTTGTTGTTGTTGATGTGGTTGTGGTGAATTGGAAGACCATTTCAAACCCAACGATGAAGGACAATCTTTGAGCACTTCATCGATCAAGTGATACATGGCTTCCTCACTACTGTCACCCTCATTACTTTTGTTATAATTAATAGTGTTACTTGTCTCGTTAGGAGTTCTCGTCATACTATTATTCAATAACGAGGAAGAGGAGATGGATGACAGATTTAAATGGTTCATGGTTTGATTGAGGAGAGAAAGGAATTGTTGTTTGGTGGTGTGTTGTCCAACACCTTCATGATCAACAACACTCATTTGAGAGGACGAAGAGTTGTCCTTCAATGTTGGTGCTTCATGAGAGTCTTTGGAAGAGAGGGTCCCTGTCACTTGCCACATTGGATCCAAATTGGAAGAACACGAGTTATTCATACAACTTTGGCTCGTCGGATTCAAGACGTAATAGGAACGAATCATCGATTCAACGCTCTCAAAGATCTCTTCGGGCGATTGTTTGTTGCCGAACACCTGCGGAGGAGAATTCGATCGACTCGAATATTGCGAAGATGGTTGCGAAGATGAGGACGACGAAGAGTGCGAATTCAAAGTCTCTTTCAATGCATTTGAGGAACAACAGTTCGTGAGATCACTCGTGGCCCAAGCGAAGAGTGAATGTGGATGATGAAGGAGATGATGATTCGACCCATCTTGTTTATGATCATGAGGATTCGTCGAGGTTGAGAAGAGAGGATGCATCCCCTCTTCTCGAGAAGCAATTAGATCGGTTGTAGCATTGAGAGGATGATGACGAGATGGAATGACATTTGGCAGAGAGGTGAACATGAGAGGTTGTGGAAGATGCATTTTGTGTAGAACTTTGAAACAGTTTCTGTCGAGATGACGGTGGTTCAGATGCAGAATATAGATGTGGTTCAGCTTGGATAGATTCGGTTGTAGAAGTGTTGTGGTTTGGTAACAATAGCTTGGCGTGTGTGGATGTCAAGGTATTCTTTTTGAAAATTGTTGTTGTTGGATGACACTTGCCACTTTTAAAGTGCTCTTTGTGTGCCCTAGCTGAACCTTTTGTGAATCTCAACGATTACAATTATCCCAACTAGCTAATATCACAGCTGTCATCAATAATGCACATTTCTGTCATCAATCCATACCTTCTTGTCAAGTAGTTGCCAAACGTCAAAATCTTGAGGTAAAATTAAAACCGCGAAAGTGGGAGATAGACCCTCAAAATGTGTGGTTGCCAGAACTGTTTCACGTTTTACAATAACGTGAATCTTACTGACAAGATTTTTCGCCGTATAGTATAAAATATGGATGTGACCTATCTTGAAAACGACAGATCTTTGAATTTGGTAAGTATTGGCACTGTTGTTCACCATCGGAGGATTGGCCAATTCAAGGGGAGACAGACCTCTCGTCGGTTTTGACATCACCGGGATCTCTTTCAAACTCTGTGTGTTGAGGTTCTGAAGAGGGACTCTGGTGGTCGTTCTTCTTATTCTTCATCAAGGCATTGAGGACTCTCAACTACCTTACTTCTTTGCATTCTCTTCTTCTCCTCATACATATTCAGTGAATGAAAAACATTCCTCATAATTATATAGGCCATTCATTCCTTTATCTTTCAACCCTTTCAATCTTTTCGGTTTGAGAAAAAATGCTTAGCCTCGAAGTAACTTCGTTGCCCTCTCTTGAAGGTGAAACGAACAAGTCGTTATTGATAGGAACAACGACGACTTGTACGCCGAGTAATATTGACTCGGGTGGTAGTGGAGGATCGTTAGTTGAACAATCGTCCTCGCATTCATCATCAAAGAGTAAATCAAAGAAAAAGCAAGGAAAGTCTTCCAAGAGTTCGGGATCGGGAAATACGTCAATGACCACAAATTTGTTGCCCTCTCCATCGGCCAATGTGGTCGTTGAGCCTAGTATATTGGAGAGTTATATTAAATGTAAGTAGCAGTTGGGTGGAAATATCGCCAGGTGAATATAATTTTGATGGACGCGCTGATGATGATCGGAATCACAGCCATTGAAACATTACCAGTAGAAATCAAAAAAGATCTCGCTACCATACGTGAATTGGATAAAAAGTGTGCAAGTGAGTATTATCCAGTGTTGAATCATGAATTTAATAATTGATTTTTTCACATGATCGTGAATGAAATGTCCACGTGATTATTATTATTCGTGATTATTATTCGCTTCACCAATTTTTTCATCACAAAAGAAAATATCAACATGGCCAATGAAAGTTCAGTGTCTAAAAAGACTGATGAAGAGAAATTGGAGGAAATTAAACCACTGATGACGGATGCTATTAATTTATGTAACGAAAAATGCAGTATTGCAAAGAGGGCGATGAAGACAATTTCGCTTCATATCGAAAAAATTGATAAGGACATTGAGGAATTATCGAAAATACTTCAGCAAAAACCTCAAGTGTCACTCAAACTAGAATCCTTGTACATTCCACAGCTTCCTGAAGATTCAGAAGTGAGCTATTTCACAAATTCTGAGCAAATACCTGGTTTATCTAACGAAAAATCGACCGTACAAAAAAACAAACGTCTCGTTCAACACTCAGAAAACTTGAAAAATCTCAAAATTGGAGCCCTAAAAGCATATCCAGAGAAGGAATTGCATTCTCATGTATTTAATCACACACCAGAGCAAGAGGGTCTTGTGCGTGGAAATTCAACAACCACTCGGTCATCATACAGTCATAGTAGTAGTACTTCAACAAAAAAGGCAGAAAAAGATACAAGCTCACTAGTCACCATCAAAACAGCGGGTGGATCGGTAATTTCTGTTCCACCTCCTGATGGAGCAGCATCTGATAATGCATTCAAGCCAAATCCTCTTCCTCTTTTATCTGTGGAAACGAGAAAAACAAAACAAAAGAAATCAACATCTCGTGCTCATCAAGATATCACCATCAATTGCACAGATATCACTGCTGTGAGAAAGGAAATTATTCCAACAACTGCTGAACTGACGCCAACCGATATCTCAGAAATCAAAATCTCAAAGAAAGAGGGAGCCAAGAAGAGAAAACAAATTTCTGCAGCCACTTCCACATCCAAAAAGAAGAAGCAGCAAAAAGCAGAACCATTGGTGGCCGAACCAGTTGTGGATCAAACAATCTACGTTCCACTTGAGGAAGAAGGACCACCAGACAATACCAGATATTGTTATTGCCAAAAAACCATGGCTGAAAAGGATGACAAAATGGTGGGTTGTGACGGTGAGAACTGTCCCTATAATGGATGGTTTCACATTTCTTGTCTTTCACCTAGCGAGGACTATACTCAAGAAAAGTTCTATTGCAAGTCATGTTCAAAGAAATATCGCAAAAAGAAGAAAAAACATTAGTGCATGTACCAAATATAGCTTAATTTATTAACAAATTGAATCCATTCTCTTCACTCTTTTCACTGTTAGAGATGAAGACTCGATGATGAACGATTGTGAACACAACGATGTCATTCGTTCTACACATGAACTGTTTCACTCAGTTCTTGCATCATCGACTGTTCCTTTCGATGAATTCTCATTCTATAATAATGCATGGCTAAAGAACAGCTCCTAAACTGAGCAATCCACAAGATGCCAAACGAAAAACTAACATCCGCATAGCCCCAACTCAGCTTTGACAAACAAAACATCAAACCCACTGCATTCAAACCTGCATAAAGAACCATCAAGAGTGGATCTTGACACCACATGGCCATCCAACCACATGAAATTCCTAAAAATCCAACACATAAAATCCCCACTGGAACATGAGACACATCTCCAATAAGAAGACAAAAGCATGCGATCAAGCAGAGAGAAAATACATTCAGAAGTGGATCCACCTTGATCAAACCATACTTTTCATACAAAATGTCCAACATGGTATTCAAACGATGAAACAGAGGTTCCACGAAAGGAGCCAACCATTCAAATAATGGCGAAGGTGGAATTTGAAGATGCATCGTGTTGCGTGCAGGAGTTTGTTGTTGTGTGTTCGGAACGGTGTCCATCGGAATCGGAGACGATTGTTGTGAAATCTCCACGTGTTGTGAATGTGGAATGGAAAGGTGTTGTTGGAAGTCCTGTTGTGATGCCGTTGAGAGAGTGGAGTTGTTGTTGTTGTTGTGGTCGGTGGGGTTGGCGATTGATGTGATATTGGAAGAGATGGAAGAGAGTGGTGGATGTTGCATATCTTTTGTTTTTTCGTTTCTGTGGTTGTTCCGAGTTTTGTGATTGTTCAAATTCTTTTGGAGAGAATTTCAAGGAATTTCAATAGAGCTGTTGTTTATAAGAAGATCGTGAACAATTCGTTCGTTACAACAAGTTTTTGCCCACGTGGTTATACATTTTTGGAAATAATGACGATGAAGATGATGTCGTGGACCTCAACACGTGTGTCATCAAATGATTTGATAATCAGAGCTTTTCAGATATTCATTACTTTTGAATAGATTCATATATAGAGAGAATGACAATTTCCCTTAAATACTTTAAAAAACGATCGATGATTCAAAGAATATTCACTCATTCTCTTCATTTATCCAAAAAAAGATCTCACACTCAGAATTGGAATTGTTCCATCTCTCCAATTTCACAAATAATTCAAAAAAACAAACTCTCACATTGTGTGAGCGTTCCCGATCGATTCACTACAACCACCGTTCATTCGCATTCACTCTTTGACATTTCTGATAAAATTACAGAACATTTATCGTGAATTAATTTGTAAAATAATAATAATTATTGATCTCTCTTTTTGTTGAAGTGAACGAAGTCTAAAGAATTCCTTTCGTCTAAAGAATTCCTTTCAATTTTTTAATTGTTTGTGATCGACTCTTCTTCATTCTTCCAATATTCGAGAGTAATCATCATTCGATCCTTCTTCATGTTCCTTCTCCTCAATTTTTTGATACAACATCCCTTGTGGTGTCTGGTCGGTTCAATTCTCTTCATTCTTTTCTGTCTATTCCTCAAACGTTATTGCAATGGTCCAATGCTTCCCGAGGAATTGGCCAATTCTAAGGAATCTCTCACAGGTCGTGTGGTTGTCATTACAGGAGTCTCTCCGAATGGCATTGGATATGAAACAACTCGAGTGTTGATGGAAAGAGGTGCAACTGTGGTGATGGCCGTTCGTGATGTTGAAAAGGGAAAACGAACTCGACAAATGTTGTTGGAGTCGATTGCAAATGAGACGAGGAGATCCCTTGCAAAGGTGATTGCCATGCATTGTGATTTGAATGATTTGGATAGTGTGGCTAGTTTTTGTGAAGATTTTAGAAATGATTTTAAGGAGAGATGTCACATGTTGATTTTGAATGCGGGAATTTATGATCCAAAACCTTCCATGACGAAACAAAAAATTGAATCACATTTTGGAGTGAATCATTTAGGTGAGTATAATGTATATAATGGTTATGAAAAGTGTTTATGAAAATGATTATGATTTTGAATAATTGGTGTGTTGGGAATAATTGTTTTATTTAATTCTCGAATGATATGAACTTGTGAACAATATTGAATTTCCAACTTGTTGAAAATTGAAACAATTGAAATAGCTCACTTCTTAATGACATGTCTCTTATTTGACATTTTGGTCAAATGCAAGGCCAGAGTCATTGTTTTAACCTCTAAACTTCATGAATACTACAATCCTCATCTCGAAATGTTCAAAGAACCAAAATTATTCCTCAACAATGATGGATCTAAAATCAAAGAAGACATGTATAGTCGATCCAAATTTGCAAATATTCTCTTTTGTAAGAAATTGGATCGAATGTTTGAAGAAGCCACTTGTTCCGATCCCTCTTCTCCAACTTTATCCAATTCCGATCGAGCTCATTGTTATTGTGTACATCCAGGATTGGTCTCTACAAATATTTCACAACGAATTACCAATCCATTGTCATTCCTCTTTTACAAATTTATTGGAAAATTAATTTCTAAGGATGTCGTTCATGGAGCTCAAACAACATTATATTGTGCCTTTCAGAAATCAAATTTATTGCAAGGGGGTGGATATTATGCAGATTGTGCCGATCGACGACCTCATCGATTGGCAATTTCTTCAAATATGCAAGATGATTTGTGGCATTTGAGTTTGAATTTGTGTAAAAAGTACATTCCAGAAGAGAGTGAAGACGATGAAGCTTCCCGAATGTAATGTACCTGTGTTTTATGCATCGATCGATGAATGTTAGTTATTGTTGGCACACGAACTACTTCGAAAAGGTGCAAGATGTGAAATCCTTTTGTAATCCAAGGAATTCCAATAAATCAATTTCGTTTTTTGAAGATGATGGTCACTCCAAAAATTTTGTTGTCCAGTCAGGGCAACAGGAACCAAAGTGAAGTGTCAGACGTGATTCTGAGTCTGTCGATGTCCACACTGCATAAACCAAAAGGAGAATTCCTCTGCGTGATCGTAATTTTCTTAATGCAAATTCCAAAACACAAGTTTGAACAGTTGTAATTTAAAATCTCCAAATTAATCCATTGCTCTCTCGATGGATGTAATTTGGAAAATACAAGGCTTTCAATCTCTGCAACAAATTGCATCTACAACATTGATGATGATTTAATTTGCCCCATTTGTCAATATCCATTTTGTCAACCAGTGGTTCATGCCAAATGTGGAAATACATTTTGCAATGAATGTGCAGATCCTTTGAAACCATGTCCCATGTGTCATGACGCAGATTTTGCATCCCTGCGTTTTCCTGCTGCCAATAATGTTCGAAATCAATTGGATAAATTGAAAGTATTTTATCCAATGTGTAAGAATGCTGTGAAACGAGGTGAATTGAAGGATCATCAAGAGAAATATTGTTCTCTTCATGAAGCATATCAACAAGTGGGAAAAAAACAGAAATATCGTTTGAAAAAACAATTTGAAGAAAAGAATAATAATACAAACTTGGAACAGGTGGAAACCATTCATTTGAATGTGGGTGAGAAACAAGTCGATCAACAAATTGATACAGTATTCCATTCAAGCACAATTTTGAATTCGAAAGTAGCTTCATTGATATTCACAAGTCTGAAATTGAATGTTTCTCAATGTTCACTTTTATATCGTGGAAGCAGAGATGGATTCACTGCACAAACATTTCATTCTCGATGTGATTCAAAATCACCAACTCTCACAATTATCAAATCACAACACAATCAAATCTTTGGAGGTTTCACAACACAAACATGGAATCATACTGACGATTGCAAACCTGATTCAGAAGCATTTATTTTCAAATATCATGATTCAACATGCACTTTTGAAATTTTACCTGTGACTAGACCTGAGAAGGCTATTTATTGCCATTCCTCTTACCTTGCAGTGTTTGGGGGTATTAGTATTACAGACAAGTGTAATGAAAATATGAATTGTTGCAATTTAGGAAGAAGTTACAGCCTTCCTGAATCCTTGAAACAACAAAACTTGAAATATAGAGATGCTCAAGTTCAATCTTATTTAGCAGGATCCTACAAATTCAAAGTTTCAGAAATTGAAGTTTACCAAGTTTAGAAAATACATCATGTACATGTTCAACATGGCACACTTTTTAAGGGCCATTTGTTCATTTGCCAAGTAATATTTACTTTAATGAAAAAGATAAATAGATGGTCGCATCGAAATGGTAATTTTACGTCATTTATACAAGCTCAATATCATCGTTGTCTTCCTCATCATTATCGTCTTCTGCAAATTGGTCCAATAGTTCATCGCCATCTTCCTCATCAGTATCATCATTTTCCTCATTATTTCTCTGTGATTTACTTGATTTCGTGTATTCAATATTGTCATCATGTTCCTCCTCAACTTTATGATTGTCCACTTCATCCACCATGGTATCCTCTGTGTTGTCTTCCAGTTGTTTCTCCTTCTTCTCCTCTTCCTCTAATTTCATCCTTCGTTTCAATAATTGCTTATTGTATGCATTCTTGCCTCGTTGAAGTTTCTGAATACGTTCATAGAGTTTTCTATTTCTTCGAGAAGCCATCACCTTACGCATTTCAATGAGCTCTTGTTCTCGTTCTTCCTTCTTGTTTCGAGGTTTGTTCGATAATTGTTGAAGTTTGAGTTCGTCTTTGGATTTTTGTCTTGCCTTTTCCAATTCTTGTTGAACATCGGCAAATTTCTTTCCCTCAATTTCAGCAACAAGTTCCATGTGATGTCTCCCCTCTTCTTCATCGCTGACGTCATCTAAATCTTCCAAAACTGCAGCCTCCTCAGTGTCATCTTCAACATCTTGTTGATATTGTTTCTTAATTAATTTCAATTCCTTTTCAACCATGGCTCGAATTTCCTCAGCATATTTTGGCATGTATGTGTCTTTCTTGTATTCCACAAATGGTGACAAGTGAGGCGGTAATTTCTTTCCAGGAGCATAGGGCTCAACAGGAAGTTTGATCATGGCATTCACACAATCAAACACGTATTGAGGTTGAACATATTCACGATCCTTAATCATCTTTTCGGGTGGAATTTTTCGGTCCACAACCATGTGAGTAATCTTATCGTAGGTTTCATCGAAAGGCGAGTCTTCAGAGGCCCATCCACACTCACCTCCAAATGATTTGACAATAAATTCCAATGCAGCCTTTGGACATTCTCTCGAGAAATAAAAGACCAATCCTTTGAACATGCTCTTAAATTTGTTCATAAATACTTCCTCGGGAGTAGTGGGTTTCTTTTCATCGTTCTCATGACTCTCAATAGCAGGGCCAGCCACAGAGCGCAAATCAACATTTTCTTCTACATCGTTTTGTTTAATGGCATCGATCAAATAACTCTTATCACTCTTGGCAACATATTTTGGTGGATATTCAATATTCGCGTCATTGTAGAGCTTGTAATTCACAAAGGTCAATAAAGTTAAATAAAATTGAATAAAACTTCTAAAGATGTTAAAATCGACATTTTCTGGAATCACTTGTGGGAAATCATAGGGAACAATCCAAGTAATGTCTACACCCTGAATGTTTGCTTGATAATAAATTCCCTTGAACGATAAAAACACTTTCCTCAAACTCTTTGTTTGACACACATAGGAACAAAACTCATCACACAATCGTTTGGCATTTTCCGTCATTTCGGCAGTGACTTTACCCAAACCAGCTGGAAGGTGAGTATACATGAAGAGAATGCAAAGACAATCATTTAAATCATTGAGAGCCGATTGGAAAGAAGGATATCTTTCCTTGACAAGGTGATCATAGGTAAATTCGGGTTCTAATTCTTTCAAACGTTCCAAATGCTCGACATCTCCTCTTCCTTTAGCCTTTGCAACTCTTCGCAAGTAGGTTTTATATTCTCTCAATTTGTCCAAGAGAGGATCATGAGCAATAAAGTTAATATCCTTCTTGTAGTAGTAGGTTTTATCTTTGGCATATTTAGCAGCGTTTTTAGCCTTTGAATTCTTCTCGGGAACCTTTGGGTGAATACCTTTCAGAATGAGCAAGTGCCGAAAGTTGGCTCGGGATATTTGAAGCCTCTCTTGGGCACTGTTCTTGGAGATGTATTTGACTTTGGCAAGATCTTTGGTTGCAAAGAAATTCTTTTGTGGTGCTTTACCCATTTCTTGGAATTATTTTGTTGTGGTTGTGATGATGATGGTTTGAATCGGTCGGTGATGATGATGATGAAGGAAGTTGTTGTTGAATTTTTTTTGAACTCAATTTTTCATCAAATTCTTTGAACAGACAATGAATCGAGAAGGCAGAGACAAATATGTTGATGGATGATTGAATTTCATGATTCGAAAAATGTATTGTTGGCAACAATTTATTCATCAGCAGTGGTAGTGTGTGCTTGTGGTGTCAATGATGGTTGTCTGTCTTGTTTGATTTTCTTGTTGAGAGCAGCTAATTCAGAACATTCTCGTTGCAATTTGAAAATCAAATGAGAGGTTTGTGAGTTCTTTTCCGAGAGTCGATCGAATTCGTGCTTAATGTCGAATTGTTCACGTTTTCGTTTCTTATTCACAGTTTCAATTTCATGTAATAGAGCTGATTTTTCTCGTTCCAATAATTTGATTTGTTTTTGATAAGTTTCGATTGTTTTTCGTAGTGTATCCTCTCCGAATGCTTTGGTTAATTCCATATTTACAAGTGTATGATAATAGTACAATGGTTCATTTCTTTTGATATTCTCCAAATATTGCTCCTTCTCTTCTTCGTTCAAAAAGGGAATAAATTGTTCTTGATGCATCATCTTTTTGAAATGTTCAGCCAAGCCTAATTTTGAATGGGTGAATGAAGGAACATAATTTGGACCAATCTGTGGATGCAATAATTCATCCTTCTTCTCGACATTACTTTCCGATGATGATACTTGTTGTTTGGTTGCTGGTGATACATCCTTGTTCATTTCCTCTTCAATCATGTGGTCAATTTGTCGTTGGAGTATCTTTGCCTGAAATTGCCGATAAGCCTCTTGTTCTGGACTCATTGCCGATGATGAAAAAGACTCTACATCTATTTCAGCAGGTGCGGTCGTTTGGCTTCCGAGTGGATGCCGAACACTCCATTCGACACCATCAATGTAACACAAGGCATCCAAATGAATGTTGTTGTTGGACATTTTTTTGATCACGAGCCCTTAAAAAATACCGCAAGATGAACATCAGAATTGACTCTTGCATGCTCCACAGCCTGGAAAGACGTTTGGAAAGAATTGAACAACAAGCGAATTACATTTCAGCTACCCTCAAACAATTAAACGCCAAACTTAATGAATATATACGAAATGAAGAGAACAGAAATTGCGAAGAAAAGGCACGGAAGCCATTAGATCATTCGCATCACTTGTTACAATCTTTACAACATCATCTATGTGACGCAATCACCTTTAGAGAAAATCCATCAGTTGAGAAAACTAACGATCCACCAGTTGAGAAAGATGAGAATACATTATCAACATTGAATCAACCAACTCCATCAAAACAAGAAAAAGAATACAAGCCAAAGAACAAACCTCGCAAAACAAGAAGGACCACACAAGCTAAAAAACAATCATCCACCGACAAAGCCAAGCCAAAAAGAAAAACAAAGCAAAAGAACAAACTTCACGATCATACTAATCATGGACAAAAAGGCAAGATACTATATTTGTATTATGATGATCAGTGCTATCAACAATTCGATAAGAAACGTGTAATGAATGTAAGAACAAGAAAGAAGCATCTCACCTTATATTGGATCCAAGACTGCTCTCCGCCCTTCAACATTATTAATTGTTGTGACTTAGAACTTTGAAGACAATGCTGGTAATCGATACATCATTATTAACATATCATTATTAACATATCATCAACACTATATATACCTATTCATGACCTTTTTACAATAATTGACGACTCAACCTTACAAACCAACGAAAACCATATGCATTAACAGACCAAACACTGCTTTATTTTTGCCTTCTGTTTGAATCATGGACTCAACCCATGTTAACAGTTGCTCAACACAAGCATGTAATCTGTTAATATTTGATATATCCTGTTAAAAACATTCGACATTCAGAAGTAGTATCTATACGAAAATGAAGTCCAATGTTGTTTTATGACAAGTATTGAGGCACCGAAGGGCCAATAAACAATATTTAATTTTTTTGATCACAATCCAACAAACTTTTTTCACCTCCAATCACCTGTGGTGGATTAGGCTTTCCAATATTCGACATCTTTGCTGATGAAATTAGAATCAAAACAGCCCTTTATCTTATTAACAATGAGAATGAACTCCTTAGAGAAGTTTATTCAGAAGGAATTAAATATGAAAATTCGATTTTTAAGGAAATGAATAGATCAATGAAGGAATACAAATTCGAACCTCAACAATTTAACAATGACGAAAATCTTCCAAAACTCAAAGGAAAGAATTTTACTATTTACACTGACTGATCAAATCTAAACGACTCAATAGGTTTCGGCTTCACCGCCAAAGTCAACAATTCCCAAGAAACCCAAGAATTCTCATACAAAATTAACAGTGAATACTCACATAACGTCGCTGAATTGTCAGCTATACTCACACCACTAAAGATACTTCCACCTAAATCCAAGGCAAAAATTCACTCAGATAGTGAAATGTCCATCCACATCTTGAAAAACAAAGCCTATAATGGAATGTTTAACTGCTTCAAACATGAATATCACAAGGTCATTCAACAATCCAAACTGAATATTCAACTAATCAAAGTTAAAGGACACATCAACGAAGGAAATATCAAAGCTGATGAATTAGCAAAGAAAGGAGCTCAAGAGCACAACTATTTTGACCTTTGGAAACTTTTTTTTTTTTTTTTCAAACCAAAGCATCCTAACTACATCAAATACCATTATTTTCGACATCAAATAATCCATGCAAAAGAAACGTTACGAAGAAATGTTTAGAGAATTTGATAGAAATAATTCAAGTCTACACCTTACCAGAACTGGTCATCTATCAATCTGAAATTCATCAAATCTAAAATTGACACAGAGACTAAATGGTCAATCTGGAGAAATCTGACAAGTAATCATATCAAACAACATTAGGAAAGACAATGCGCTCACTGCAAATGCCCGAACTCTAAAACATTCTATTTACTATTGCCCCAACACTCAATGTTTTAGGGACTTTTTCTACACAAAATTCCTAGAAATTACATCAATACGATGCATCCTCAACGATTATCAAGAATCAAGATACTGTGATAAAAGAAAAGTTTTCATCATCCACCATGACGGATACTCAAATACCCAACCTTAAATATTTTCCAAATATTTACCAAAATTGGCCTGAAATCCAAATAATTCTCACCTTACTAGTTGGTAAATGTCACACCAAATACTATGAAAACTCAAGATTCAAAAAACCAGTTCAAAAACAACCCCAATCCTCACGGATTTACCAGCACCAATGGTGCTAACAATAAACTAATTAGATTTTTTTGATCACAAGAATTTAATTTGCCTTTTTAAAATCATCAATATAATGAAAAGGAGCAGTACGTATGAATTGAGAAGGCTCAATTGTTCATCAATAATGGCTCTTGGAGCATCTTCATGATTAATAATACATCCTTCCTACGGATAACGGAATCCGTGGTGAAGATGACAAATTCAAATTAAAAAAAATTACAAAAAATGTCTGCAACCACCACCACCGATCAAAACAACAACACGCTCATCCACTTGCAATCGGAAGAGGATTTCACTCAACAAGTGGTGAATGGCTTGTTGGCTAAAAACTCGGGCAATGCCGTAGTTGTACACTTTTGGGCTGAATGGTGTGCTCCATGTTTTGAGATGGATAAATTCTGTGTTCAACTCGCACAAAAGTATGCCAATGTAAAGTTCTTTAAGGTGAGTAGAGTACTTTTGTGGTTTTGTATATATGTATTTATTTAAATTGTTCGGATTTTATGATGATTTTTATTTTTGAATATTCGGAATGATTTCATGTGCGCAATAATTATTGTGTTCATGAAAACTTTACCTTTTATTTGATGCATCACTTCCGATCATATTTAATCATCATGCTCACTTTTATCGTCATTCCCAACATATATATTTGACAAATTCCGATCACCTTTTTACAAATCAACTCAAATGTTGCAACTGATTAGATCGAAGCAGAGAAATTACCAAATATTACCGAACGATTCAATGTTCACTCTGTTCCAGCGTTTGTCTTCTTCCCTGCATCCAACCAACATCCATCCAAATTATCCTTCACTGTTTTGGAAGGAGCAAATCCTCCAGAGCTTGCAAAAAGAACCAAAGCACTCTCAGAGAATGTGTCAGTCACCTCTTCTCAACAAGAACCTGCTGGAGGTACCACTGATTTGAATAGTCGAATTAGAAATTTGATTAACAGAGCTCCAGTCATGCTATTTATGAAAGGTTCACCTGAAGCACCAAAATGTGGATTCAGCTCTAAAATGGTGGAAATTTTGAAAAATGCAAACATTCAATTTTCTGCATTTGATATTTTGACAGATGAAGCTGTAAGACAAGGTTTAAAAACTTTCTCGAACTGGCCAACCTATCCTCAATTGTATGTCAAGGGTGAATTAGTTGGTGGTTTGGATGTTGTTAAAGAAATGGCAGAGGAAGGAAACCTCAAAGAACAACTTGGCATTCCATCAGAAGAACAAACACAAGAGCAGTTGAACGAGAGGTTAAAGAAACTCATCAATCAAGCACCAGTCATGTTGTTCATGAAAGGAACGCCAGAGGCACCAAAATGTGGATTTAGTGCCAAGATTGTAGATATTCTCAAACAACAAGGTGTTAAATTTTCATCGTTTGACATTTTGACCGATGAGTCGGTAAGACAAGGATTGAAGACTTATTCGAACTGGCCAACATATCCTCAATTGTATTCAAAGGGCCAATTAATTGGAGGATTGGATGTTGTGAAAGAACTTGCAGAACAAGGTGAACTTTTGGAAAATCTTGAATAAACTCGCTCAATGTGTTTATTAAATAAATAAATAGAATTATAAAAGTTTCTTATTGTCCAAAAGCATGAATTTTTCTTCAAGCAGTGACATGAAGTTTTTAATGTCTAGCATGTGCAGCAATTCTCTTACTCAGACTTTTCTTTCTGTTGTTGCTCAGAATGCGAAACTCTCTTCAGCAAGGTCACAACTATAATGTAGACAGAGATGGCTCCAGAACAAGCCAACACATAGCCATACACACCAAATCTGAAATATATCGTTCCAATGCAAGCGGCAATTTCCAATAAGGCCATCAATAAATAATTTCTACGAGAATCGTTTGGATTTGACATGGCAGAAGCGCCAAATATGGCAGCAAAGACTATCATGCAAGGCACCACTAAAAGTGGTTGTACCCTATTTGCAAAACGAGCTTCTGGTTTTGACTGTAAAATAATATCCAATAAAGCTCTGTAAGGAGAGGCCATTTCCGTTGTAGTTGTAGACTTTCTCATCCATTGCATACTTTCATTCCATTCCTTGAGCCAAACCACGAGAGATGGAAGGAATATTAATGTTGGAATGATGTGTAGCATGAGATAGGAGTATTTCATCACTTGCTGAGTGGAGGTGTCATGTCTTCTTGTGACTGCAATATTTCCAAGCATGAATAGTAATGTCAAGACAAATCCAATGCCGACATGTATGTATCGAGTCACTGCCACACAGATCACAAATGAAAATGCAAAAATAACCCACTTGTTTTTCAACAAAAATTCAAACATTAAAGATGGTAAATAAATTATATAGGAAATAAAAATAAATAAAATGTTAAGCAATTGTAACATGAAATACGCCAAAAAGAGAGAAAGAACAATGTACAAGAGTTCACTTTCGTGATAAGAAAAATAGGAAACTTCTCTCGGATCTGCAAACATGTGCAGGTTCAACAATTGAATAGCAACTATAATAAATCCACGAGCGAGAAGAGTAGTGTTCAAGGCATGTGTGAATGTCATTTCAAAGTTGTTCAAAGCAATGTAGGCAATGGTAAACAAAATCAGAGAAAATACATCGGATAGAATGGTTGTCGAGTAGTGATATCTGAAGAACATGATTAATGTGGTTGGAATATCAAGTCGAATCTCAATTTCATAGTCTGCATTGCTGCAAATTCTGAACAAGTCTATTTTGAATCCAGAGGAAGTTTTAGAGCTCTCAAAGAATTTCACTTTAAAGGTGGCTGGAGCGTTGGCTGGGAATTGCTCAATCCTTGATTCTTTGGCATTATGTGAGTTAATTTCAACGAGAGTATCAAGAGAAGAGGGATTCGAGCATTTGTTCATGAATGTTACCTGATAGACAAATTGTGTGGGTAAATTGGGAAAATTCACAGAGGTATAGCTCATGGCGTTCTTCAGTAATACTCTTCTGCTGTTGAGATAGTCGAAAATTAATTGTTGTAATGTGAGAGGTTCTTCAATGGTGGCAGCTTTTTGAGAAGAATGGGTAATTGCCAAAGTTGACTGACTTGCATCAATAAGCATGTAGCTGAACTTTTCGAGTTGAGATTTTCGGAAGGTGATTTTTGTTTTGATGGCACCCTTGCTGATACTCTTATCTTCAATGTCATTCATTTTTCCAACCACTTTAAAGTAGGGCAGCATATCAATGTTCTCGTGCAGTAAAATTTGTCCTGTTTTGCTGCTCTTGTCTTCGATGAGAGAAATCATCATGTCAGATCGTGAGCTGGTAGAAGCTAAGGTCAGAGAATCTTCATTTTGAAGCATGCGTTTCAGATTCAATAAGGAAATTCCAGATTTAAGAACGGCTGATCCAGTTGAAATACCATCAGTCATGTTTAGAATTTTCTCTACATTTAATCTTCTGGAAGGACTAGAATAGAAATCCAATTGTGCATTTGCGTCAACAAAATACCTGTTGAAAATTGCCTTCTTTTCGTTTGAAGACAAATTGGCACCTCCCTCGGCAGCATAATGAATAATAAATTTAGAAATCGCCAATACGATTTGTTTGCACCAGGTAATTGCTTGATGGTCCGTGGAGCAGTGAACACTTGGTACTGAGGTTGTGGACATGACATGATAAAAATTCGAGTTATTCTTGTAGAGAAGAGGATTACCTGTCAGATCACTTCTAATCAGCTCATCATGCCATCCGCCTCCAATAGAAAATATATCAATCTTGGAGTGTGGAAGACGAACTAGTTGTTGATAAAATAGGTCACTGTCCCTATCAAGAAGTATGGGATGTCTTTGGAATGGAGTGCTAAGAGTCAAAATGGTTCGTACGGGAAGAACATCTTTTGATTTGAGAGCTGCTGCAGCCTTAAGTACAATTCCGCCCATGCTGTGACCAATTGCAATGATTTCTGAAGGCTTGTGTTCGTCAGAGTAAAGAGAGGAAATGTATTTTAAGACTCCTCTCACGTATTTTGACTGCTCGACCAGAATGTCACCACTTAATGCACTCAGTTGTTCATTAAAGTTCACAGCAAATACATCAAAATCTTTCAAGGATCTCTTGTTAATATTCTCTCTCAAGTATGATCCATAAAACAAATCAAAATATATTTTGTGATCAAGTTGATGCTTCTCCTTTCCAGTGAGAAATTCCACAATCGAAATTCCGAGTCCACGAACTTGTTTATATGATCCAGAATTTCCATGCACAAACAAAACGGGTATTCCTCGATAATATTTTGAATTTGGAGCAATTTTTTGATTTCTCATCGGATCAATATCATCCACATATCGATACAATGTATACATTGGTGGTCTTGTTGAAGAATTATTGTTCTGTGGTCCACGTCCTGCACTTGTCTGATCATCATCCTGATGATGATAATACGTAAAAGGCAATGAAATATAATTCGGCCTCATCCAAGACATGATACATTTGTAAGGCTCATCCGTCGAATGATGTGAATAATTTTCCTTATAATAATAATATAAAACTCTTCCCGATAAGAGACCAATCATTACAAATAATAACCAAGCCAGCACTTGCACGGAGACTCTGAAACAGCCTCTCACTCGTGTTGTTGCATTGGGAGTTGGCGAGGTGATTGGTTGAGACATTTTTTCATCACCAAAATCGATTTCAAAGTCCATCACGTCACCTATTCATTGAAAGTTTTCCATTAAATTTGCTTTATGAAGAATTCCTTTTGTGTTGGCTATCCATTAAAGAGAGTTCACGAAACGTTGTACAATGAATTTCAATGGAGTCCCAATTTAAAAGATTGAACAACATTTGTTTGCCTTGTTCTTCTTCTTTTTGAAATTTCCTTTTTTCATCTTCCATGAAGAAAGAATCATCATCATCCTCAACAACCATTCGAACGTTGGAATTGCTGGCTGTGATGACGTTATGGATGACGTTGCAAAAAAAAATAACTGAATTGAAGAGCGGAGCCTTTTTTGCTTTTCATCAAGGACGGCACATTTCAACTTGGACTTGTTCAACGAGAGCTGAGAGCTCGTGTTGTGTTTTTACTCGTTCATTATCATTATCATCATTACTGCTTCCGAGATTATTGTAGTAATAATAATAATTTAGAATTACTCAAAAGATTATTCGGAAATAATACAATCCCGAACAAACCTTTTCATCGTTTCCTTCATCGTTTAGTACTGAAAATGCCGTACTTGGATAGAACCAACGAAATCTTGTCTATCATACAGAATCAACAACAGAAGAAGCAATATGAAGCGTCACATGCGGAACAAAAAAAGAAGGACATTAAAAAGAAGCAAACACCTAATGCAATTTTGGAGTTCAATGAAAAGGCCAAACAAATCTCGAAAGAATTACAGGATACTGCAGATTTACTTCAAAAGCTTACAAAACGTAAGTTCCATTGTTATTTCACATGTCATTATTAATTTTAATAATTTTAACACTGTTAATTATAATTTTTTTGGATGGAAATCTTTGATGATCACAAACAAAGTGGTTCGACAAAAAACACCATTTGATGACAATTCAGAAACAATTAAAATACTTACAATGAAAGTGAAAGATCAATTATCAAATCAAGATTTTGCTCTGCGATCACTTCAAGAAATGATTGACAAGCAACAGGAAAAGAAAAATCAACAAATGCAACACTCAAGTCACATCGTCACAGGATTAAATTCAAAGCTCATGTATGCTACTGAGCAATTCCAAAATGTCCTTAAAACACGGACGACACAAATGAAATCTGACAAGAAGAGACGAAATATGTATACATTTGAGGCCAATGTAAAATCACTTTCATCGCTGTCGGCAAATGTCGACAGACAAGCAGCCTCTCCCAACTCTAGAAGCCAAGTAGAAGCCTCTGGAGGAGCTGCTGGAGCCCAAGACGATGCCTCCCTCTCTACAGGACTCATAGAGGACTTGATGACTGAAGGAAGTCAATTACAACAATTGAATCACCCCTCAATTAACAGGAATGCATTAAGGAGCAGGACAGACGACATTTTAGCCATCGAATCAGAAATTTCAAAGCTTGGTGAAATGTTCAATCATTTGGCTGTGATGATCAAACATCATGGTGAACTGACACAAAGAATCGACCAAAATATTAATTTGGCTGCAGACAATCTCGAAAAAGGAAATGAAGAATTATGGAAAGTTTGGGAAAATACTCGAGGAAATACTGGCCTCATTCTCAAAATATTTGCAGTCCTCGTGGTATTTATCATCATTGTAGGATTGATCGTTGTAAAATAAAACCCCAAATTTTGTGTGAAAACTTGCGTGAACTGTCTTTTTCTTGAATTTCAATAATCTCTTCAAGTGGAATTAGTCCTATTTGATGAACTTTATGTCCGAGGTTTTTCGCAAATGCGAGTCGAATAAAGACGCATTTTTAATGTTGAGCGTTAAACGCGAGTTGGTGCGTGCAAAAATGCGAATGTGGCGAAATTGAATATTTTTAAAATCGAACACGCAATCAAATACAAACTCAACAAATTTCATCAAACTTTACATTTTATTTTCATTAAACCAATGCTGTTGACTAAATAACACGAAATTTCTCACTATCTCGACTGGCAATTCTGAAATACATTGTTCAAGGATATTTGGAAGCGATTCAGTAGAGAATTCATAATCCTTCAATCGTTTTGAGCCATCCAAAACAGTACTCGATTCCAGTGACGAAGAGGAAAAAGGAGACAACACAGATGAGGAAGAAGATGAAGATGCTTTAGACGATGACATTTTATCAGACACAATACCTGTATCTAAAGATTATCAATTAGAACTTATCGGTGAATACGAGAAACAAAAGGAAGTATTGAAGAAGAAAAATCCAAGAAAAAGAAAAGGAGAAGGTGTCGTATCTCCAATCTTGGACTTGAAATTCAAGAAAATTGAAGAAAAAGCAAAAGAGTTACTGACAGCTGATACGTGTTTAGACCCTCCTGAGTTCATGATTACTCCGAAACAATCTAGCTTTTTGACTCCAATTGTCACTCCTTCACAAAAATTTCCACATACCGACATGTCATCAAAGAGTGACAAAATTGAACCAATAATGCCTCCACCGTTCGTGCAACCAACAACCAACAATTCATTGAAGATTTATGAAATACCTGTAGGTCAACTTAAACGAGTCGCACAAGTTCCAGCGAAAACGTGAAATTTTTTTCTTTCTTGTGAACGACCTGTCAGAACAAATAACCGAGCAAGATCCTATCGTTATAGGTCCTAAGACAACTAAATATGTTGTTTATTTGAAAATTTAAAATTTTTGGGATCACTGAATGGGCGATATTCCCAAACTCAAACCCAACCTCCTTTTGATTCGGATTCGCATAATGCAGCCACCTTTGTTTGTTCCAGGAGAATTCTTCTTTTAAGTAAGATCTAATTGTTTGTAATGCTTGCAATACATCCTCCTTCATGAGATTCAAACAACTTTCTACATTCATTTCATCTTTGACAATTAAATCTGATCTCCTTAACTTTCTATTAAGATTGTCGTACTTGGAATTCAGATAAATCAAACCCATCATAGATATTGCATGACTGCTGTCAATTAATGGATTTCTTAATCGCTTGAGAATGTGAATGTAATCTTCACAATGAGTCCATTGTTTGCGCTCATTATTGTTCAAAAAATTCTCTACTGTAGCTGGTTCAAACTCACCATCCGTGACAGAACCGATTATACAAAATTTTTCATGAACAGACCATTTTTGATCTATTTCTCTAACCTTGTCCATAATAAAAGAGAACATATTGGAATTTGGAAGAGCAAAGACAGCACAAACATTTGGAAAGGTTTTCATTTCTTCAAAGTTGCCATATAAATCAATAATTTGAAATACAATGGCCTTCTTCGCAAAATTATCTGACGAATAATTTTCTTGTAAAAATTGTGTATGTGTAACAGGACCTGAATCTAATCCAAAAGCATAGCCATTTTGACCATAAGACAAGCATGGTCTAACAGTTACAATATCCCATGAAATAAGAGCAATACATGATCCATGTTGTTCTAGAGTGGTTGTGACTAGTTTCTTAATAGTTTCGTCCGTGTATAGGTGACCATAAATAGGTGGGCCTGCCCAATTCTTAAGGGAATCCGGATGAGGAACATGAATATTGCTGTTGTTATTATTCCCTTTTAGAAGCTGTAACACTCGTTCAGATGAATGGAAACGTATAGATTCCCAATAATAAGCAACCTCAGGAGGATATGGTTTTGTTGTTTGAGGATGCATTTTACGATAAAGTTCGTCATGTAATCTTGTTAAATAAAACGAGAGATTTTGATGTTGAGCAAATTGTTCAATAATATTGAACAATTTTTCATATACTTCCAGTTCAGTAACTGGTACGCTTTTCATTGATTGTAATTCACTTCGTAAAGCCTTGATATGGTTGTCAATGATTGTTGGATGTTGAAGATGGTCTCGCCCTCGGAACTTACTCGAACACAAGTCTTCATATGTATGATTTTTTTTCCATTTGCCCAACTTTCTTGCAAGAGTTCTACATGCATTACATTTTGATCCTTGTTTTTTGACTATTAAATTACATTCGGTTGAGTAAATTCGAATAAATTCGGTTATTGATCGGTATTCCTATCACTTGGTTTGTGCAATCATAAATTTTGTCGTTGAACAAATATTGTTCATAATCTTGCAGATAAATTCCACAACAATTTTTCTCGACCTTGCTTTTCTTGCTGTGGTTGTTCTCATCACACTCAACATTATTCCTATCACAATCCCGAGACGATTTATGTCCTATTTCTTTTTTGAACGCATAGAATTTACTTCCATGAGAGTTGCATAATTCACGATCGAATTGTAACCCTGTTTTAGTGAGAAAGAGTTGAAAAGCTGTTGCTTCTTCTGTTTTAACGGAATTGCCTCCAGTAAAAAATTGTTTTCCTTTGCGTGGACATTCTTTGATGATGCAGTTGTGATTTTGGTTGTCTCGGCATTTTTTTATGTCGGCTCGACGCAAAAAAAATGAACACAAACGAAGACGTTGTAATGAATAGTATCAACCAAACATTGATGACCCACTCAGAAGCTTTCGGAATCATCTTTAAACATATTGAGAATTTCTCAAAAACATTGGACGGATTATCTAACCACATCAATAATCGGAAACAAAAGGTAAAGTCAGTTAAATTAGTCTCCGACAGCAACCAACCAATTAAACCTAAACAACCTCTTCCTCCAAAAACAACACTCATAGAACAAACTCCATCCCCTGCACATCCTTATCGAACTGATGGACCATCAAACCAAATATCTAAAATCAAAAATATTACACATCCAACAAACAAATCGAAAATCAACAATCAAAATAAGACAACAAACTTCATCACCAACACAAACCTCACCAAACCAATTGAAACAAGCACAAACCTCATCAAACCAATTGAAACAACTTCAAAGCCCCAAAGTCAACCCCAGCTTCAATCTAAGAGCCCACCTATCAACACCAGCTTCAACCTGAATGAATCGCAATCGTCATACTTGCAAATAGCCAAGACAGCCAAGAACATTACATTTGATCCAACAAAAAAACTCCGCAAATCAAATCCTACAATACAACAACAACCATGTACCCTCCTGCTAAAAGAGCTAAAACAATTAACTATTCTCACTGTGTATCTATTTACCTCAGTAAGCATATCGACTCAGACATCACTGAATTTATTACAGATGCAGTCAAAGAAAAACTTACATCATGGTACATACCTAACGACAAGACGCACGTACTCCAACTTGTCTGTAACAATCATGAAGATTATGTATCAACCTTGGGAATTTTAAACTCACAATCAACAAGAGACTCCAGTCCATTCAAATACGTTGTGACTCCTATGAATTTCTCACCAGCTGAACACACCCTCAAATATCATACTTCATCATATGACGAGATGATGAAGTATACTACCACATTATCAAAAATTTTTGGAAAAGAACTAATGGAGTTAAAGAAACTAATACCAGTTATGACAGAGTCCAAAAGCTTTATAAAATCAGAATAGCAGTTGAATCTCTTGAAGATAAAGAATATTTTATGGCAAGGAAATATTCTGAATACCGATCCATTGACCAGATCATAACAGAATCTAAGCTTAACTGCTCTTGCAATTTTTCATCCCTCTACACAGAGAAAGATATCAAAACTGCGATACAAAAGATGGTGGAAAAAAAGCAACTGTGTCTTCCAATCAAACCACTTAGAGATTATTAACAAACCTAGCCCATATCGCCCTGGAGAGCATTATTATATAGCCAATTACAAAGCAACTAATGTTGCAGAATTGGAAAAAATTACAAAATTCCCAACAAGTATCACTCCACCAAATGGCACAAAACCAACCTCAAAAAAACTCATATCTACAACCAAATATTTGGTAGAAAAATTCAAAAAACAACAAGAAAACGAAGTGACTGGTGCAACCAATAATTTCCAATTCAATAATGACCTCTCAGCATTAGAAAAGAATCACAAATCACTTCAAGTAGAATGTACTGAAAACTCAATCAAACTGGAATCACATTCTAAACAAATACAAAACATCACCAATACACTAACAGACCACACAAAATCCATACAGACCATTTTTGAAAAACTCAACGAAATAGCTTCCAAAATGGAAAATATTGAATTACATTTGACAAAACCGTACCATCAATTAATTCATGAATCCAAGGATGATGTAGAAGATGAAGATGATGAATCTTATCACCCAAAACCAAATGAAAATAGTGATGATGAAATGGAATATGACGAAGAAGAAGATATAGTAGAACCTAGAAGAGGTGATAAACCTCTTGGAAATAAGAACAATTAAGTCACCAAAATGTAATTTGAAAATTGGCTGTTTTAACTGCAACGGGCTCATAAAGACAGCCACAAAAGAAATATTGACAAATGAAATCAAAGGGATGTGCTACAATCATAACATCCAAATCATGTCAATTACTGAAACACACTTAAAAACATATGAAGATCAAAAAGAAGCCTATAACAAAGGGAATGGAAGTATCTTCTTTAATTCACTATTTGGAGCAAGAAAAGCTCAAAAGGGAACAGCTCTCTTCCATATTCTTAACAACAAAAGAAAACGATTCATATCCAACGAAAATCTAATACAAGGAAAACTTCAATGGACAAGGTTTTTCTCTAGAAACAAACCTATTAACATCATTACGGTTTATGCTTCATCTGATGGTGAAGATGATGATGAAATAATCAACATTATTATTCACCTTCTACTAAAATGTGAAAATGAATTCAACATTGTGCTAGGAGATTTCAATATCAACACAAGGAAACCACAAAATTCGAGAGAAAAAGAATGGAAAGAACTTATTGAGTGTTTCCAACTCAAAGAACTAATCATCCCAGAGAATTACACATACGTCAGAAAAGTCATCAACTCAGTTCAAAAATCACGACCTGATCATATCTTCGTTTCTAACAACATCAGAATAATCAGAGAAGTTATTTTGCCACCAATATCCAAAAATGATCATCTACCGTTCTATATTGACATTGAGTTCGAAACAGACTATTGTTGGAGAAACTTCATCTCTAGGAAAGATATGAATCAAATCTCAACAACATTGAACGAATCACACTATGATTCATTTGATGCACTTCAGAAAGACATATCAGAAATGGTTAACAAATTTTCTTTCAAAGACGATAAGACCAATCTCAAATACATTAACACAATCAATAAGAAAGAAATCAAAACCAAAGAAATAGAACTCCTCCATCTTGTAACACAAGGAAAAGGTCAAAATATCGAGGAAATTGAAAAACTAAGAAATAATATCAAAGTACTATACAAGGAAACTGGAGCTGATATCAAAGCAAAACTAAGTGAAAATTTCAACAAACATGACAGCTCAATGATTTACCAGTTTGACAAACATCTAAAAGAAAAATCAATAGATTGGAAAAATATCCAATTCTCTGAAGAAGAAATTGTGCATCATTTTGAAACAAAATTTACCTCAGTATCCAAATCATCAGACTTTGAAAATCCACCATCAACCGTCAAGAAAGGACCGAAAATACCACAAATAAGCCTTAAAACAATTAAAGAGGCGATATCGAGAATGAAATCCAACACACCCGGTCTAGACTCAATATCCTTCCAAATTATACGGAATCTCAAAGACGAACATCTACAACTTATTGCTGACCAATTTGAAAACTGCATTCAACAAGGTAATATCCCTGAAGAATGGAAATCTGGTTGGGTTAAATTACTCCCTAAAAGAGACATTCAAAAACTAAATGATATTAGACCCATAACCATTCTCCCAATATATTACAGAATACTTTTCAACATAATTGCATACGAATTAAGACAATGGGCTTCCAAACACATCAACTTAAGGCAACAAGCATTTATTTCACACAGAAACACAATGAATCACGGATTATTACTTTCATCTCTAGCCAAAAAGAACAAGTCGTCATTCCTTTTGGTAAACTTAGACATCGAAGGCGCCTATGATTCCGTTGAAGATCATATCATTGAAAAAGCTCTCACTCATTGTAAGTTTCCAGATGAGTTGAAAACTTTTATACTAAACTCATACAAGAGTCAAATATTACAGCTAGAAATTGATCACCATCTCTCTAGACCATTCACAAAAACAAGAGGAATACCACAAGGATGCCCTTTAGCTCCTCTTATATATGATTGTATTACTCAACTCATCATTGACAAATGCATACAACAATGGAAAATTTCAATCAAACCAACCAAGCTTAATATTAACGATATTGGTTTGCTCTGCTTTGCTGATGACATTAATTTAGTTTCAAACAGATACTGCAATTATAACGAAAGACTTGATAATATCTCTAAATGGCTCGGCCAATTAAGTCTAAAAATTAATCCTTCAAAATCCATGGCAACCACTCTCCCAACTAAAAAGCAAAATGAAGCCAATGATAGACGGTACTATTATACCAAGATTCAAAAACCTTCGAGTACTTGGACACTATCCTTGGGATGACTCTACTTTAAATGAAGATATTGAAAAAAGAATCCTCCAATTTCAACTCTCACTCAAATATATTCCACTGAAAAGAATGGAGATAACAAACATTAAGAAAGTAATTTTTGCCAAATGCACTAGCTTATTTACACACATTTTACGAACAAATTACATTCCTGAATCACTTGTTGATAGAATTAACATTGAAGTAAGAAAAGCAATAAGAAAGAAAATTTTCATGCATAATGCTAGTCCAACAAACTATTTTCACCTCCCAATCACCTATGGCGGACTTGGTATTCCAAGATTCGATATCTTTGCAGATGAAATTCGAATCAAAACAGCCCTGTATCTTATTAACAATGATAATGAACTTCTTAGAGAAGTATATTCAGAAGGAATCAAACACGAAAATTCGATTTTTAAGGAAATGAACAGATCAATGAAGAAATACAAGATCAGACCTCAACAATTTAACAATGACGAAATCTTTCCAAAACTCAAAGGAAAGAATTTTACTATTTACACTGACGGATCAAATCTCAACAACTCAACAGGTTTCGGCTTTACCGCCAAAGTTAACAATTCCCAAGAAACCCAAGATTTCTCATACAAAATTAACAGCGAATACTCACATAACGTTGCTGAATTATCAGCAATACTCACATCACTAAAGATACTTCCACCTAAATCTAAGGCAAAAATTCACACAGATAGTGAAATATCCATCCACGTTTTGAAAAACAAAGCCTATAACGGAATTTTTAACTGCTTCAAGCATGAATATCAACAGGTCATTCAACAATCCAATCTAAATATTCAACTAATCAAAGTTAAAGGTCATGTCAACAAAGGAAACATCAAAGCTGACGAATTAGCTAAGAAAGGAGCTCAAGAGCACAACTATTTTGACATTAAGAAGCTATTTTCGAACCAAACCATCCTTGCCACATCTAATACCATTATTTTCGACATCAAAAAATCCATACAAAAGAAAAGATATGATGTAATGTTTAGCCAATTTGATAGAGATAATTCCAGTCTACACCTTACCAAGAACTGGTCATCTATCAATCTAAAATTCATCAAATCTAAAATTGACACAAATACTAAGTGGTCAATCTGGAGAAACTTAACAAGCAACCATATCAAACAACATAAGGAAAGACAATGCGCTCACTGTAAATGCCCCGGAACTCTAAAACATTTCATATACTATTGCCCTAATACTCAATGCTTTAGGGATTTTTTCTACACTAAATTCCTAGATATTACATCAATGCAATGTATCCTCAACGATTATCAAGAATCAAGATACTGTGAAAGAAGGAAAGTTTTCATTATTCATCATGACGGAGTAATGATTCGAGATACTCAAATGCCCAACTTTAAAAATTTACCAAATATTTACCAAAATTGGCCTGAAATCCAAACAATTCTCACCCTACTAGTTGGTAAATGTCACACCAAGTATTATGAAAACTCAAGGTTTAAAAAACCAATTCAAAAACAAACCCCAATCCTCACGGATTTACCAGCACCAGTGGTGCTAACAATAAACTAATTAGATTTTTTTATGTCGGCTTTAAAGACTTTGCATTATCAACAAGACGTTAATAATACGATATTATTAAGCAAATGAAAGAATTTCAAACCTTCTCGTGTTAAAGGCTTCTCCATAGTAGTGTTTGCATACAAAAATTTGACAGATGAAATTCCATGGTGTTGTATTAATGAAGAAAACCAAACAAGTTCGCTTGATTTTAAAAATACTGCTGAAAAACTTGTTTTAATCGCATGTGAGCTAATATTCTAGTAAATTAAAGTATATAAGTCGGCAATTAGTACATAATTCCATCTGATACAACGATATGGTATCGAAATTAAACAATTGAATTTCCATGAAATCTTATTGTTTGGGAAAATTAACACAGAAAGATCTTCCAAAAAATGCTTGAATATTTTAATAAAAAAGAAAAACAACACAATATTCAAGAAAAGGAAAGTAGATCAGAGGTTCATCACGAATGATATGCCTGGGAACCTCCTGAATTTGGTTAGAAGAATCCCCATGAAGCCCTATTAATTGTGAACAAAAGGTACTAAAGAAAAATTTTAATAACACAGATCATGATGTGAAAGTGACCATTTGATTTTCTGCTATACTACAGCAGTGGACAACACATGTATCAATATTTAGCTTTAACGTTAAGATATCTACGTAACTTCGTCTAAATGAATTTCCATGGAAGAGTATTAACTGAGAAAATTAGCGACGTATCCGATGTCTAAAAAATTCTTAGATATTTTCAACGTTATAGTAATGCCATCTAATATTCTTGTAAACGAGAGCAGTTCAATATATATCAAACATAAAAAGGATCTATCCGAAGGACCTCTTATTAAATATAAACAGTTGAATTCCCATGAAACTGTAATAATGAAGAAATTCAACTCTGAATGTACCCCCAGCACTAAAATGCTCCGCAGGTGGTAATGAAAAATAATGCCACTAAATATTCTTGTAAGCGAGAGCATTCCAGAACTTCGTCACATAGGCACTAATCAAGTTCATCGGATACTATACGAATATGTTTAGTGGAACTCCCATTGACCTCTCTTAATAGGCAAACTAGCTACGCAATATATTCTCCTTTGCCTGAAAAAGGTTGTTATCGCGAGTTCAACGAATAAACAGATTCTTTTCGAGTTAGACAACTTGTTTTGAAATCTTTATCATTTGATATGATTGATAAGATTGAAACGAAACCTCAGCTTAGGATGCTTCAACTCAAAAATCTGTACCACCAATGTTATGGGCATTTTAAACCACTTTTACCAAAAACCCTAACGAAAAAAAACTCTTTTTCCAACTAATCATTAATAGTCATCAAGGTAAAGGATGTCGTTTCCCTCTAATTACGAAGAAGGAACTAACATCAACAAACGATAGTATTACTCCAATTGTTTCTTCATCCTCCGAACCAATCACTCTTGATTTGACTGACAAGAAATGGAACCCCCCAAAAGTGTATGCGTCAGAGTTGATTGTTGATGAATCTTTGGGTGCTGATTTGTCAGCACTTCATTCACAAGAAGAAGAAACATCAAACGACTCAACATTGTCATCTTCAACTACATCCTCGCTCGAAACACCAATCACTCTCGATTTGACTGATTACGAGAGTTGGAATGCCCAACAAGTAGCATCAGTATTGATTTCTCCTAAATCTTTGGGTGGTGTTGGTTTGTTGGTTGATGATGTGAAACCTTTGTATGAGGCTGGTTTTGATGGCACATCTCTCCACAACATTGTTGAGAATATCAAGATGGACGGTGTAAAGTATGCCATTGATCAACTTAAAAGTACTTATAACAAGAGTAGCGTTCCTCAACTCTCCGACACTTGTCAAACCGTTGTATTTTGGGTGCTCGATCAATTAATGACCAGACAATATTCACTATGGCAATTGGAGCCAGTGAGTAAACAAATCAAACAAAAATTGCAAAAGGAGGTGCTGAGTTGAGTCTTGATCAAGTTTCTTCATTGGATGTCAAAACTCTCACCAAAATTATTACTGCCATAGAGAAGGAAAGAGTGCAAGGTGTAACAGAAGAAAAATGCATCGAACATGCCATCAAGATTATGAAAAGCGACACGTGCTTTGCTTCAGTGCTAGAATCTACTTGTAAAGCTGTTGCTGGGTGGGTTACTACCAAACTGAGAAAGGCTGGCGAAGGAGGTTCTTTAATTAATATACCATCCAAGTTGTTTGATCTTTGGAAGCGAAAGTTGGAAGGAGAAATATCTGAAAATTTACGAAAGGAAAGAACAAATGCAAGATATAACTATCTTCGTAATTTACATGATCCAGCAAACATGAAAAAACTGAGAACGCTTATTGGAAAATTTATCGATCTTCCTGTATTTGGAAAGGGAGAAAGTGATTTGTCTCCAAAAAACTTTAATCCAAATGCGAAATATCTTTTAACTCTGCAACGATTTGAAATACTTAACAATGTTGTTAATGGAAAAACCACTGGATTGGTTTTATCGGGTCCTCATGGAGTTTCAAAATCATATACACTTTATTTGATAGTTGCCTACGCATTTGTAAATTCAATTCCAGTACTTTATGTTCCAAGATGTCGCCTATGGCTCAGCAGTTACAACACAGATCAGGAGGTTGGTGCCAATAACTACTTGCGAAGATTGTTCTTTCTACGACCCAAATTGTTGAATTACAGAAAGCAAGAAATGTGGTCCGTCATTTGAGCACACATATTGGAGATGTGGGACCTATGTTCTATTTGTTTGATGAACATAATGAATTGTACAGACCTGACTATTACAACAAGAGTCCTGCTTATTTCCAAGATTTTACCAGATGGACAGGAGATACATCAGAGAAGTACACAATTACCATCTATTGTGGAAGTGCTCATAGTTCCTTTGAAGATAATTTACCAGGAGGAGAAGAAGAAAGATTGGTTAGAATAATTCCTCCAACAACAACAGAGTTTGAAACGCTGATAACAGACTTCGGTTTGAATCCAAAGGATAAAAGAATAGCCTATGTAACAGGAAGAATTCCAAGAGAGTTGAGATACTTGGCAAACTATTTGAAGGGCAAAAAGGGTACTGATGAAGATTTCAACCAATTTGTCATGAATATGCGTGGTGTATATGATCGAAGGTTGGATTCATTAGTTAGTACATTGGACAAAAATAAGATGGAACAGTTTGAAAAGACACTGGAGGATCTTTTTACTCTTGGTATTTTAAATGGAAGACCTTATAGTGTTTCAGGGGTTGTATATGATAAGGGTTTATTGTACAAGGATTCTTATGGAAAACTTTTTATCATTAACGATCCAGCAAAGAGATGTTTATTCCATCACTACTGCACAAAACTAGACATGCCAAACATACCCAAGAATATTTATGGTCCAGCGAAAGGAATAATGTTTGAAAAACACTTGGTGAGACAAGAGTATGGAATTGGTAAACATTTAGATAGAAAATTCTATGTAACAAATAAGTTGAGCTCAAACCCCACAATATCCACGTTATCATATGAAATTAACGTACAAGCAAGTTTGGATCTAAAGGATTTAAGCTCTCTCGATCGAAGGAATTCCTTGAAAGGAACGGGAGTATTATTCATTCCAGAATCCGAAATTTTCCCAAGCTTTGATTACGCTATTGTTATGTACAAAGAGAAGCCAGTGGAAATCTTTCTGAAACAAACCACAATTTCTACTGTTGATTCTCATTATTATAATCATCGTAATGGCAACACAGATATGGATAATTTATTGAAACGTTTTTATGTTTTAGATAGTAAAGGAAAGGCAATGAAAAGAAAACAAAACGATCCAAAGCAATGTCATTTCTCATTACTCGAATTGATACTTCATGGAATTGTTGGAACTGAAGAAAAAGTTGGAGAGATGTTACAAACCCGCAAGGACGATCTAAAGTTCATCAAAGATGGAAAGCTTGAAAACTCAGTGGAGTTTTGGTTTTGGATTTTGACCCCTGTTTCGGAGACTAAAATTAAATTTAATTTTAATTATTAGATTTAAATTGATGAGACTGACTTGTGAAAGAACCATGATCAGAGTGGAAGCAGTGAACATGACAATGTGTGTTGTAGTGAAGAGTACAACCATGAATTTGCTGAAAAATCAATACTATGTGACGTCGATGATGTCTACATGATGATGAATCGATTATGTGAGTTGTTCTGTAATATTTGAAAGACGAAAGAGCTGTACCTATCACCTACTCAAAATCAAGAAGAATTTTTTCAAGGGTGAAACGAACATTTGGAGATATCTCCATGAATAGTTGCTATCAAGGAATGAAACCAGGAATACCCTTGTTTTTGATGTTGTAGAGCTGAACTATACAGTTATTTTTTGTTGTTGAGTCAATGATTACATGATTGACCCTTAGTAAGTGAACCTATCTCAAATAGATGGGAGGATCTCTCACTAAGCTAAATGCTACACTCATGAATATTGACAGGACTGATAAGTCGATGATCAGTTTAAAAAAGATATGAAGCATTAGTAAATTCGTTGACATGAGTAACATTTGTGACCCTGTTCACACACTAGGGGAATCTTGAAAGATGATTACCGGGTGCATCAAAGTTGAAGAAAGTTTCAAAGTCCAACGTTCTCTTGAAAGATCGAGTTAAGGGTCAAGAGGGTCCTTATGACGAATCTTTTAGATGGTCTCTGTTAAGTTTTACCAAGCGTACTTCAAACAACTAAATTATAGTATCTGGATGATGGAGTGAAAGAGTTGATCATAGTCAAAAGATTCATCTTGTCTATGAATTTGGGTCCCAGTGACCAGAAACCAATTTCCTCGTGTGTCTGTTAAGATTGATGAGGTTGTATTGTCGAACCATTCAATTAATATATATGAGAGGAATCCAATATAGTCTAACACTCTCATACGAGAATAATTTAAGAAAGTCCATAATTAGGGATGGTAAGCATATATTATCCTACTAGAAACCGTCAACCTTGTTTTGAGAGAAATATAATTTTAAATCGAGAACAAAGTCAAGAGACCCGTGGTGGGTGGTTCATGAAAGAACTTCATAAGGGAGACCAAAATCGAGAGACTGACCAGAATTAACGTATCCTCAATGCAAGAGACTACAGAACTACACCACATAATTGTGAATATCTTAGTGAGTGAACTAACAGTAACAACTATGTGGGAGATTATGAACTCAAATGATCATTCAGTCGCTTGTAAACTTAGACTCCTTTTGTGGCATAGGGGAACGGATATAATGTCTTCATGTCTTTTCAGTAGTTCTCCATCTTTCTCACAAGCTCTTCTCAAATTGATGATAAATCTACCATAGTGGAATGTTCTTCCTTCAACTTGTGGATAAGGTAAATGGACAGTTTTCAGACATGGAAATATCTAAGAAATTCTGATCTGTCTAATATCACAATATAATTACTTTCGATTATTTAGGTTCTCCGCTTTTAGGAGAATAAATTGTTACTAATGAAAATTTTTCTAAAATAAGGATTTGCTGGCCACATGTTAATGTTGATTCAAAATGAGGAGCAGATCCTTGTTGGTCGGAATGTAAATAATTAAAACATCCTAAAATAATTGTACGTCAGAAGAGAAAATCTCTCGATTTTTGCTCAAAAGTGTCATTGGTTAGCTATTGTATGTATAGTGATGAATGGAATTGTCTCACATAATGATTCGAAAGCCTCTTATGTACTACTATCATCGTCTCCACGAATTCAAACAACCTCTTGTTCGACATAGACGATAGATCCGAATTGGACATGATTATTAAGGGTTGACATTAATAAGATTTCCCAAGACATCTATTTCAGTTGATAATTGGGGATATGTTGCTTCTGACATTTCTATAGATAGTTCAAACAAGGACCAAATGAATTTTCATGCTATTACGGAACAAGGTAACAAATATTCCTTCCCATGAACTGACGGTGAAGATGATAAAGAAGAATCTACCATCTCCCTAGTATCCAAAGTATCATTCTTCCACAAAAAGAGTTAGCGTAAACCTTATCAAAGCTAAATTTCACAAATGTTCAAGATTCCATTAATTCATTGAAATCTATTCGAGAATCGGTTCTAATTGTGTGGGCTGTACGTGAGCTCTTTATACAAGGGGTAGAATAGAGGAGTGTTGATAAAGAAGGAGCAGAGATACCGAAATTCATTGATGATAATTCAATCCCAAAACTAACATAACTCGAATATAGATGGATGATATTGTGGATTGATTGAGAAACCAAAGCATAACAAATCAGAGTGCGAACAAGCTCTAATGTTGGTTGAGCAAGGAAGTGGCTACAAATAAAACTCGTGGACTCAACACTTTCTATTATTGCTTGTTATTTCAGAGGAATCATATCACAAAGACCAAACCAATATCTATATCAAAACAAAGATTCAATTAAACTTAATTGAAATTAATATTAAGAAAAGAGTGAATTGAAGTCATTCAAAGATGAATAGTTAATAAATAAAGAGTGAAAAATAGTATTCGGATTCACTAATGAGTTGTGTAATTACGAGAAAGAAATAGCGATAGAGATAATCGTGAGGCTATTCAAGAGCGATAGAGACCCTGATGATGTTGGAAATTTTGTACTGTTATATATTAACAGAGACGAATAGAAGTAATTGGGCAATAAAGGTGTTGTTTGAGAGAGTCGATATTGAGAGAGTGTTGTTGATGAAGAGTTTTGAAATGATGTAAAAAAGCGAAAGAGGCTCGGGATGAAATAATGTTCACAATACAAGTCACTAAGCAACGCAAAGAGAGACTAATCGTTAATATGCAGAAAATTTTTTGAGCAACCAAACTCTTTAATTGTTTACAATCGAAACATTCATGCCCTTCACTACGTTCAGAACATATCACATCGAGGGCATCAAAGCAAGCCAGTCAAAGAAGAGCAAGAAAGTGGAATCGGATAGTGATTCCTCTGATTCCTCAGATTCAGATGATAGAATTACGGAGTTTGAAGAGAAGGTGAAAAAGATAGAGAAGAGTGTTCGGGAGTTGAAAGAGAAGATGAACAGATTGTTCTTTTTTTTTTACTCTTTGTTTGTGAGCAAATTTCTTTGTACAATAATAAGATCTTATTCAGGATTTCTAAAATAATAATTCTAAATTAAGTTGTCCAAATAAAGTGGTCTTTTTATATCTTTATGATTGTGTGTTTTTTTCGAAATTTTGGTGTAAAATGATGTGGGTCAACCCCTTTGTCTGGACAACTTGGTCAGATTGTGTGGACATTCAAAAGTGGGCACAGAAGTTGTTAATATTGCTCACATAGTCAGCGGAAAACGATATTCATTACTTGCTTGTATCAATTATCGCCACGGATAGGTTTACTCCAAAACAAACATGACCTCTTAATAAAAAAAATTTCCAAAACAAAGAACTTCATGCCCTCCTATTCGTCATCAACCAATTCTCGATCAAAATTCCGATTGGAAGACTATCAAGTAGAAGCTGCATCTTTTGGACAAACCAATTGCACCGAACTCATGAAATGTGCCTTCGAATCATCTCCTCCATCAAACTCTTCTCTCTTCTGTCCAATTCCTCCATTACGTGCTTCTCGAGAATTCTTTCATGATGATTTGAATACCGTATCGAGAGGAATGGTTGTGGTCCTACGAAAACGTTCATCATCATCCTCCTCTGTTGTCAATGAAACACCTTCGAATTGCGATGATCATCATGATGCAAATGAACTCTTTGTCTTATTTGCAAAGGAAAATGCAATCCTTGAAGAGTGTCAACTGTTCAGAGTTCATCCCATTTCGATCGTATTGTCCAATAATTCCTTGAAGATTGAATTGATGACAGCTTTTTACGGACCCAAAGATGTCACTCAAAAGTGTGCACAAATCATTCAACAGTCAATTCAGAATTCTGATGAAATTTCTATTCATGCTTCCAATCATGTCTTTGGAGATACTTGGCCTGATGTATTCAAATCATTGACCATCGTGTATCGAAAAGTAAAGATAAACAGTCGGATGGAAGCAATCTATGGTCCCATTCGAATGAAAATTGCTCAAGAACATGAATCGATCAAGCTATTGGATGAATTGGACGAATTGGACGAAATGGATGAACATTTTCCATCGTTTGTTCCAACAAGTGTTGCATCCATTCGACAGAACGTTGGTTTTGTAAAAAACAGTGACGATGAGTATGGAGTCGACACTCGATCTTTTACTCTCTTGAAGGAATGTCATCATGAAAAACCAATTCAAATCATTCGAGCAGTCTATGGTTTTGCGGATGTGACAAGAAAAGTTTTGGAATTTTTGAATGATCATGCAGATCGATTGAGGGTCGCTGCAACCAATGATATCTTTGGTGATTCATGGCCTGGAGTTGTGAAATATTTGACTGTTTTTTACAAATTGCGAGGATCGAATCATGTGTATGTTGCTTCATGCATTGAACATGACACGTTGGATCTTTCATTTGAATCGACTTGTCATCAAGCTGCAAATTCTGACGAAAATTCTGAATGGGACAAAGTCAATGGTGAGTGCCCTCCACTCTTTCAAATCCATGCTGCCATGCATGCACAACTTAATTGCACCAAGAAAGTCAAGCATTTACTCGAAAATTCACACATACCAACCAAAATTTATTCCATGGCCTCCTCCATGCAAAAGAATACACATGTGACTCCATTAGTGGTTCTCTACTCCATTCGAGGAAAAATCAAACTGATCGTTTCACTTGACACTCTTTGTTTCAATCCTCTCTTTCGCATTGGAAACATGTATGACAAGGCACATCAATCAGATGCCATATTTCGAGCAACCGTGCAAGCTTCAAGAAATGGAGAACCCTATCATGCAACCTTACGAATGAATAGGAAACGACAAGAAATTCTTGTCACAGGACAAGCACTTCAAGTTCCAATCGTTCTCATGCAAAATTGGTTCCAGGAAAAGAAAGAACATTCCTCTCCATTTCGAAACATGAAAAACAATGAGCGGATGAGTTTCGATCAACTCTTTTCCCTCATATTTAGAATCCGTGTCTCTGGTAATGGTTCCATTCAAGTGAACGATCACTTTCTTGAAATTGATAATTTTCGTGTGAAATTTCGAATCGCACTTTTTGAGGTCTATTCGGAAGATTTACTGCGAAATCAAATGCCATGCTATGTAAGGCGACTGATTCCTGAATTTTTGGATGGATCCATTCCAGATTCTCCAGGTTTGTCATTTTCACCACTGAAAGTTAGTAATCACCAAGCGGTCATTCAATTGCATGACATTGATGTCATTATTCAATAACATTACTAAGGGATGACTCGACACACGACTGAACACTCTTTTTATTAATGATCAACAAAATGTCAAAAGAGCAAAATGTCGCCAATGGCAAGGTGTCACTCTAGAAAAAATGTCTCGATTGGTTCTCGCACGAAATCCTTCTTGCCAACATTCGTTCTTTCTTTTGAATCGAAAAGGTCGGAACGGAGAAGCGGCGAAATTATTTTCCCATTCCGACCGGAGTGGTGTTGCGATGTGGATGATGAATCATGACAAGAATTTTCGAAATTTTCATTTCGGAACTCGTGTCCTCAATGACACTTTGAAATCATCATCTTCAGAATTAAATCATTCGAAACAGATCAAGAATGAAAGAAGTTTGGAAGAAACTGCAAATTCCTCATTAGTGACTCATTCTGAAGATGGATCCAAATTTGTAAATAACATGAATAATCAAAGTGACAACACAGATTCATCCAACACGCATGTTCCTCATGTAAAATTTGAAACAAAAGATTATTTCAAATTATTGATCGTGAGCATTTTGGGAGGATGCTTTGGTGGTACGTTTGACGAATAATAGAATTCCCCATATATTGATTTTAAATTTATTATATTTATTTTTTTGGAATTTATTTCACACTTGTCAACTCTTTTTCCTTATTGTGGTTAAAAATTCAAATGAAAATTTATACAATGACATATTTAAAAATTCTTACACAATTTAAAGGAATGGTTGGTTTGGGTGGAAATATCATTCTCATTCCCTTACTCACTCAAATCTTTTCGAATCGACTCAGCGCCAAACAAATTGTTGCCACTTGTCTCCTCACAGTGGTCACTGCTGGACTTGTTGGAAGTAGTACTCTCTATTTTAAAGGAGATGAATATGTAGATATTGGATCAGCTATTCTCATTGCTGGATTTGCTTCGTTGACGGCTCGATTTGGTGTGAAATTATCTTCGAGTATTCAAGATCGAACATTGAAACTCATTTTGGCGTTTTTTATGTTATTTGTGGCGCCGTTGGTGTTGTTCACAGGAAGCAAAAAAGAAGAACTTGCTTTGGAGAAGAAGAGTGATTTAAGGGATGAAAAAGTAACACCATTGAATGCAAATTTAAGCTCATCGAAGAGTCAAGAACAGTTCATTTCACACGACCATTCCAAAACTATTTCTGATCAAAAGATGGTGATGGGAGAAGTTACACATCACAAAGACGAAAATTCATCCTCATGGATTGCTTCATTGATGAAACGACAAGATCTTTTGAAATCTCCACAAGAAGTTGCTTCTCTTTTCGTGCTAGGATCAACCATTGGAGTGATGAGTGGTCTTTTAGGAGTTGGTGGAGGAGTGTTGACAGTTCCCATGTTGAGCTTTTTGTGGCTTTCTGAATTCTCTCCTCTTAAAAATTCAAACAAGAATCATCAACAAGCCACTCAACAATTAGTGATGGGAACTTCACTGGCGGCCATGACTCTTCCATCGACAGTGGCTTTGTGTTCACATTGGAGAGTTGGAAATGTTTTATTTCGATTGAGTCCATTCTTGGTTTTAGGAAGTGCTTTGGGAGCTTATATAGGAAGTTCCATGGCAAGTGAAATGGATGAAGAAATGTTGAAACGAATATTTGCAATGACGATGGTTGCATTGGGAGGTAGACAATTTTGGAAAGCATGGAAAAAGTGACAAGAGAAAATAACTTCACACACAAACAATGTTCTACTACATAATATAAACTCACTTGTGGTGAGAGTGGATTTAAGAAAGATGGGAGGTTATTCATATTTGGTAGTAATGGTGGCGGTCAACCACTCATCATCGGCATAGTTGGGTTTCATTGATGTACTTGATCTTGCTCCTGGCCCGAAAAATCTAATTCTGAAGGATATTGAGTTAAACAGCATCATTTTCGAAGATTGTGCGAGCTTATCCAAGCATTAAGGTGAGGAGTATTTCTGTCCAATTCCACTTTATATGATATTCAAGGAAATAAATTCCAGAAATTCCCGATCTGTACGTTTGTGTTCCTCTAGGAGTTATTATCGGAGGGCAACCAATCGTCCTGTCTCATGAAACAAACATCCTCATTCGTTGTTGAAATCATGATTTATTTTGTAAAAGAGAGTGCATGGTTACTATTGTGATAGGAACTCAAACTTGCAGAACTATAAACAAAAAAATGTCGGACAGTGATATCGCTGGTTGCCTCCAATTCACATGCATGATGATTTTCCTCGTGTTGTGCCCTCCTCTCTTTGTGATCTTCATGTTTTGCTGTTTTCCATTGACGAATATGAAACGTTATAAAGAAGTGATGAACGATCCAAGCAAGAGTATGTGGTGCAATGTGGAGACGAATCCTGCTTTGCATATTGCATTGAGTTTCTTACTGACCTTGTTGTTTTGGATTCCGGGAGTGATTCATGGGTTTTATGTGATGTTTGTTGTGGGTGTTACTGTTCAGGGCAAGTAATTAAAAGAATCAAAAAGAGATTGTTTCAATAAAATCGGAGTGTCAGAGTCTTGTCGCTACAAACTGGCAATGACAATCGTGATGATGGAATATGAGATTTGACGTATTAAGCTTTTCCTTGAACATTTTCTTTCACAACATCAAGAATCAATTTATTGTTTCTGTTTCGAAACCAAAAGGCTTCCATTGATGGGTATCTTATTCCATTTTACTTCTAGTGAGAGGAGATGGATCCTTCTTTTCCTTCATTTCATCAAAAGAACCTCCTCCAAACAAATCCTCTTTCTTTCCTTCTTCACCACGATTGGATTTGTAAACATCTCCAATATTTGGTTCATTATAATTTTCATTGGTTGGTGCTTTTAACTGGTCATCCTTATTGGCAGTTAAGGATTTACTTCCTGGATTTGGTTTGAGTTGTTTCTTGAATTCTTTATCTTCCATGTTGTTAATGGGTAATGATGATATTTTTTGTGTGGTTATTAAGTATAATTGAAAGGATGAATTTGAACTTGATTAACAAGGAACTGCTCGACGTTGGGCCAAATTAAGAAACTTGTTTTTGGTGAATTTCTTGTTTTAAGGCACCTATAACAGAAATTAACCAAAATAAATTCTTGATCCTTAAAAACGATTCCATGATGTACCTTGCCCTCCTATTCTATATTCCTGATAAAGATTTTTCGTGGTCTTTCCTGAATACTCGAATGTCATGAAACACACACAATACTGGAAATAAATCGTTTTCAATAATAATAATAACAAAAAAATTCCAAAATATTATGCGGTAAGTTTTCTTGAAAATCTTAAAAGAGTTCTTGTTTCACGAAGGTGATCATCATCATGACTCGCAAGAAGATTTTTGATCATCTTTCGAATGCCTCATTCGGAATTACGGTGATGAAAGCAGGCAATTTTTTTTGGATATTTTTAAAAAAAAAATAGTTGCTTCTTGCTTTTTAACTTGCCAAAAAGATGGCCAACCAAAACGGAGCCAAAGCTGCACAGAAGAGTAAGTGTTTCGTTCATTCCGAAGTCGTAATTATGGTAAATGATGATCATTATCGTATTCGTGTTGTTTTGAAATACTCTTGTTGGGCGAAATGATTTGATGCTTCTTTTATCATGGTTTATTATTTTTAATAATAACCGAAATTCATATTCAATCATCATGTCTTGATCATTAAACGTAAAACAACAACGACGATCAATACTCGCAAATGACCCATTAGGAGAGAGAAACATGAAGAAGATGGCTACTCTTCAAAAGAAGCCTAGCTCTCAACTCAAGACCAATGAGAAGGCATTAACTTACCAATGCAATGTCTGTAAACAAACATTCTTGTGTACCACTAAACGTGAAGTTCTTCAAGAGCACGCCGAAAACAAACACAAGAAATCACTTGCTGAAGCTTTCCCAAATATTGATTCTCCATCTGAAGAATAATTGAGAAGTCTAGAGCCACCGATCCATCCGATGTCAACACACATCGTCACGTTGTCACCTCAATATTTCTACTTTGATTGAATTTACGAAACTCACAGAGAGAAAGTTCTTTGCTGTCATTATGTATTTCAATATTTTCATGTGAAATAATAACAATCAAAATTATTTGTAATGAATTATTCAAAACCTGTTTTGTGGGTATGTTGTTTGCCACTGTGTGCAATATTGGAATACCAAAGAAAAAAGAACATTAACCTTGCAAATCGCAGTTTTGTTGGGCTTCTTTCGTTATCCATTCATCACCCTCTCCCAATTGAATTATTCACAAAATTTTGTTTTATTGGTCACACATGAAGGAGCTGAGTATAGAACATTTCTTCTATTCACGTCTGAGTTTGGTGGGTTTTTGAAATTCAAAACTTGGAGTCGCAACACACAGTTTGTTTACAAACCAAGAATTTGTCTCTTCTTGGCTTGGAATTCCTCTTCAGTCAAAATTCCCTTATCTCTCAATGAAGCTAATTTCTCCAATTCTTCAAGATCCAAATTATCGTTGCTCTTTGAGGAAGATGTGGATGGTTTGATTTTAACAACTTCATTATGGATCGATCTCTCATGACCATGACTAATGGACTTTTCATTTTGTTGAGAAGTGAAACGCTTGTCACCAGTGTCACCGACTTTGACCACTTCACGAGAAATTGAACGTCCAGTGTCGTGCTTGATGGAAGCTTCACTCAAAAGCTTGGTAGCAGATTGGTCACCAACATCACGAGTCTTGACCACTTCACGAGAAATTGAACGACCAGTATCGTGCTTAATGGATGCCATATATTGTTGCCCAACTTCAGCATTGGCCATTCTCAATTGTTCTTCAGTGAATTCAATTTCACGTTTCTCAGCCAACTTCAAACCACATCTTGGCAATTTGTATCCTGGCAACTTTTGAACGACAGATCCGAAAATGTACAATGATTGAGTTACTTGTGGAAGATTCTTTCCTTCATACAAGTCAACAGTCATGAACGAGTCATGTTTTTGCAAACCCATGTCAGCAGCAGCCTTCAAAAAGTATCCAATATTCTCCATTTGCATGAATGGAAGTTTGGAAGTGTTAATTTTTGGAATGGCGCCTGGTTTGATCTTGTTAATGAGTTTACACAACAAGATGCCATCTTTCAAACTTTCTTGGAAATCTTTGGATGCGAATTTCTCACCAGTAACAGCTTCGATCCAGGAACGGACTTCTGCTTCCTTCTCTGGGTCGTGTCGGCTTGCTTGTTTCTTGGCCTGTTGTTGTTGTGTTTGTTGTGGAATTGGCAAGGCAATAATCGTATGTGTGAGTAGTGGTGGTGGTGTTTGTTGTGTGGGTTTGATTGTTCACACAGAATGAGAGAATATAGGAACAAGGAACACGCAGAGATCACAAATAGATTCATCCATTTTGATAAAAAAAGGAAATGGATAATTCGAAATGTAGCCGCAGTCATCATCATTGCAGATTGATTAGCAAAAACAAAAGATTGTTACGAATGATTATTTCGGATACACTTTTTAAAAGATGAACACATACCAATTCGAGATCCATTCCGTAGATTGGCAAACCATTCTTGTCATACATGACAGCTTCAGAGGAGTCTTTGTAAGTGGACATGTTGAGTGATAGAGAGTGTGTGAATGTATGTACTGAAAGAGAGAGATGTTTTTTTTGTTTTTGAAAATATTTTTGATGACAGCTTCAACTTGTCAATTTATGTACGAAGTGAAAATTAAATGACAGCTGAGAGGAGACGACTTGTTTTTGGAGAATGCCCCTTTTTTTTTGTGGCAAACTTACTTCAAGTTGTTTTTACTGCTCTTGTGATTGATCGCATCTTTATGTTTTTTAATAAGTGTCAAATTTCATAATACTTTTGAATGGTGACTTGTTGTGTGAAAATTTAATACATTTTCCCCTTGTTCGAGAAGGTCGAGTCACGTTTTTCAGAGAATTAAGGTTTTTAAAACCCCCTTCTCATGTTATTTCTAAATTCTTGTCGTTCGTTCTTCTTGTGGTTGTCTCATCCATTCAGAATTTTCAAAATTTCTCGGATCGGATTCTTTGAATCCAATCAACGCATCGACATCGGAATCCTTATTACAATTTCCACTCATACTTTCTTTTCCCATTTCAATACCTTCGGGAAGTGCTCGTCGTGGATCTGATTGGACGTTCTCAACGAGGGGACACGATGGAAGGTTGTCGTTGAGGCGTTTCGTATTATTGTTGATGAGAGAAGAAGAATTTGGAGGATTTTCTTGAATGGAATTACAAATGAAGGATGACATTTTGTGTGTGAAAATGAAGAATGTGATGAATGTTGAGAGAAAAAGAGATTTTAGAGTTTGTTTTGAATGAGAAGGTTGGATTGAATGTTCATTGTGTGGACTTGTAAATGATTCAATAATATGAGTGATACTGAGTTTGACTGTTTTTGGAAATTTGCTAAAAGTATTCGAATAGTGGCAAGTGACAACGAACATTGTGCCGAACAAGCCATTGACATGAATGATATCATGTCACTTAAACGATGGTTTCAATTTCTTCACTATTCACAACCACACCACTACTACTTGCATGTGAAATTTCACTCTTTGATGAAACTTCCACAGGAGTCGAATTAGTGTGACTGGGAGTTGTCGTGGTGCCCGAACTTGTCGTCGATGCCTCATTTTCCTTATTTAGCAAATGAACACGTGGTGAAGGGAAGGATCGATCTCCAGAACTTGAAATTGGAGAACTTGCCACTACAGCACTGTCAATATTCGCCTCTTCTTTCAACATTTCCACTCGACTGACAGAATTTCCATTCATTGCTGTCGTTCCTGTCGATGAAGGATTTGATAAATCCACATTGGCTTTGGTTTTCACAACTTTGGCCAATTTCAAATCTTGCATAATGAATTGAACTGGATGACTCAAAATTGGAAGTTTGTAAGGCCAAAAGATGAGAATGACACACAACCCAAATAAAACATCAGGAATTCCCTTCACCAATGGATAAATCACATAGCTCGGTAAGTCAATACTATAAATGGCAACTGCCACAATTCTCACAATGACACCAATTCCTAAAATGACGACAGCAATGGTCAATTTCACAATTGTTTGTTTTTGGGTAATGTAAACTTCTCGATTAGAGGCTTCTGGCTCAGCCAAAGTCGTCGTTCGAATCATGTTCACAATCACAATCACTGCCACAATGCTCAAAATAAGAATCAACACTACTCCCAATGAACCGAGAGGAGCTGCCAAGGCATACAGGATAGTTCTTCTTGTTTTTTCATAATCAATTTGAGGATTGGCTAAGGAGAGAATGGCCATCACGACCAACGAGGACAAACCCACAACGGCGAAAACGTTACACAATACCAACAAGACATAAATGCAACGAGTGACAATTTTCTTACGTTTGGCTTCTTGCATCCATGAGAGACAGATTTTCAACCAAATGGGCATGATTAAACTGTAATTAAATAAATACCAATAAATACTTCCATAATCGAAAACTCTTCGAATTTGTTTGAAGGTTTCGAAAAGTGTCGCATTCTTCTCCATCTCATAATAATGTTGCACAATGGTGACAATTTCATGAACGATTCGAAAAGCATAAAACAACAACATGGAGTGAAGTAAGACATAGAAAAATTCTTTCGATTGAGTTCTTCGAATAAAATCTTGGTGAGCGCTTTTCGAAAAACATTTCGAAGTGAGCTTCAATCCCCACCATCCACACAACTTCTTTCGAGTCAAAATTTGCCAAAACATGAGCCAACTCTCTCGTTTAATGTAAATGAGAAGCGTTGGAATGTAGAGAAGAAGAAAGACAATGAGTGTAAGAGCATCAACCACGAGATTGGCTGTCGATTCACCTGCAGAGACCCATTTGGGTTCAGTGGCGTTGGTCCTTTGTTGGAGAGCAAAGAGAGAGGTGGTTGATGAGGAGCTTCTACTGATGCTCCTGGTGGTGCTGGTGATGACAAGGGAAGAAAGAGCTAACGATGAAAAAGAGGATAGGCCAAATAGGAAAGTGGTCATCCTCGTGCTATTGGTTTGATGGCTGTCAGATGGTGTGTCAAGAATGAAAGTCTATGTTACAAAGAAAAACCGAGGAGTTACAATGTGAATAAAAATACAAATTAGTAAAAATCGATACCACGGTGGATGTTGATGCTGTCGTTTGAAAAACTGAAGCCCTGTGAATTGTGTGGGATCGCGCAATCTTTACAGTCAACATATACCACAAATTCAATCCTTCAATACCTACCTATAACTCAACAAACCAATCTTTGACTCTCGTTTAAACAATTCGTGTGTTGTTGAAAAGCACTCTCGATGGTGACTATAAAGTTGGTGGTTTGTTGTTTTTGTTTAAAAAACACTTTCGTACCTCGTCGTCGGTCTAATAATGTTCGTTCTCCTCGTTGTTGTCAAGGACATTCATTCCCAATAAAGAAACTCAATCGAGCGGAGATAGGAAATGCATCTACATGATTCGTTGCTTGTTAAACTTCTCAAAAATTCCAAATTGGAGAATCGTCTCGAAAGGAGGAGGTTTTCTACGAATGGCACATGATTCACTGCATCACTTGTTCGATGTGAATCATGAACTGCGAATGAATGAACATGCGACAGAGAGTTGTCAATAAGTAAAAAAGAAAAGAATAAAGTGCTTGTCCTCACATCCAAGAGGTCAAAAAACTGGGAGGTTATTCTTTTTATGCTGACTCAGAGATTAAATATGATTCTTCACAAAGCTTTCTTCCCTCACTTTCCATATATTGTTTTTGAGTTTTAAAAATGCCAGTTGTCAATGTGGATGAAAATTCGATTATTGGTTATCAGTATGTTTATAGATCAGAATTTCTAAGATCAAGATGTTGAGTTATCACCAAATGATACATCTTACTGATCATTAATTAATTTATTATTATTGAAACAAAAGCTTTCATATTTATTATTATCCCAATGATCCTTTGGATGAAATAGCCATTGATAATTTATTTAGACATGCAAAAGATCAATGGGGATCTGAGTTGCGTATTGTTAGTATGTGTTCCGAGTTGTCAAATTAATTTAAATATATATTAACCATCATTCGAAAATTATTTAAATATTTAATTCATTCAAATGATTATTTTATTATTAATTTGCATCAAATGGAGACATTTTAATAATCAGTGTGGAAGCAAATTATCGGACCTCACACACTTCCCTTTTTTGAAATGTATGTACACCATCTATCGATTCGCTAATTGACACGAATGTCACACAATCCAAAATTTAGAGACATTGTTGGGAAGGATCTCATTCAAAAACATTTCACACAAGTGTTAAATTGGGTCATGATTCATTGTGGAGGTTATGGAAATGGTTCTGGAGAAAAAGGAAGACCTGTTCTATTGCATCCAGTTTTGAGAATGATTCCAATCAAGTGCAAGCTCATTCCATTTACAGTATGTGGTTGGGAGGAAGAACTACTCCTGTGAATTTATCAGTGTTGAAAAAGTTTGATGATGTGGAATAGAATATTGAATAATAGAAATTTGTACTATTGCAATGTCGTCTTTTTCATGTTGAAGTGTTGTCTTGGTTTTTTTTGTCGTTATCCATATTAGGCGAGTGAAATTGTTATAAATTGAACATTAAGACTGTGTGTTAATTGCAATTAACGCATGATGGTTCTCAATAAGATTTATTATTCATATTGATCTTTGGAAATTTCATCGAGAGGTGTCGACAAGAGAGTCATCGCCTCAAGTGGACGACATTTTCGCATAACGAAAATTTGAAACTCTAAAAAATTGAAATTCTCTTCTCGCAAGGAAGAATCGCACATAAACTCAAACCACACCGTCCGCTCTCACTCGCTTTCTCGGAGATTGACCACACCGATTCTATTGTCCCCTCTTTGTGACCCTATTCAATCTTTTCTTCTCCTTCTTACGGAGTGGTATTCTCACCTGTGGTACACGGGCGGAACCCCTCCGAGAGATTTTGTGTTCCAGGATCTGATTTTCAAACCTTTCAGTTATAGAGTCATCATCAAAAACCATCACTATAATTATTATTATTACGAGCTCTTTGAGAGATTATTGTTTATCTTGTTGTGGATAAGACAGTTTTTGATTTTAATTGAATCATCATCATCATCACCTCATCATCATTCCCTTCTAGCTAATTGTCCTTTGTTTCAGCCCAAACACTCAGAACAATAACAACAACATTAACCATGAAAAATCATTCATCCTCCTCCTCATCATCCGTTATTCATCAATCATCTCAAAACATTCCACGAAAGAGATTAGTATCCCAACAATTATCAACCACCAAAGAAGATGTTGCTGCCGTATCTTCTTCAACCTCTTCTCATGAACAATCTCAGAACCACCAACATCATCATCATGATGATTTAATGAAAGCCTTCGGAAAGGCTTCCAAACATTTGATTTTTGATCCTAAATTATATCCAACAGAGAAGATTCATTGCTCTCATCCTGAAAAGCATAAAGTTCCTGTCTAGTAAGTAGAATTGTTTTGGTAAATTAAGATTGAAAACGTTGCAACTTTTTCAATGATGTCAACTTGATTTCACAAACATTTCATGAAATGTAACATTTTCAACGCATTTTCATCAATGAATAGCATGTATGAAAATTTTGTGTGGGGAGGATATCGAATGAATTTGAACTTTGTGGAATCATTCATGTCACTCTTTTCAATTCACAATGAAACATTGAATATATGGACTGCATTACTGAGTGCATTAGTATTTCTGTATTTGACCATTGATGTCATATTCTTGTGGGATCCATCTTCACCGCAAGGTCAAACACATGATAGTGGATATTCCTCATATTTTGGAGGATTTTTGACAGAGAATTTTATCGAGAAGACCATGTTTGTGGTGTATGCAGTTACTGCAATTATTGCATTTAGCGCATCGCTATTGTATCATTGGTTTAATAGTATTTCAGAGAAGGTGTATATTATGTTACTTCGAATTGATATCAGTTCCATTGGTTTACTCATTGGTGGAAGTTGTAAGTAGATTTTTCATGTCACGTTCTTGTGAAATAATGACATTTTTTTTTGAAAATAACTTAATGTGGAATACAACTCACATTGTGCCATAATTGATATTATTGAAACATCAAAGATTATCCTCCCTTATATTATGCATTCTATTGTCACCAAAATTTTGGACTCTTCTACCTTATTAGCATTAGCGCATTATGTTTGAGTTGTGTTGCCATGTTTATCATTCCTCGCTTTTCACGAGAAGATTACCGACAATTCAGAGTTGCAGTTTTTGGATTCACTGCCATGTATGGCTTATGTCCCTTCTTCCATATAATTTATTTATTTGGATTGGAAAATGATGAGCTTAATTCTCGATTAATGGGTGTTGTGTACATGTATATATTTTATGCACTTGGTGTTTTGTTCTATAGTACCAAGTTGCCTGAAAGAATTTGGCCTGGAAAGTTTGATATTGTGTGCCACAGCCATCAATTTTGGCATGTGTTTGTTTTCTTGGCAACCTCGTATCACTTTTATAATTGTACACTCATGAGAGATGCACAGAGATGTTTCGGAACCTCCGCTTAATAATAAAATTCTTAATGAATACTTTTCCTATTGAAAATATATTTGTTGTTGTTGTCATTGTAATGTCCAATATTGCAGACAAATATTGCAAACAAAATTGTCGAAGAAAAAATGTCTCATTTCGAAAAGCTTTTCGAACTTCTTCTCGAGAAGCAACAAGAGGCTTCCGACCAACTCCATCAAGAAATCTTTCAAGAACGATCCATCCTATGGAATGAACAGATCCTTCCGAAAATTGAACAATTATTCCATCGGAATCGGGAAAATCATTTAAAACAATTTCTTCAAGAGCGTTCGGATGCATCATCCAGGACGGACATCACAGTTTCCGCTTCCTCGGACTTGTTGATTCGAAACAAGAAGAATGATGAGTACACAATTTTCAGAGAATTATTTTCACGAGAGGAGGAAAAGGAATATCGAAAGAAGGAAACCAAATACATCCTTTCAAAACAATTTGATCAAGTGTTTGAATTGCTTAAAAAGGAAAATCAAGCATTGTGGGCATTTACGAGTTTTATTCCAAGAGGAGACGCTACAAAATTATTTCTAAAAATTCCCACGAAACTTGACACTGAAAATCAAATTCAACAATTATTGGAAAATGTCGAAAATGATATGAAAAATGAATATGCGAGGAATGGACAATTGAGAGATTATGAAAATGCAAAATATTTAATATCTAATTTTAAAGAAAGAAATGAGAAAGAAAGGACAAATATTTCCTCTCTTCAACATGAAATACAAGAATCGGCTGAAGTGATGGAGGAGGACAAGGATGATTCAATATTTTCCAAGGATATAAGGATGAGAACGGTGTTGGAAAGATTTTTTCATCACAAATTAAGAATGAAAGGTAAGCGTGTAAAATAGTTGAATGAGACTCATTGAAGAATTGTTCTTGAAAAGTTGTAAATCGAGCCAAGTATATACTCTACAACAGAATCAAAATGAAATATCATTATTCATGGGAAAGACTAGTGAGACCTCAGAGAGAAAGAAAGACATTGACAGACTGGTTGCAGAGAGAGACATTTATTGAAAAATTTGAAAATGAAATTAGAAACATTTCGAGCATGAAAAAACTGTTCTCTCAAGAATTTGACATTTCATATTTTTCTTCTGACACCCTTCATTTAAATTCTAACTTTACAAAACAACTGAATGAAATAATAGAGTATGGACATGAAAAGTCAACAAACACTCTAGGATATTCCATTTACACACTTGTGATGATTTTGGAAAGTGTGAAAAATCACGACGACGATCATGTAGCAAATTCACTCACCTACATGTTCAGAATTGTTATGAAATTTCTACTCATTTATAGGCACTGTAATTTTCAACTTATCTCAATACTACCGCTTCGAATGAAACAATTAATCTATACGAAATTACTCGAATCTGGAATGAAAAACGATAAGGTTCATTCCAAATTTCTACAACACTTAATTTCTTTGACATACACATTTTCACATGAGGAAGATGATCATCTCTCTCGATCTAAACGGCTCTATTTTGTGAAATATTTATGTAAACTATTCTTGAATAAGCATACAGCAGTGTGGATGTTGGATAGACGAAAAATTGAACAAGCACTCTTGCATTATTGTTTTTGCGAAGATTTGAAAAGCACTGAAATTTATTTTACGAATGCTACTGAAGATTTCTTGGTCATGCGAAACTTGTACGATTTTTGCATGCATATTGATGAAACAGCGCTTCATCATGTTCGAGTTTTGAGAGAATTAGTCTGCGAAGAGAAATCGAAACAGACGAGTGACCAATCTTCCATTTGGAATCTTATTCAACAGAGTTTGTATGAGGTGTTTCGAGTGTTTGAACAAGCATGTTCTGTTCAAATTTCACAACATGAAGCACAATTTGAGTATTGCATAAAGTATGCTTGTCAGAGAATTATTGAACTTGTCATGGGGAGAGATGTTCGATGTTTCAGATTCATTGATGAGTGGTTTGCCTTACTTCTCTCATGTTATGAAGCCATTCAAAGAGAAAATGATTCCTTTACATCTATTAACAACAATGATCGAGGATTGTCAAAATGGCTGGGAATGATCGAACATACTTTTCAAGTAATTGCACAAACATGATCATCGACAAGTGAATTTTCGAGTTCACATTTCATAGACCCAAACTTGCCAAAATTCAAAGCATTGGCGAACTTCTCACTTGGTGGAATCATTCTTGACGAACCATTCTCTATTTTTCCTGTCAAGAATGTAAACAAACACTTCAGAACCTCCTTGATTAATTGACACACGCTTATTCAATGCAATGAACACCTTGTTCTCAGACATCAATTTTTGCATCAAGTGTTTCTCAGTGGTCAACAAAATTGCTCTTCCATTTGGACGTAACACTCTGCATATTTGTCTAAACATTGGAGGATAAATTTCCTTATTCAATGAATGAGATCCAATTTGTTTTCCAAATGGAAGGTTGGAACAAATGACATCCACAGAGGCTGTCTGGAGCGGCAATTGAGTGAAATCCCACAGTAGTGGACTCATCAGATGAAGTCTCTCGTTGCCACGCCCAACATATAAATTCATATTGTAAATGGTTGTTTCGAGAACTTCCTTCGAATAATCACCACAAATCACATGAACACGATGATGGTTGTAGAGGTGAGCAGCCATGAGTGAGAGGATTCCAGTTCCACAACAAATGTCACAAAAAACATCGCCCTCACGAACATTGGCCAATTGAATTAAGCTGTAAGCAATATTGGGTTTAAGGGAAGTGGAATTTCTCAAAAGATCGCTCCTAAAATTTCTTGAGAATGTTTCATAACAAACGTTCTCTTCACACAGTGTAAAACACACAAACAAAGTGTCAAAAAAGAGATAACTATAAATATCGAGATCATAGTTTGACAAATCTGCTTTCCATGATTGTCCAATTTTTGCATTTTCACTTCCTATCGACTTGTGAGAAATTAATAATCCAATATAAGATGAGAGTTCTTTGGAAGTGAATTGATGAGAGCCAGCTCTTTTCGCTGTAATTCGGAATTTTAAATGTTCAATAGTCTGAAGCTGTTGTTCTTCCTTGTTGGCAAATAAAAGATTTCTCATGTGCATCCATTTGAGTAGAGATTCTCTCCAACATGAGCTCTTTGAAAGAAATTGTTGATGAATTTCCATGATATATCTGAATTGAGGATCATCTCTCAATCTCCTTTCGTACTCTCTTTCTTTTTTTTCATCTTCTGCAATTTGTTCTGTCACTAGATCAGTGTGACTATTGATAGCATTCGAGGCAACTTGATTTGACTTTCCTTGAGATGGAAATGAAATGTTTTCCAAAGTATAAGCCATGATATGAACTTTCACAATAGAAATACACTGAAGCAATGCATCAATACATGTCTTAAAGATTGATTCAATATTGTTGTTAAATTCGAATTGAACAATAGTTTTTCCTTGCAACATGGATTTCATATCCTTCCTTTCGAAAATTCTTACAATTTCTCGGTTACCTTCACTCATCGTTGAACTTGACAATTTTGAATCCTCTCGTTGTGAATTTTCATCATCACAATACCCGCAATAAATATGATGAATAAACCATGAAAAGGAACTATTTTCATCATCCTTCCATTGTCCATTCAATCTCTGAAATTTATCTCGAATTTCATGAGCTGCAATTTCTTCAAGTCCTGGCACACACGTACACATGAGAGAAAGCCTCTCGGAATGGGTACATTCAAAAAAGTGTACATTCTTTCTGGAATTTAATGACCTCCATGGCATTTCCAGTGATGATGATTTGTTTTGGGAATCCGATGATGATGATAGGAATGATTCCGAATCTTTTTGTTGCTCTTCCGAATACAATGATGAGCCTTCTTTTGTTTGCATTTTTTTTTGTAAGAAGAGTTATTGTAAAGAGAGACAAGAACGCATTTGTGGAAAGTGTTGATTGCGATAAGGTTGTACTTTGTTGGGTCAGCTCTGTTTGGTCGCGTTTGAATCTCAGAATTATTTGGTTTTAAAAAAACCTGTTGAATGTCATGTATATTTGGTTCTCCTTTTTTGTCTGAATTTGGAATTACAATTTCTCCTTGTAAGTTGGATATCGAAAACCATTCGCATGTCTCTCTTTAAAACCACCAACCACGGAGCCCGTACTGCTCTTTTTAAATACGCACGATTACATTTCGATAAAATTCTAAGGAAAAAGAGTGTCTTTTCAAGTTCATGCCTTACTGCAAAAAGTATTTTCAAACCAATCAAGAAACATTTAACATTTTCTCAGAGAAGTTGTGGAACACAATCATCTTGGACAGAAATTAAAAACAACAAAATAAACACACAATGTCTCATTCTTCCAGTTTAAACTCAATGGAATTCTCTTCAGAGAGAAACAGTTCGAGCTGCCAAATGTCATCCAATTCAAGCACAAACAGTTCAACGAATACATCTCCAAAGAATTCCTTCATCACTCATGGACGTCCTAGAAAGCTTCGTCACGGAATCAACACTGAAGATTTCAAACGAAACTATTTCGAGCTTTGTCTCTCCTCGAGCGACAGTGCTATTGCCAGTTGTCAACAAGAAGTCAAAGTGTTGTCATTCCATCATCACGATGTCAACAAGCAGCCAAATACGCATCAAACAAATGAATCGTTGAAAACCTACCGACCCATGAAGACTCGTTTGAGAAATGAAAATATCACCATCATTTCATTTCCGTCATCTATGAAGAGTGATGATGGGAGTAGAAATGTCAGTAGTCAAAGACATCAAGATAAGAAGAACAAGGTCTCAAAAACAAAAAAGATGAAGGAGAGACTGTTGAGTGGCTCTCACAATAGTATTGCCTCTTGTGCGACTAGTTTTTCAAATCAAACGTGTGCTGTGAATATTGGTTCCGAAATGCATGCTTCATCAACGAACGCCACTTGTCAAAAAGAGACTTCTCCTCACAACGATGCTTTTCCAAATTCTCTACTTTGTCCCTTAACGAACGAGTTAATTGCCTTGTATTACATTCTTTTCCATTCCCTGCCTCCTAATAACAACAACAATTCAATCCATTCTTCATCTCACATTCAACCTCCAACATTCGAACAAACTTCTCAAACCATGAACGAAAGTGGTTTTCATTTCAAATAAAGTTTGTTTGATCAAAAGTTACAGCATTTCATTACAAACAGATCAAGCCCAAATGTTCTCCTGTCAAATGTTTTTGCCGTCAAATAAAAAAATTCACAACCCAATCAATCCTCTCTTAAAGAACCAAACTCTATCTACCGTGTCTATTCCCATTATATGAACCATTGTTTCTCCAATTCTGAAATTGTTTATGACGACATTGTGTTTTCCGTAAAGCATTCTTGACCGTTGTAAAATGCCAGTCATCCTGTCAAATGTCTGTCAGCTCTTCAACGTGATTGTCAAACCAAAAAAATATGAGAAATCTCAACTCTTCTCTCGACACTGGCGAGAACCCATCCCCATCCACAAACAACTCTCTCACCGTCATCACTCCAACCGAAAAAATTACTTCCAAATCCTTCAATTATGTCAATCTCGATTTGATCGATAAAGAATTAGCATGTCCCATTTGCTTCTTTCCCTTCTATGATCCCGTGGTTCATTCTTCATGTGGAAATACATTCTGTCGTGAATGTGTCAATTCACTCTCGCAATGTCCAATCTGTCACGAAGGTGATTTTTCCTCTGAAAAAGTGACTGTTGTGAAAATTATTCGAAATCAATTGGACAAGTTGGCAGTATTTTGTCCCATGTGTAAGAATGTTGTGAATCGAGGTGAATTGAAGAATCATCAAGAGAAATATTGTCCTCTTCGCGATGCGTATCAACAAGTGGAACAAATGAAACGTGATTTGGAGAAGGAATTTGAAGAAAAGAAAATGAAATTAGAACAAGAGTTTCAAGAAAAGAATCAGAAATTGGATCGAGAACATTCTCTCTATTTGGAACAAGCAGAAAATGAATTGAAACAAAAAGAAAAGGAATTGATGAAACAATTTTAAGAACGAGAAAAACAATTAGAATTGGAAAGAAAGGAATTCCAGAAAGAAAAGATGTCTCGTTACAAATTGGAATACTCCAACAAACCCCTTCATTTGAATGTTGGAGGAACAGTGTTAACTGTCTCTTTAGGCCACTTTCTCCATAATGAAAGAGAACCTGATAATCTATTCGAGAAAATGTTCACAGGAGAACATCCATTGTATGAAACACCAAGTATTGAATTCACAGATAAGGTCTTTTTTGTGGATTGTGAATTGGATGTTTTCAAAGAAATCTATAATTGGTTAAAATATGGAACTCTTGGCGAAAGTAAAACCAATGAAACTCTTCGAATCAATCTCAAGAATCAAGCAAAGACATTTCATCTCTCTCGTTTGGTGAATGAATTAGAAAAGTGTGAAGAAGAATATGGTTTCTCATATTTAAGCACACCAACAACAAACATGAAACGAAAAATTGCAAAAACTGACTTTATGAATTTGCTCAATCTTTCAAGATCTCAAAAAACCACATTTAAATTATCTGGAATGGATTTGAGAAATGTATTTCCATTGGAACATTTGGATTTGAGTCAATGTGAAATTATTTCCTCTAACTTGAGCAAAATGAATTTGAAAGATGTTAAATTCAGCCATAGTATTTTGAATGGATGTGATTTTTCAGGATGTCATTTGACGAATGTGGATTTTTCAAATTGTGACTTGAAAGATTCTAATTTCTGTGGTGCTAATTTGAATTCGACTAATTTCACAAATTCGAATCTGGAAGGTTGTTTGTTTGACAAGTATTCCATTGGACGGAGCTGATTTGACGAATGCGTCACTGAAAGGAGTGAAGTTAGTAGATTTTTCATTTACTGACATCAATTTTTCAAATTGTGACTTGAGAGAAAGTGAATTAACTGGTTGCACTTTTAATAGATGTGCCTTTCAATTAACCAAGCTCAATAATGCTTCAGTATTGCAATGTGGTTTCGAAAATATGACTTTTAAGACCATCAGAGCAAATCAAAATCTCAAAATTAAGCAATGTAAATTTGAAAATTGTAATTTAAAAGGCAGATCAAATATCACTCAATCATTGTTCGACAAAACACGACTCATTAATTGTAATGTGAATGGATGTGACATGAGCAATCTTGATTTGAGAGGATCTTTTTTTGAAAATGTGACAGATATGAATTTCTCAAACACGAATCTTGAAGGATGTTCATTCAAACAAATCATTCTTCAAAAACTGAAATTTAATTCCAAAACAACTCTTTCAGGATGTAAAATGGAACAAGTTGATTTGAGTGGTTGTAATTTAAGTGAATACAATCTAAGCAAATGCTCCTTTGTGGGATGTGAGTTTTCAACAACCATCCTTCAAAACACCAACTTTTGTGGTTCCTCTTTCAACAATTGCTCATTCAAACAAGTGGATTTGAGAACAATTATTTTGGACAATAATACTCGTGCCACACAATGCAACATGCAACAAGTGGATCTCTCTGGACAAAAAGATGTGAAGAATTTTGTGATGGGTGGAAATTCATTCACAAACTCTAATTTGAGTCATTGTGATCTCAGTAACACTGTTTTGAAAGGATGTTCATTTACTCAATGTCAATTGAAAGGCACAAACTTAAGCTGTTGTGATTTGAATGCGTGTTCATTCAAAGAGATAGAAATACGAGAGACATTCATTGACAAGACATCCTTCTCTGGTTGTAAAATGATTCAAATGAATTTTAGTGGAATGAATTTGAAAGAAGATTTGGCAACATTCAGTAATGCTGTTTTGAATAGTTGTAATTTCTCGTTTTGTGGTTTATCGAACAGCAATCTCTCTAAATGTGATTTGAGAAATTCAAACTTTTGTGGTGCTAATTTAAACTCAACTAATTTCACAAACTCCAACCTTCAAAGTTGTTTGTTTGATAAGGAAACAACTTTCATTTCGACCAAATTGGATGGTATTGATTTCACAAATGCCTCTCTGAAAGGAGTGAGACTGAAAGGCTATTCTTTTGGTAAAACAAGCTTTTCAAATTGTGACTTGACACATTCGGACATTAATAAGTGCATTTTCTATGGTTGTAACTTTACAAAGACCAAACTTGACAAGACTTCATTCAAAGAATGTTCTTTCACAACATGTTCCTTCATTGATGTGGATTTGAGAACAAATATTTTGGACAATAATACTCGTGCCACACAATGCAACATGCAACAAGTGGATCTCTCTGGAAGAAAAGATGTGAAGAATTTTGTGATGGGTGGAAATTCATTCACAAACTCTAATTTGAGTCATTGTGATCTCAGTAACACTGTTTTGAAAGGATACACTTTTGTGAAATGTCTTTTAGCAGAAACAAACTTTTGCAACTCTGATCTTTCTGATTCAGTGTTCCAAGAAGTGAATTTGAAAACTATTATCTTCAATGAAAATACCAAAATGAAAGCTTGTAAATTGATTCAATCGGCTCTACCTTCCTCAACATCATTAGATCTTTCAAACTCAACTTTGAACAAATGTGATTTACGTGAAAGTGAATTCAAACAAGTGAATTTCTCTTCATGTAGTTTTAATGATTGCCAACTAGACAGCACAACAATTTTCAATTCATGCGTTTTGACAGAAGTGAATTTTGATAACAAGAATTTGAAAGGAGTGAGTTTTGAGAACAGTAACATGTCCAAAATGTCATTTCACAAGACTTGTCTACAAGGATGTAATTTGAGTGGTTGTGATTTGAGTGACAGCAACGTAAAAGAATGCGATATGAAAGAATGTATTTTGAAGGGCTCCAATTTACAGAATTCCATTTTCGAACATTGTAATCTCACTGGGTGTGACATTCAGAACGCTAACACTCAAGGAATGAAAATTTCAAATTGTCAATCGGAGAATGTATTCAGTTCTAGCAATATATTGAATTCAGCACAAGCAATTTTCTCAATTTCATCAACTCTCAAATTGAAGAAACCTGTTTCTCAATGTTCACTTTTATATCGTGGAAGCAGAGATGGATTCACTGCACAAACATTTCATTCTCGATGTGATTCAAAATCACCAACTCTCACAATTATCAAATCACAACACAATCAAATCTTTGGAGGTTTCACAACACAAACATGGAATCATACTGACGATTGCAAACCTGATTCAGAAGCATTTATTTTCAAATATCATGATTCAACATGCACTTTTGAAATTTTACCTGTGACTAGACCTGAGAAGGCTATTTATTGCCATTCCTCTTACCTTGCAGTGTTTGGGGGTATTAGTATTACAGACAAGTGTAATGAAAATATGAATTGTTGCAATTTAGGAAGAAGTTACAGCCTTCCTGAATCCTTGAAACAACAAAACTTGAAATATAGAGATGCTCAAGTTCAATCTTATTTAGCAGGATCCTACAAATTCAAAGTTTCAGAAATTGAAGTTTACCAAGTTTAGAAAATACATCATGTGTCATGACGCAGATTTTGCATCCCTGCGTTTTCCTGCTGCCAATAATGTTCGAAATCAATTGGATAAATTGAAAGTATTTTATCCAATGTGTAAGAATGCTGTGAAACGAGGTGAATTGAAGGATCATCAAGAGAAATATTGTTCTCTTCATGAAGCATATCAACAAGTGGGAAAAAAACAGAAATATCGTTTGAAAAAACAATTTGAAGAAAAGAATAATAATACAAAGTTGGAACAGGTGGAAACCATTCATTTGAATGTGGGTGAGAAACAAGTCGATCAACAAATTGATACAGTATTCCATTCAAGCACAATTTTGAATTCGAAAGTAGCTTCATTGATATTCACAAGTCTGAAATTGAATGTTTCTCAATGTTCACTTTTATATCGTGGAAGCAGAGATGGATTCACTGCACAAACATTTCATTCTCGATGTGATTCAAAATCACCAACTCTCACAATTATCAAATCACAACACAATCAAATCTTTGGAGGTTTCACAACACAAACATGGAATCATACTGACGATTGCAAACCTGATTCAGAAGCATTTATTTTCAAATATCATGATTCAACATGCACTTTTGAAATTTTACCTGTGACTAGACCTGAGAAGGCTATTTATTGCCATTCCTCTTACCTTGCAGTGTTTGGGGGTGGTGGTGATATTTATATTGCAGACAAGTGTAATGTAAATACAAATAGTTATTGCAATTTAGGAAGAAGTTACAGCCTTCCTGAATCCTTGAAAAAACAAAACTTGAAATATAGAGATGCTCAAGTTCAATCTTATTTAGCAGGATCCGACACTTTCAAAGTTTCAGAAATTGAAGTTTACCAAGTTTAGAAAATAAATAATACACGAAATAAAACAATCCTTCCAACCTTGCAGCACTTCACTGCAACAACAAACTTGTTGGAATTTGAAAGATCCTGCTTTTCCAACTAAATCACACTATGTCCATAATAAATAACTTCAATGAACGGTTTCCTTCTTGTTGTGGTTACAGCTTGTTGAATGAAGGATAGATCCCAACAGATATCATCCTCGACAAAGAACTCCAACAATCTCCTTCTTCTTCATCATGAATCTTTCGATTGGCTTCTTGTCGTTTTCATGTATTTACGATTGTGGATATTTCCATTTCAAACCTCCACCAACAACCACAAGGAACATTTTGGAAAGTAAATAAATCATTCAACAACAAGAACACGTCCCTTTTCCTTGTCACAACCATTGAAATCGCGCCGTGTGGAGTGAGTGAAATTCCCAGCAAAAGTTTCAGGACATTTAAATTCGTTACCAATCAACAAATCTTTCGAAAGAAAAACTCCAACAAGAGATCACTTGTTTCATCACTTCCATCACTCTCGGAGACTTTTGTTGGAATATAATTTCGAGTGATCCATTCATTGGAAGAACCATCACCAAAAAGTTGATCGCTATTATATTTAACCACATTTTGGAAGAAATGAACCACAAGCACCACGGTTCAAATGTCAACGCTCCATGCCAAAATCTTGATGATTTTGAACAAGATTTCAAACATTATCTCTTTTCATCCTCTAATTCTTCAAGTACATCGTCATCCATGAGCTCTCATCTAGAGAGTGTTTCAACGTCCCTTTCTCCTCCCACCCATCAATTGCCAACTGTCACTTGCCATCCAAGCACGTCCTCAACCACGACCACCACATTCGACTCATGTCCATCTGCATGCAACCATGACAGTTCCTCAATGACCACCACACCATTTACAACCACTTCCCCTCCTGTTCCATCCTCTTTTTCTCCAATCACTGGACGACCACTTTTTCCTCGTCTAAGACACACTGGAAAAACCAAATGTGCCAACTGTCAATCTGAATCCACACCCATGTGGAGAAAGAGATTAATGGGAGAAATTTTATGTAACAAGTGTGGATTGTACTTGGTCAGACATGGAAAGACAAGACCACTCGATTTGTCAAATTCTTCACATTCTTCATCACCAAGTGGAGAAGATTCAAAAATCAACTCATCAAAGAAACAGAGACAAGTCAAGAAGAAATCAAAGAAATCCAATAATAGAGGACAAAAGAGAAAGAACAATTCATGTCAAGAAACTTGTCATGATGAAGATTTAATAACTATCGTTTCGAAGAAGGAGAAAACACAATCAAAAATTCATGAATCGATCGATCAGAATGAACTGAATTGTAAAAAGTTGAGAACTCATCATTCTTTGACCTGCGCGTCAAAAAGTACAACCACAAACCTTCATGTGATGGATTCAATCGCTCCTAATGTTTCTCCTCATTCGCATTGCGCATGTGGCCATTCAAATGAAGAAAAAGTGCCACATACGGAAACTTCTTCGATGGGAAGGATTATTTCAGTTCTGACACAACCACCACAACCGTTGCAAGTCCTTTCAAACAGCGTCACGATGGCGACCACAAATGCTCATTCGTTGTGGGGAAATCCTAATAATTGTTACTCTTCTCAACTCATTTCGCCCATGTATCATCCTCATTGTGGAATGTTGCCTTCTCCAAATTCGAAAATGCTGTTCATGAATGAGTTGCCAAATGTCAATCCAAATAGCATCAACAACATTGGTAGTAATCATTCAATATTTTCTGCTCCTCATGTACTTGTTTCAAATCCCAATGGACCCATGATGGTTCATACTCCTTTAAATTTGAGAAAAACAGAAATTTCAACACCATTCGTGAATTCTTGATCGAGTTTACAACAAATGGAAAAGGATCATTTTCTAAATCAAGAGGCATTGTTAAGGGAGTTGACACACAATCAAGAATTTTCGAATACCTCTGTCGTGGAATCGAATATTGAGATTGTCTCTGCACAACAACTTGTTTCCAATGAACATTCAAAACCGCATCAAGAACCACTCCTTCACAATTCAAACTTGTTTTATTTAAATCCTGAATTGGAAGAATTTTTGAAGTATTTTGAGTAAATCATGACAATTAAGGATTGGAAGTGTCAGATAAGGTGGAACACTCCTCAGTGGTGGTCGTAACATCTCCTTCGATTTGATTTCTACGTTCTCGAAGAATGTTTGCAAATTCATTCTCCTCTTGCTTTTGCGGTCGAATGAGTTTCTTTTGAGGTCGTGCAGGTAATTGACGCTTTGAAGTGTTCGTGTTTCGCTCTTTTTCTTTGACTGGTGTTAATTCTTCAAGAGGAGAATGTTTACTCTCAGAAGGAGTGGTTTCTTCAATGGCAGGTCGAATGGATGGAATTTCTTCTTGTTTATCAGATGGTCCTTGATGTGAAAAATTATTCCATTCAGGTGCCACGTCGACTAATTGATGGGTGTCCTTGTCGTACTCAATATGTGTAACATGACTAAAGTTTTCGGTTTTTGGCATTGAGATTCTAATCTTTTCAGGATGTTGAAGCTCAGAAGTCGGAACAATGCTTGCTCGAGGAGACATGCTGGTCGGTTTACTTTTTCTAAATATGGAAGTTAAGGAAAACCGTTTCTTGGTATCATTGAGTTTGATCTTATCTGCTTGAAGCTCAATTTTTCGATTTTCTGAGACTTCTTTTTCAGATCTATATTTGTGAAGAAGAATTTCCGAGAATTTTGCAATAAACTTTTCAGAAATTTCATCATCGTCTAACAATCGCTATAGGAATAAATAATGAATAACTAAAATCATTATTCGGAAGAAATTACTATTTTACCTACCATTCCAACAGTGTAATCTTGTTCTTTAAATTTAAAACTAATCCACTTTCGATCTTGAATCTTTAACTCTAAAACAGTTTTTGCAGTGAAACAAACTTGTCGAGTCAAAAGATTCGTCACATAGACTCTCGGTGAATGATCCATATAATTCACATGCAATCTGAATAGTCGTGGATAAGAACAAAGACATGAAAAACGTTTGAAACACTTACGTGCAAAGACCAACAAGAAGAGAATCTTTCCACATGTCAGTTGTCAATTCTTCATTCTTGTTTAACTTTTCTGAAAAGATATAAATTCTCACTTTACAGTGTGCTAAAATTTCATCTGGAAAGCAATCGACAGCAAGAGAAGCAATTTGAAATTCCTTTTCTCTCTCCCCTTGTTGAGACATTTTTTTGTTTGTTTTTTTGGTTCCAAGTTCAAGATTAACAAAATTGGAGAGTAAACAAATTTAGAATTTCCTCAAGAGCTTAATTTCGTCATCTCATCATCAAGTCAAATAGATGACATCTTAATAAAAGTGGCACAAAAACAACATATGAAATGATCTTTTGTTTTGAAAGTTATTTCACATAAAATCAAAACACAAAATATAAAAAAAAATCCAAAAATGGAAAACAAACGACTACGAAGGACGCTCACCAACGATCAAATGTTTTGGGACGAAGAGAAACTAGACATGAAATCGGAGCCAATTCCTCCGCTTCTTTGTGATGATGGAGGAGGAGTGAGGCTTCCATCGAGTGCGGATGTTTCCTTTCAACAAATTTTGCAAATGGCGAACGTGAATGAACCGAATGTGGAGTTGTGTTTGGATTTGTTGAGAGAGAAGATTGTTTTGGACGGTTTACCGAAAGAAACATTGGTGAGTAGTGGTTATAGATGTTGGAAATATTGTATCGGAATCGATTATTGTTATTATTATTATTGTTGTTATCCACCATCATATTCATCATGATGATAATAATTTCCGAAATACTATTTATCATCACTGTTGTTTGGAATTATTGAAATACATGAAATATCGGAATTATTGAAAACATGATCATCATTTAGAAACACAAAAACTCAGTGTTACTAGGAAAATATAAGGAAAAGTGTGAGGCCTGTACTTTACAATTTATGATTGAAAAATGTGATTATGAGAAGGTAATACAATGCGAGGAAAAGTTGAGAAAGGCCTACTCGGAGAAGGAACATTCTGAAGAAACATTGAAATTCCTTCAAAATGATTTGTTGGATGCCATCAAAAATTTTGAAACAAAACGATTCATGTACGAAGATGAATGGGATGAAGAGTCTGAAATGGATTATTCAGATTGTATCGAGTGTAAGAAAACATTTCGAGAGAATAGTATTCGTAGAAAAGTATGGCTAGCACTGCTGAGAATTAAACTAGTAGATTTAGATCACTACATTACATTGGTAGCTCAAGGGTCACAAGCGGAAGATTATGGCAGCTTGTTGAAAGATATTGATCGTACAATTGGCTATTTCCCTGTATGTATATTTTATTGTGGCGTTTTTTTTATTAATTATTATAATTATTATTATAATATAATAATATAATATATATTATTATTATTATATTATTCATTTCCATGTGCATGATAATTACAAAAAATTGCAGCATTTGGTGAGTGGAAAAATTACGAAAAAAAGACAAAAGCTTCTCAAAGAAGAATTGTTCAAAAAGATGAAAAGAATTATCAACAGTTTTTTACTGACTCATGGAGATCGCTATTCGTTCATTCAGGGAATGACAGTATTTTGCTCTTTATTATTGCTTCACATGAGCGAAATTGAAGCATACTATTGTTTCGATCGATTATGCACAAAAGTATTTCCAACCTACATTAATCCAAAAAATAGATCTTTACAAAATGCATCTGTGAATGGTATGGAAGGAGTATATGCCGCTTGCAATTTGGTGGACAAATTAATACAAATCGACGATCCAGAATTGTTCAAATTATTTCAGCAGAACAAAGTAACGGCAAGATTTTGGGCATTTAAGTGTAAGTGATGAAGATGTTGCAAATTTGTTAACTTAATTTCGTGGAAATGACTGAGTAGACATTTCTGTATTCATGTGCAGTGTGATGGACATTCAAATCGCCACAGTGTATTGGGATTTCTTCTTATCGACCGGTTTTCATATGGTTGTTTTGTGTGTCTATGCAGCGGTGAAATTGAAGAGAAATGAGTTGTTAAGAATGAGAGGAAAACAAGACAATTACATTCAAAATGATGTCATTCCAAATGCTAATCCACATGAAGTAGTGAGTGAAGTTTGCAAGTTGATGGAAAATGTGCCACCACGATTCTACAATGATCTTGTCAACCATTTGCATGATGTGGATTTGTGTGTAAAGATTTGTTCCTCTCCAGTCATTGACTCTAAACAGTAGATGAATCAGACTTTACGAGAAGTGTTGGATCACCACAACAATAATAGATGTAACTCTCTAATGCTACTCAAATCCTGTTTATGAAATGGAAATTTAGTGAAATTCTATCTGGTTCCTACTTTTTTCGATGCATCCATTGTGGATAGATCGACCTTTGTGGCTGTCACAGCTGCTGATTTTAAGGTTTGCTGTAAATGTTCGGATTGTTCTAAAGAGAGCGATCTGAATATCGGGAAGAAACTATTAATGTCATCATTGTCCTCACATCTTTCGTAAATGTATTGCTCTGTTCCTGTATATTCTGTAATTGGCTTTTGATAGAGATAAATTAGAAAATAGACATAATTCCACAAATAGTGCTCTTCTTTCACATGCTTTTCAAATGTGATGCCTTCGTTTGCTTTTGTATCGAATTTTGTTCTTTCCAATCCACAAATAAAACATCGATCCTTAATGTCCTTCTTTCTGTCTTCTCGTTCATTTCTGAGAACTTCGAATGAGTCAAGAATGACACCAAACACAACGTTGGTCAACAACACGACGACTAACAAGAGAAATGCCAAATCAAGAATTGCCCTCTGAACACTATTATTCACCGGATAAATATCTTCCCAGAAACTCTCACCTCTAAATCCATAATCCAACATGGTCACATAACAGCTCAACATGTCTTCACATGTTTTGGCACTGGTTTTGGATGTCACAAAATCGTTTGAGAAGAATGTAAAGTACAGCGTACCAAAGAAGAATAATGCAATCGACAAGAGCATGCCTGTGAAAAATAATCTCTTCCAATTAGTAGTGACGGATTTCAACACGTCGGTCAATGATTTGAATAAAAATACGCATTCAAATAGTTGAATGGAATAACAGATGGGATGAATTAATAATCCTAACACAGACACTATAATATAAGTCGTAAAAAACCAAATCTGAGAGTCCTTCAATGTGTAAATAAAGCACTTCACAATAAAATCGCGATTCACAGGAATGGAATCCCATGTCTCATTTCTCTTCAATTTAAATCTCTTTTTAACTTCCAATGTTAAGAACAATTTTGCATAAATAATGAAGAGGCACACTAAATAAATCAACTGAATCACTCCAAATATAACTAACACAGTATCACTCGCTAAACTTCTTGGGGCTGTCGTTTTGGGTCTGGAAAAAATGTCAAAAGTGTCACCTGGCACTGGAATTCCAGAAACAGTGTCAGTAGCATAAATTCTCTTATAGGAAGCTAATAAAATAATATTAATAGCAACAGAGAGGAAAAATAATGCAAATCTAAAATAGTCCCAATAATTTGCAATGTACTCCCAAGTTGCTGTTTTTGTTTCGTTTGTCTTTTTCTTTTTTCTCTTTTTTTGCAGCACTTTTGCTGTGACATGTGACATGGATGGAATGAGTACTCCAGTTTCATTAAAATTTTCTTCAATACTATCACTTTCATCTTCTTCATCACTTGCATTTGCATCCGAATGAGCACGTGGAATGACTTGTTGATTTTTCATATTCTCATAATGGCACATTTCCACATAAAATCGACTAAATGTGTCATTATATAATTTTCTGACCTTTTCTTGAGGTGTCATCACATGAAGCGATTGCACATAATTACTTCTTGCCTTATCAATAATGTTATTACAAATACTGGGTTTGGGGAAGTAAACTTTTTCAATGGAATTGCCTCTCAACACTTCAATACTTCCAGAACGTTGTTGGAAAAAGAAAACTTCTTTTGAATAATTTTGGAAAAAGTTACTGACTCGACGTTTTCGATATTCTTCGTCCATGGTTGGAACCATGGTGGAAAAGGAGGTATTCGCTTTACCGAGAAGTTCATTTTCACTGTCTTTGAGCATGGAGAGAAGGAAGAAAATATGCATTCCTAAATCTTCGAACTGAACTCGAAGAATTTCCATATTGGATTCCATATAGTCGTCGACAAGAATGGGATTTTTCGAAGAACGATCAAAGTTATAGAGATAGTGCGTTCCAAAATCTCTTCTCATTCGTTTTTGAAGTTCGATTAACTCTTCACAATCGTCATGGTCGTTATTGGTTCCAGAAAGAGATTGAAATAATCGAGAAATGTACAAGAGTAAATTTTCAAAATCATCCAAATGAATGGAAGCTTTCATAAATTCTAGAGTTATTTTGTTTCTTCCTTCTAATAGGGAAATAAGCAACAAGGTAATTTGTTTCTTCAATTCTAATTCTTGTTGTTTTGTCAACTTGCTGTCATCGTATGACTTTGACATAATTTCGTTAATGAGACGTGGATAAATTTTGCGAGAAGTTCCAACAAGATCTTGATTGAACACTGCTGGTCCTTGAACAAATTCAATCAAAGTTTTGAAACCTTGAACTGCAATGTCGACATTGTCAGAATCGAGTTTCTTTTCCAAAGCAACTAGATAATCAACAATTTCGGAAATTAAATCAATGCTAGTTCTGTTTCTAGGTTGATGTTGAAGAAGTAACTGATTTTGTGTGTTGTGACCTTCACAGAGAAGTCTCAAAAATTCCATCATGTTGAAAATAAATCCTTTTTCAACAAAATCTTCATTCGCGTTACTTGATCCATCCATTTCTTGAGTAGTGTCTTCTTTTTTAGCCTGTCTTTGATTGGAGAGTGCAAATTCTTTTTCTCTCTTCTTTTTCAGATAGTTTTTACGTTCCTTAATTTCAAGTTTGGATAAACGAATTCGATCTCGAACGGATGTGAAGAAGTCTGAAGAGTCACTTTCGGTCAATAACTTGTTCATTCGGTGTTGGACTTGAATGTCACCTTCGCTGAGAATTAAAATTGCAAGTTCAATTGTGGATTTCACAATACGATGATGAGGACTCTTAATGAGTTCAATCACTACTTCTGGAACATTTTTTTCAACCAAATCCAACTTGGAGATCGATCCAGTGTGTTGTTGAGCGACAATATTTTTCAGAATTTCCATGCCAAACAATCCAACTTGTAAATTCGTATTGTTAAAACCTAAAGTATTCAATTCCAATAAAACGTTCACAAGAACCTTAATGAATCCATCATATTTTGAGAAGAGCAATCCCAAATCAGTAAAATTACTTCGTTTCAATATTTTCGAAATAATTCTAGTGTTCAAATATTTCTTGTAGGTCTCATGAATTCTTTCATCTTTTTCAGTACTTGCAGTTGTTTGAATTCGACTTCTCTGAATTTTGGCCTTTGACGCCTTACTGGACAAGAAGTGTGAAATGGCGCGTTGACTTGTAGAAGTCATACTCTTTTTTAACATGGCAGTGATGCATTTGTGAACTCGTTCACGATGTTCTGGATTGATGGTATGCTTGTGAAGATCAATAATTTTAAGAAGCAAATCTTCGGCAATATCCAATTGTTCTTTTGAAACATTTGGAGGAGGAAAATGAAGATGAAAATAATCTCTAATAAATGGAATCATTACTTCAAACAAGTAGTAATTATCGACTCGATAGAGTTCTTGATCCTCTTCCATTGGTGTAATTTTTGTGACAGCAGTCGAGTAAGTTTTGGAACTTCTTTTAGCACTTGTTGTTGTTAACTTGGTTTTGCTTGGCGTTAGGAGAGCAGCTGGATTACTGATAAACTTGCTAGGTGTCGTTGGAGTTCGAGTGTGCGTTGGTGACATGGCACTTGTGGAAGGAGGTGTGTCAACTCCAAATGTGTTGGTGATTTCAAGAACTTCCAGCTCACGAATCATTTTAGAAAAGAGTTTGAATAATAATGGGTGATTGACATTAATTTTGCTCTTGGTTCCAGATTCGTCATCTGAAAGCTTTTCCACATTGAGATAAATTTCGTCAATCACTTTCATTAGAGGATTTCTCAGAACAGGTAATGTGTATGGCGAACATGCTTGTTCCAATAACTCTTCATACGAAAAGAGTGTTTGAAGTTTTTGTTCACTTTCACGATTTTTACCGTCCGCAAGAGCTGCCAATAAATAAAGCAAGGCAATGTGATAATTCAAAATTCCATCTGGTTCAGTATAATGCTCTCCTTTCATGATACGATTGTTACGCTCTCTTAGACCTTCTTCGTCTTTGAAGAGGACCATGACGTCCTTCTTTCTCTCCAAGAGATACTTGGTAATAAGTGTTTGATTACGCTTGATTGGATTTCCACCAGTAGTTCCTAAAAGAACATGCAAAAATGTTAACATGAAAGCACATCTCTGTTGTGCAATTTCATCAATGTAGGACTCGATGTGTTTTTCTTCAATGGTGCTACAAAGAGCTCGATTATTTTTAACCATTTCACACAAGAGTCGAACAATCTTTCCATCCAATACTCGATTTTCTCCTAATAGTTCCATAAAGAATTGCATGTGTGGAAATAATATTTTCTGATTGTCTGAATTATTGCTCACGAATGAAGTTAACAATTCAATTCCTTTTTCTTGAATTTCAGATGAGACAATCCAATCTTTTTTAAGGAAGGAAAAGATAATATCTTGAACAGATAAATTTCTGATAATTCTTTGAGATCGATGGCCATTTTTGACAAGATCGCTTGTCATTTCATCGAGAGATTTTAGAACTTTCTTTTCTTCTTGTTCTGTGATTCTTCGAACGCCAATGTAATTTCCTTGTCCATAACCGAATACTGATCTGAGATCTGCAATACGTTGTGACATTTGATCGTAGGACTTGGCCATGTCTCTTGAAACAATGAGTTCAATTTTAGGTAACGCTTCAGACAGTTCTTGAGCTGCTCTATATTTTCTAATCAATAAACTCAGGCATATGGTGGCTAACTCTTGGTTGTGATATCGAGTTAAAGCTAAAAGTTGAATATCGAATTTGTCCATTCGAGTAAAAATCAAATCTGGTTTCAACACTTCTTGTAACATGAGATGCTCTTTCGAGTCAATGTCTTGCACAACTGTTTTAAATTCCTTTCTTTTTTGTTGAGCTTCTTTGGTGTCGACCAAATAAAAATCATAATCCTTGAGAACAGTTTCAATTTCTTCTTCTCTGTACTTTTTCCAGAAAAATTGTAAGAAACTGGTGATTCTCTTATCGAGCAGAATATCAAACAACATGTGAAAAATGCTTGCAATTTCGACCTTAATTTTCATGACGGTAATGTTTTCTTCAGATTGAAGAATTTGTTCTTCCTCAGTGAGAGGAACACCATTTTTCTTGTCATTATCCCCTCGCAGTGTGTCGTATAATGCTTTGGCAAGAGATCCTTCTTCAAAATCTGCGATTGTTAAAACACCAACTTCAACCATTCGCTTACAGAGCGTCATTAAGCTCAGCACAAAAATGTTGTGATCCTTCTTGTCAAACGCCACATCAAGTTCATAATTCTCCTTATCACTCAAAAAAGTCTGTAAGAATTCTTTGACTTCTTTCAATTCTGAGGATGGAACATCGTCACGTGATTTTTGGTGCAACGCTGAAATTTTTCTTGTGTATTCAACGAGAGGTCTTGTCTCTCTCTTTTCAGTGTCCACAAAGCATTGCAATAATAATTTTACAAATGAAGTTCGAATTGCTGGTGTCAATTTTTCCTCACTAATGCATTTGCACACCACTTCATAGCTGAAGAGTGAGACTACTGATTTTCGCGTACTTTCAATGTCTTCGTTTCTTCCTGTACATAATGCAGCAAATAATTTAATTTCTTCTTGGAAAAAGATAAGTTGTTCATAGTTGGGTCTCGAATATCCAGGATAATTGGTATCGGTTGCCGATTTTGTGAAACTAATGAGATCCATTTCGTCATGATTCACTTCAATTACAACCTTTCCATTGTAACCAATTTTTGGAATGATAAAAACTTTTCTCATGTGATCCTTATAGGTCACAAAAAGTAAATCACTGATATATCTCTGATTCTTGAAAACTGTTTTTCCTTCACAAATAATTAAGCTGGTCAAGAAGGATAAGTAAACAGCTTTCTTGAGCCCCTTCGATACTTTTAAGGCAGAAATTTTTGAAAGTGTACCGCTTGTTGGGATGTCATAGAGTAACTTGACAAAGAAATCAATTTGATCATTGGTGATCATATTTAACAAGGCATAGTTGTTGGAGAGAATTTCTAACAAGGCCTCGCTCGCGCTAATGCTATGCTCAATCAAAGTCTGGATAAAGTTGATATATTGAGCCATATATAAACCATTTGATTCGTTTCCAATCACGGCTTGCCTCACTAAACGGAATGAATATTGAATAATGTCAAAATAAATTAACTTTTCAGGCTTCTCGTTGATCATTACTAAATCTTCAATAGTAATGTGTTTTTTCAACAAGACGGTAATGACATCCATAACAATAGAAATAATTCCCATGTCTTTGATAATATTTTGTCGATTTCTTACTGGAATGCCACTTCTCACAAGTGGATCTGTTTCTTCACTTATTGTGCAAAATCTAATAGCACTCGAGAGGACATTGATGTAGAGCTTGATGTCTGACTTTTCGATCAAATCATCGTGTAACTTGGACTTGAAATAAGTCATAATTGGAATGTAGCTCGATACTGTCAACACGTCATCCAATTCAGACTGTGAAACCTTACTGAAATGGAATACATCTTGTTCAAACATTTTAGTGGTACAAGTCACTCTCTGATAGGTGGAATGAGAGCTAGGTCTAGAAACGTGAATCCATGAATCAGTAGATGGATGCTTCAATCTAAAGTAGTCATTCGTTTGAACCTTTTTACCTTTTTTTTCCACCTGTAGAATCTGTGAATTGGAAAATACTGCATAGAAATTCTTGAGATAACACGTGATCATAACTCTCAACATGAACAGTCCATAAATTGTCTTGCACCATGGAAGCCAATCCTCCAGCACGTGACGTTCTTGGTGTGGCCATGGAATGAAGGGTGGAACCTCTTCGAGGAGTGGCTTGAACTGTCACACTTGTATCATTGGAAAGAGTTAAATCTTTTTCGAACCTCTCCTCAATAGTATCATCGGTTTCTAGAGTAATTCCTCGAATGGGTCGAATGATCATGTATTTACCAGAGGCAATATGTCTTAAACGAAAGAGAGACGACCATTTCACAATTGAGGAACAAGTTGGATCCAAATATTCAATTCTCCATAATGTTTGAACTGTGAGGTAATTATTTCCTGAGGAGGAAGAAGCATGATCGCTACCATTGGAGCCACTGCCTGAAACATTTGACGAATTTTGTCGAGAGGTCATGTCCAAATCATCCTTATTAAAGCCCGATTCAAGCATATTCACAGGTTTTTTTAGTAATTTCACACGACCTGTCTGATCATTCACAGTCAAATAGCCATCTAATTCTTTGTGGAAAATTCGAATCACGTCGCCCACTTTCAAATATCTTTCATTCATCACATTCGTACTCGATGAATGAGCATACGAGGAGAATAATCTCAATCTCCATCTTGTGAAAGCGGTACTATTCGAAACATTCACTTCTCTGCGAGTATCATACGAATACTTGTTCTTATTTTTCGATGACTTGACAGCTGCTAAAGCAATTTCTGAATATGAAACAGTTTCATTTTGGTGGTGATGATGAATCACACCCGATTCCTCGTCACTCATGTTGAATCTATAATAGGACAAGTGAATAAATTGATTTGATTTTCTGTTAAACAGACGAATTTGATCCGAGAGTTTTACATTCTCTCCATCCTTTTGAAAACTTGAGTAAGGCAAAATTTCAAAATACGAGTAAGGAGAACCTTCCTTATCTAATCCAAGTCTCATGCAATCTTTTTGCATTTCTGCAGACTCTCTCGCCACTGTTAAATAGCTCTGGGTCTGCATGTGAAATAATTGTACAGCTTGTCCGTACAGAACTGGTCGACCTAAATTCCTCTCAGCTTCCAATTTGTTTTGTTGAACTTCACGTTCCATACGTTGTTCCAATTGATGAAGTTGTGAAGAAATTTCAGACGAATTCGATGCATCGTTGTGTGGTTTCTTTTTTCCTAAAGCTAATTTAATTTCTAAATTTTCTTTGAATTGATAGAAACCTTTTCGTGCTGAATAACTTTTCGGATGACAAATTTGAAAGACACATTGCTCAAAATTTGGAACAAAGAATTGTGAGTTGCCGTTTTGTTGTTGAAACGAGGAAGAAGACGAATTTGAAGTGTTGCTCGATGTAATATTGTTTCGAGAGGATCCATATGGAGTTGCTTCAATCAATCCACATCGAACATATTGCTTATTTCTATCATGGTGATGATGTTGATGATGAATGGTGGTCCATTATATGTACATGTGCACATGAAAGTACACATCCACAATCGACAATTTTTTGATGATGAAAATTAATTTTAATTTTCGACATTCCAGTTCATCATCACGTCGACCGAAATCATATGATTATATCCATCAATCACATGAAAAAGGAACAAAAAGATTAATTCATGACAATATTGAAACAAATATATATACAAACAGCATCACCAAAATTTAAAATGTATTCTATCAAGGATAGCCATACTTACCCCTTGATGGATTCCGAACAAGTTAAATTAATTCCATCCACACTCAAAAAACCAGCTGCGGAGGTTCCTCCCGATGATAAATCAGTGCACAGTGAAATACAATCTCCGATTCGAAGAAATTCATGAGGATGATGAGAAGAGATGGAAAAATTTTGGGAAAGAGGATCATCCAATAAGAAGGAAGTCGTTGTAGTAGTGGTGGTGGTTGGGTCAGAAGTTGGTGGTGTGAAATATTGTGGTTGGAAATTAGAATCGGAGGAGAAGTTTTGTGGTTGTTGTTGGAGTGGAGGAATTTCCTGGGCGAGCATACATTGATGATGAAAAAGAGAAGCATAATCAATGAAGGACGACGAATCCGAAGAGTTGCCACTCGTCATTGAGGATGACATTCTTTTTGTGGTTTTCAAAAGTGATGTGACATTTGACTTGGCAGAACTTTTTTCAATAAACAAAATACCTCTTCTCCTAGCCGTTACAAAAATGCTGCAACCATCTAGAGAAGAAGATCAATGCGTAAACATCTCCTCTCAACCTTCATCAACAACCTTTTCGTCCTCTTCTTCTTCTGTGGTGACCTCCACTTGTCGACAAACTTCATCTCCGACATTTAACACCAACACTCCAAAATTGTCCAACGCTCATCAACATTCTGCTGCCGATGATGAATCATCTGTTCCTCTAAATCATCCTTCATCTTCTCATTTACTCTCCGATACCATTCTTTCATCCAATTCCTTCATCACTCCTCCCTTCTCCTCATCATCATCAACGGAAGATTTAACTTCCAAATCTGTTCATCATCATCCTTTCGACAACAATAACAACGAAAAAAATAAAGAACTCTTTGCAACCTCATCAGCAACTGATATCATTGCATCATTGGAACAGCTCAAGGAGAATCACAATCCTTCTTCATTCTCGGATTCACCTCAAGAACAAGTAGTAGTATTGAGAGAAATAGAAACAACATTGCAACAACCACCACTACCATCACCACCGATCAGCTCGGAATCTCCAACACAAACAAAGGTGCTGCTGCTCTCGGAACAACAAGGCTCATCATTTCAACTGCTGTCGAAGGAACATTCACTAATAGGAACGAACAACATTACTTCTTCTGCAACAGGAACAACAACCACTACTACTACTACTACTATCAGTACAACGAGCTCATCATCGGAATTGAGAAAGAGAAAAAAGATTTCTACACGACAATTACTGGAGAGAAATATCATCATGTTAGGTGGCATCAGAAGAGGAGATGGATATTTGAACTCTCCTCATAATAGAAGTTCTTCATCGTTGGACGGAGTTTTTGATGTAATTACTGATTATTATTATAACAATCAAGCAAATGGAGAAGAGCATAACGAAGAAGAGAATGGAGAGCATGAACAACATCATTTACTGAACGGCAGTTCTGCAGATGGTGGTTTATCATTGGAGGATGGAAAAATTGTGAATACAGAAGAAATTGTCACCAGTGAAGAAATTACACAACCGCAAGTTGTTGACTCCAAGTCAGACACTCATTCTATCGAGGAAGAGCATCATGAAAAAACAGCTCTTGTGCAACAAGAAACGTTGTCATCTTTGGAAGAAACATCGTCGACACTCATCATGATGGGTGACTATGAGAAATGTAGGTTGATTAACAAAGTATTGATTGGTTGGTGTTGCGAACAATTAGTTGACACATGACTCAAAAATTTGGTCCTTATTGTTAATGGCTACCGTTAATGTGTGGAATTTAATCGCTTCACAACCGCTCGATCTCTATATTTTCTAATACTCCAACATTCAGTTGTATACCGAATACCACCAAAATTTGAAAATTATTGGAAATCATTCGATGACAAAATCATTTCAATAATTCAATTCAAACCTAACATTGTTTTTTTCATTTTGAGTATGATTGTAACAGCACTGACAACAATTGAAATTGGAATTTTGGCTCCCGTAGTTTTGTACATTCTTGGAATTGATAATTTTGCATCGTATGTCATGTGGGTTATTCTAACATTGAGTATGCTCAGTCAATTACCAAAGAGATTCATGTTTCGAGTACGACCTTATTTGGCCTCACGAGCAAAATGTATTGCAAAAGATAAGACAAGTTCTTTTCCAAGCCGTGCAGTAACGTAAGTGAGTGAAAAGTGAATTTGTTGTAATCAAAGTTAACCCAATCGACGTAACATTCGATAGATGTTCGGTGGTATATGCATTCCTAGTGTGCTATTTCATTAGATGTGTCACAAGTGGAGAATCCATGAGTGACGTAATATTTTGGATTTGGTGTATTCCATGCTGTTTCTTGAGTGCTATTGCCGCTAGTGCAGCCAGAATTTATCTTGGTGTACATTATCCTAGCGATTGTCTATTCGGAGCCCTACAAGGACTTGTTTCCATTATTTTGGGTAAGTATTTTTGTGAACCACCTCCTTCAACATCAACTCTTTCATAGGGACTATCTGTTACCTGATTCATTTGAGTGTTTGTGCCACCTGTGCTGGTAATGCTGATTCCAAAACTTATTGGAACGGTTTGATGCCTTGTTATGCACCTCTCGAGGAATCAGTGAATCTCATTACAGTCATTGGGAGAAGTAACCTCTCTCATGTCAATTGGTATTTATTTTGCATACTGAGTATTGGTTCTCTATTGCTCGGTATTTTATTTGTTACCAAACCAATTCAATTTTACACAAAATTTCACCATGTCTTTAGGTATGTGTTTGTTATGGTCCAAAACCTCAAATGTTGACCTTATCATCATGATGTTATTATTCAAATAATAATAATTTTTGCACAATTTTCATCATTTTTACTAGCATGCTCGCTCCTTGCTTAACTTTTCAATATTGCTTCCTTTGCCCCACTTTATCCTTGAATGGAATTGCAACCATTCCTAAGCCCTCTCTATTTTCGCCATGGTTTTCCTATCTTTATGCAGCAATTGTTGGAATTGTTTTCACAGCTGGTAAGTGTTTGACTCTAAAATGATTTATTGTTCACCATGATATTTCGTATGCCATTCAAACTAATAGCTGGTATGAAAGCTCCAAAGAAGTACAGCCTTATTGCATTCCCCATTCTCTACATTTTAGTGTTTTGTGCCTTATTCTTTTGGAGATCATGTATTTTTCAACAATCCTCTTGAACGGCAACGACCCCTTATAGTGCAACATTCAATCACTCATACCCAAACTTATAATCGCTTATCAACCTTTGTGAGAGCAAATGGTGACCACCCCAATGTCAACTAGATTTGGTCATATCAGATTCAAAAAACATAGTGTGAGCATGTTATTTTACATAGATTGTTTTCTTTTGGCGGTGTTTTATTCCTCATGAAGCCATGTTCTCACACACTTTTTCAAAGGATCTACAACAAGAATTAGGAACGAGCGATCAACACTTTGACTTGAATGACAGGCTGGCAAGTGACACAAGAATGCTCTCGAAACAATATGAACACTGTTCTTACCGCTTGATTTGTCAGATTCATTCCTTTTTGTCACAGAAACCAGTTGCTTGTATAATTCTTTGGTGATGTTGAAATAGGGAGCAACATTATCTTCGTATTGTCCATATCTTCCTCCAATGACAAGACGTGCATGAATGTTAGTTAATAATTCATGAAAACAAGCATCCATTAATTGATTTCCATTGTCGTCCTCATCGTCCACTGAATCCGTTGCCACGTCGTTCTCATTCAATGAATGATGTGACACCAGCCCATAATCCTTCCAATTACAATTTTCAATTCTTAGAGGTCCAGCATACGATAAACATTCTTCTTTCCACAATAGATATGCCATTGCTTTTCGATACTCATCCGAGACATATAACTCATAATCAATCTGCTCATCCATGCATTTTCGGGTGTTCAATGAGTTGGTATACAACCACTCCTCATTCGTCATAAATTCTCTCTGAATGAAACTCATATCCGTAAGGTGACAATTTAATTTCTCAACCCGAAGTCCCTCTCCCAATTCTTTCTTTCCAACATGAGTCAAGTATTGCAACGCCAGCTCTCGAATTGTCTCGATTTGATTAAGGCTTTTTTTGAAAAGAATTTCCCGAGTGGTGGAAGCACAACTCGAATCATCCACATTCATTGTTTGATCCTCTTCCATCACCACATGAAACTGATCAAATCGGGAATTATTCGCTAGATCCCACTTTTTCAATGCTTCCCGAACATCTTTCGGAAACTTTTGTTCAAACAAATGGATGAAAGGCTTTTCTCGGGCTATGGTGATTTTCATTGTAATAAGAAGTGGTGTTGTATGAAGTTGTAGTGACAGAGGTATTTTGATGCAAAGGTTGTATGCTCGTTCGTTGTAGGAGCAGAGAAGAGCGTTCAACCACAGATCACCCGAGTTTGGTTCGATTTACAATTTTTTTTTTAATTTTCGAAAATCAAATTCCCTCGCTCTTCTCTACAGCAACATGATGATTTTCGCGTGTGTTGAGGAATTATAAAAAAACAACAGGTTTCCACTTTGAAACCGAGTAGAGCTTCCGGTTTAGGAATGCCTTCAACATGGAAATTGAAAATGCCACATCATCTTTTCAACGTTTGACTGTTGTCTCTTTCACGTTTTCAATTTGAATTGTTTAAATTCTGAAAATGGAATTCAAAAATAACTTTCACAAAAAAAATGATCAACTCTTCCGAAGCCATCACATCTTCAAGATCAGACGACACTTCACGAGCTCGATCTGTCACTCATCCTCCTCCACAATTTCACATTCTATGGTTCGACAAATCATTTTCACATCTCTCGGAAACGATTTCAAAATTTCACAACGTGCTTTTTAATACACTCGTTCAGAAATGTCATTTGGATGAATTGATCAATCATTTGACACATTTGCAATCACCAAATGATTTTATTCAATATTTGAAGAATATTTGTCGACACATTGGAATTTTGAAGGAACAAGTTCAAAATTTTGAAATTTCAAATCAAGACAATGATCGATTCATTCAAATTTCAAAGGATGATCAAGCAACGAGTGATGATAGTACTGACAACTCATTATTTCTGAATCATGAGGATCATCATTTATTAATCATCACTTCTCTTGGAGGAAAAGAAAAACAGGGATTGACTATTTTGGAAAGTGTCAAACAATTGAAACAGAAATATCCCAAATCCAAAATATTTAGTGCCGTCTACAGTCAAACAGCCATGCAAAATATTGTTTTACAAAATACGTGTTTTCAACTCTATCAAGCAGATTTTGTTTCTTCTTTAGGAGAACATTGGAATTTTCCAAACATTGAACAACCAAATCCTCTCATGGCCTTAGAATGTTTTGTGGCCAAGCTCTATCAAGAATCGTATTATCCAAAACTCTTGAATTTCATTCACACCCAAGTATTGAAAGTGTCACCTGTCACAATATCACAAATCAATTCAGAAATTGGCAATTCACATTGCAAGCTCACAAACTTTTCACCTTCCTCGCCCTTAGTGAAACCTTTCATGAAGTTAGTGGCAGAAGAAGAACGAGAACAACTAAAGAAGGAACAAAAAGAGTATGACACGACCTATGAGTGGATTCCACTTCGAAAAATTGCTCACAATTTACATTGTCGACTCTCCACACAAGCTTCCAACTTTTCACACAAATCTCCCTCAGTGATTCAACATCATCCAGCTTATGTAGTGTTAATTGCCACAGGAGGACTCAATCCCCCGCACAAAATGCACTTACAAATGCTTCGACAAGCTCAAGATTATGCTGAAAATTATTATGAACTTCGAATGCAATCACTTTGTTCGAAAAAGTTAAACAAGGATTTGTATGAAAAACAGTTAAGGCCCATTGAGGTCGTTGGAGGATTCATGTCACCAAGTCACGACAAGTACATTCATTCAAAAATGGCAAAATACGATTATTCCAAAGATGGACAAAAAGCATACAATGCCAATGAACGACTATTGTTGTGTGAACTCGCATCACAAGAGGATCCATTCGTTTCTTCCTACCCATGGGAAAGTATGCAATCCACTTTTGTGAGTTTTTCACAAGTGGCAAATTGTTTGTCAGAATTTTTAAGATCTTCGGAATGCCCCTTGTCCATCTTGATTCCTCAACATCCTCAAACGAGAACACTGCAGGATTCCAAATCGTATCTTCGAGTGGCATTTGTTATGGGTGCTGATTTAATTTTGAGAGCAAGTGCCAGACGTTTCAATTATGTGGATCATGACATGATGACATTTGTGATTGGAAGAAGTGGAGCTGATGCACAGCAAGTGTTGAATGCTCTTCAAAATACTCATTCGAACTTGCCTGTATATTATGTCGATCCTGATATTGTCCATTCTTTGAATGCGTCATTGTTGACACAATTAAGCTCAACAGAAGTTCGAAAATTGTTGAAAGTTTTGAGACAAGATCCCAATGCCCATGATTTGAAGAATATAAACACATGGAGTAGAGCGAGTAAAGATGCCTATGAGAGATTGAGTCAAGTGTTGGATGAAAGGGTATTGAATTACATTATAACCTACTTGAATTAAGAGAAGTGAATCTTTTCAAATCGTGGAGAATTTTCACATTCGACTTTAAACTTGTCCTATTTAATGGATACTCTTACATTACTCAATCATTATTTGAATATATCAAGTATATTTTCTTTCGGAACAAAAGTTGAATCAAGAGGATCTTTTATGCGTTTGGAATATTTTACAAGAAAACTTATCAGAACTGAAATTAATAATTAAAATCATCGGTTGAGGAAATTTAAATAGATCGGATTTTAATTTCCTCAATTGACGGATTGACTGACAGAAAGTTCAAAAATAATCGCTGGAGCAATCCGTCGTGTTTCGAGATAGTAAACAATAAAATTCGTTTGTTAATTTAAGGAAGGACTAATGGGTTTGTGTTCTCGCCAAACACATTATTATTAATAAAGGTCAGGTGTTTAACTAACGTTGTGGGAGATAGTTAGCTGTTACTCTTAGATAAAACTACTGTCTGCGCAATCAGTGGTTAAAGGCATTCAGAAGAGGGCTTCATCTTTCCTTCAAATTCCTTCTGAATGGGCAGAGTTTTTGGCGTCATGGGACATGTTTTTCACTCTGTTCTTAGGGTACCAGTGTGAAGGCATTAAACTTGGTAAACTTCAATTTCTGAAACTTTGAAAGTGTCGGATCCTGCTAAATAAGATTGAACTTGAGCACCTCTATATTTCAAGTTTTGTTTTTTCAAGGATTCAGGAAGGCTGTAACCTCTTCCTAAGTTGCAATAACTATTTGTATTTACATTACACTTGTGCTGAATTCAATATATTGCTAGAACTGAATACATTCTCCGATTGACAATTTGAAATTTTCATTCCTTGAGTGTTAGCGTTCTGAATGTCACACCCAGTGAGATTACAATGTTCTAATTTCACTCCTTTCAATGATGCATTAGTCAACTCAACACCTTCCAATTTGGTTGAGATGAATTTTGTGTTCTTATCAAACAAACAACCTTCAAGATTGGCTTTTGTGAAATTGGTTGAGTTCAATTTGGCACCACAAAAATTGGAATCTCTCAAATCACAATTTGAGAAATCAACATTCGTCAAATCACATCCTGAAAAGTTGCATCCGTTCAAACGAGAATTGTTGATTTTGAGATCTTTCAAATTCATCTTGCTGAAATTTGAGCGAATGATTTCACAGTGACTCAAATTCATGTTTTGCATGACCAAACTTCTCAAATCCATTCCAGACAAATTCAATGTGGTTTTTTGAGATCTTGAAAGATTGACCATATTCATGAAATCAATTTGAGACATTTTCAATTTGGTATTCGATGAAGATCCATCTTCATCTTCAAGATTTTCCAACTCTCTCAACAAGTTGAACAAATGGAACGATTTGGCTTTTTTCATTACTTGATTTCGGAGAGTTTTGTTTGATTGACAACCTTCAACACATCCATCGGTTAGCCATGAATAAATTTCTTCAAATACCACTAGCTTACAATCCACAAAGAAGTACTTGGAGTTTCATACAATGGATATTCTCCTGTGAACATTTTCTCAAATAAATTCTCAGGTTCTCTTTCATTTCTTAAAAAGTGACCCAATGAAACAGTCATAATTTTTCCACCCACATTCAAATGAATGGGTTTGTTGGAATTTTCCAATTTGTAACGAGACATCTTTTCTTCTTGGAGAGCATTTCTTTCCAATTCTAATTGTTCTTTCATCTTTTCAAATTGTTTCATCATTTCCTCCCTTTCTTGCATCAACTTGTTCTTTTCTTGTTCCAAATAGAGAGAATTTTCTTTTTTACAGAGCTCATCTTTTTCTTGATATTCTTGTTCCAATTGTTTCAATCGTTCTTGAAACTCTTGTTCCAACTTTGCGTTTTTCTCTTCAAATTGTTGTTCCAAATCATGTTTCATTTGTTCTACTTGTTGATACGCTTCATGAAGAGGACAATATTTCTCTTGATGATCCTTCAATTCACCTCGATTCACAACATTCTTACACATGGGACAAAATACTGCCAACTTGTCCAATTGATTTCGAATAATCTTTGCCACAGATCCTTTTTCGGAAGTAAAATCATCTTCACGACAAATTGGGCATTTTGAGACAGTACTGACACACTCACGACAGAATGTATTTTCGCACAAAGAATGAACTACTGGATCATAGAGTGGAAAGAAACAGATGGGACAAATTAATTCCTAATCGATCAGATCGGGATTGACATAGTTGAAGGATTTGGAAGTAATTTTCTCGTTTGGGTTGTTGTTGTTCCAGCTTGGAGGTGCTTGTCCTTCATCTCTGTTCTCATTGAGAGAGTGATAGGGGTTGAGTTTCTTCATATTTTTGGTTTGGCAATCACGGTAATTCACGTTGAAGAATTGCGTGACGAGAGATTGTTTGACAGGTGACACCACCCTTTGACATTTTACAATGCGACGATTTTTTCGTTCCTTCGATGACTTTCTTTGAACATTTCACGAGATAATGAAAATTATCATGTTGTTTCTCATTCATGACAACATTCTCAATCGTGCACATTACCTGCAACGAGATAATTCATGACGACATAAGATCTTTCTTAAACGTTATTTTAACCGCCTGTCAGACATCATCATGTGAAAAAAATTGCCAACAACAACAAATGAGCATACAGTTTAACGCTCGAAAAGCTCTCGAAGTGCTCGCCGATAACGAGAGCGAGGGAGCAACTCGTGAAAAACTCAAAATTCTCAATCAACTCTCCACCATCAACAATGTCAACATTATTCCCATCGAAGTCATTCAACTCATTGTTGAAATTTTAGGAAGTACCGAAAATCGAATGATCATCAACTCAATTCTCTCCGCCATACAACATTTGGCTCAATTTGACAGAACCCGAATTGTCATTGGAGAAAACACAGATTGTATCAAATTACTCGTTCCACACATGTCGCAATTTAATTTTCCGAATATTCAATCGAATGCGTTGGACGCGATGGCAGAATTGATTAAAGGAAGTAAGAAAAATCAAGAAACTTTGATTGAATATGCTTCAGAGTTTTTCAATCCATTGATGGGTATCATTCAGAGAGAAAATGATACTGTTACAAAAAAGGCAATTGCTGTGTTGGATACCTTGTTTGAAAATCCACATTGTGTGCATGTTATTTTTGGTGATAATGATCGATTTGAAGAATATTTGGAACCATTAATTATTTGTCTTCAGATGGAAAATAATCGAACCGTGTTGCAATGGACTTTGCAAACACTTGAATCTGCATGTCGTCAACATCCAATTCATGCCAAACATTTGGTGGATATTGGCGTCATTGATCCACTCGTTCAGGTTGTGATTGATCCTTCCAATTTCTCATTTCCAACCATTCGTTGTGTGGCCATGCAAACATTGGTTCATTGTGTGAAATTTTCAAATGAAGCAGGACAATGGGCAGGTGAATCTGGAGTTGTGACACCATTGATTGATACCATGTTTCACACATCATTGGAATTGAATTCCAAACACATTACTCAATCGTATGCACTTTCGAATGAAACAATTGCACTTCGAGAAGCTGCTTTTGAATTAATGATGAATTTAACAAATTTTGTTCCAGGCAAAAGCCACACTCGACTTTTAAATAATTCAACACTTCTTGTGCAGAATGACATCGATCACACCACTTCAAGTGAAGAACAAAAAGAAGAAAAGAAGAAGGAGACTATTTTGGATTCATCTTCATCCATCAACAAGTCACTCAATCCCTATTTTGACGAAACTGAAGAAAAGAAACAAGACGTTGATCTTTTAGAAGAAAATAAGAAACGAGTCATTTCTCATACACATGGTCTCGATGTGTTATTTGCATACGTGGGTCAAGCAGATCCCTCTGAAAAGGCAGAAGTTAAAGAAAAGAAACACGTTCGAAACGTTAGAAAGATGGCTATTATGATCATTTCAAATGTGTGTACCATTGCTGAAAATGGAATTGCTGTCTTGTCAAGAGAACAAAAATTATTGAGCTTTGATCATCCAATGAATATCGTCGATTTATTATTGGATATCATTATTAACAAGAAGGATAAGGATGCTGCTGCTGAATCAAAGAGAAGAGCAACAGAAGTTTCCAAAATTGACAAGATGGATCTCAAGCAATGTATTATTAATGCAATGGGTTCCTTCGCTCTTCATGAATCTTGCATTCAAAAACTTGGTGAAATGGGTGTCATTCGTAATTTATTGAAAATGATTGACGATCGAAACGAAGCTGCTGAAGTTGCCAAACTTCTCGCAAAAATGTGTGAACATTCCATTTTCCAAAAAGTGCTATTCGAAGAAGCTGGTCTTCAACGTGTCATCAAATTGTTAGATTCTGTCGATGATCCAGAATATCGTATGGCTGGTCTCAAGATTTGTTTGCCTCTTGCGTCAAATCCAAATGGTTGTGTGGCATTGTCACGCGACGGAATTGACAAGAGAATTCGAGACATTTCAAAGAGAGAGGTCGTTTTCGAAGAAGTTCGTAAATTGGCCAAACAAGTTCTAAAAGTTTTTAAGGAAAATAACAAATCCTCGCTGCGTTCCACAAAAGCAGCAGTCGGAGCATCGGATGAATCTGGATTACCCATTCAAAACATGAACATCTTCAAGTTCAACTATGAACAAGTGGCAAGAATTGATCAAGATTTCGTTGAAGAATGCCAAAAGAAAGTTCGTGATTTATTGAAACAACCAAAATTCAGATTACAAATCAATTGGCGTCAAATTGAAAGATTGGGAGAAATGAACTATTCTGATGAGGCTATTAGTTTACTTGCTCGTGTTGATCTCTATGACGAATTTGTGATGGCTGTGGAAACATTTATTGAAGCTGCCGAAATGAATGTTCATGTCTTTAATTCACAAATTCAATTAGTGGTATTGGAAGTGTTGCCACCACAACCTAAAAAACCAGGCGAAGAAGACGAAGCAGTTCCTTGTGAATTAGAAATGGGCGATTTGGTGATGAAATACAAACTTTCACCAGATGGTATTTTGTGGACTCCAAAACAATTAGCTGGTTTGATTAGTTATGAATTATTGGGCTACGATATCATTGAAACCAATGACATGTTAATTGGTGATGGAGAATTGGATCGTGACGATCAGTATGAACTTGGTGTTGAACAACTTCGTAAGATTTGCAAAGATTCTCGATTGGCTCTATTGGGTGATATTAACATTTTATATTTCCATATTGAAATGACAGATCTATTATGGAAAGCTGGTTTTGCGGAATCTCAACAAATTGTTGCCTCTCGTAGCGTCATTTCCAATGAGGAACTTTTCATTAAGGGTTGGCGTATTGCAAAAATGAATAAGGATGGTATGCTTCAAGAAAGAGTCCTCCTTTTGACCAATTGCTCCTTTTACACCGTTTGTTTTGATCCAAAATCCAAAAAGATTGATTACAAACACACCAAACATCACAACATTGAGGATTATTTCCTAATTGACATTGGAAAATTAGTGAAATCTCGTCACGATACTACCTCTTCTACCGTTCACTTACACGAAGACGGCAGAAACAAGTATGCTCTCAATTTATTCACCAATGAGAAGAAAACATCCAAGAGTCAAACCAAACTCCAAGAAGAAGCGGACGAGTTGGAAAAATTGAAACGTATGAGTTCTGCTTATTTCGCACCACTTCCAACCACTGGTGGAAGTAGTGGAAGTGGAAATAACAGTGAACATGAAGATGGTGATCATCATTCCTCTTCACATACTGATGAAGATTCTGATCTCATGACTGAAACGTTGAAGAATGAAACATCCTTCATGAAAACTCTCGATCTGCAAGCGGATGATTCTTCTCATGATCCAGAGCGACCTTCCACAATTGGAAAAAGTTCAACCATTTTATTGTGTCCAGATTCCATTCCAAGAGCTAAACAAAAATTCTATCTCGAAGAAATTGCTTGGTGCATGAGAGCTGTGGCCAGTGCTGCCACTCGAACTGAATGTCACAATATTTATTACAGAGATATTGTGAAACCTATTGAAGGAAAATTAGCTCGTATTTACAATATTACTGGTATGGGTAAGAAGAAGGACAATTCTTTTATTGCAAAACATATGGAAACAAAGATGAGAAGGGAACAAGAGAAACAGGAAGAACGTGTTCGTCAAGCTCAAGCTAAGGGAGCTAAGAATGTGAAAGGAAGTACTGCTTCTGAACAGAAATGAGATGAACAATTTGTGTGAAATGTGGAAATGTGCCAACAATTCGGAAAAAATTAGATCTAATATATTAAAATCATTATACATTTCAACAAACAACCTATTCATATTGAAAAACGTTTATTTCTGTAATTATTTTGAAATTTTGTTTTTGACATTGTCTTTCTCTCTCAACAATGAAAACAATCATATTTCATTTTTTAATTTCTAAATAGGGAGAATCAAAGAATAACATTTGGAAGTCATAGATAGAGTCATTGACATGGATGACTAAATGTTCACCGTTTGGGCGCAATTAAGGAATTGCCACCTGTCAAAATGTGAAACCACTCAATCAATTCAGGAACAAAATACTTTGGATAATTCCAATCCTTTCTTCCTTCAATTAAATCCAATATTTGATCCAACACAATTTGTTTCGAATGATGAGGTGAATTGGGATGATAAATCGAATCCAAATTCAATAAATACGCATGTGTTGTAAAAGTGCAGTAAAATGTGACAAGACTCCTAAAAAAACAAAACCATGCCAAATTCCATGACTGAATGGAATTCTTCCATTTCCAAAAACAAGAAAAATACATCCAAAAGAAAAAAAGAAACCTCCCAAAATTAATAACATAAATGCTTCCACAGGAACATGAGTCATTAAGGCACTAGGAACCATCAAACATCCAATCCAACCCATGACATTCAACATGGTCACATTATTGACATTTTGTAAAAATTTCATAAACTTGTATGAAAAAAACATTTTCACAAATCCAGCAAAACAAAATGTCCAAACCACGATGGTCAAAACTCCTCCAATTCCTCTTCCAAATTCAACCAATGCCAACCAAGGTGTATAACTACAAGCAATAAATAAATAAATTGTTGCATGATCAAAAATTCGAAATAATTGCGACTTGCTGTCATTTCTTCCAAACCACAAACACATCCAATGATACGTTGACGATACTCCAAACAAGATATTCATTCCAATTCCATAAGTAATGACTGTAAATTTTTCAAAAAAATTATTCACAATCTTTGGTGTCATTCCATATTTGGAATGAATAATAAGAAAAAAAGAAAATTGGAAATACATGAGTAAGAACATTAATAACTTCTTCAATTCGTGTCGGAATGTAATCTGCTCCATTTCTGCTTTCTGGAAGAGGATTCATGAAGAGAGAGCAGAGAGGACAGGAATGATGAAAGGATTTTGTGGTGAAGAATTTTTGAGAAGGATTGTGATGATGGTGGTTGGAGAGGGATGGTGATTGGACGGAAGAGAAGGTTGAATCGGAAGAGTGTGGATTGGAAAGAGGAGGTCGTTCGGGAGAATGAGTTGACTCTGACATTTTTTTTCCCTTTGACAATCAATCAATTGACAGCTGTCCTTTCAGATCGATTGAACCTCATGTCATCATCCTTCAAGATCAACAATTTCACTCTTTTGGTGTTTCTCTCTTACTGAGAATTCGAACACTCGGTGAGAGATCAGTTCCAAGTTCAACATCAAAAAAAATGTCAGAAAACGAAGACGTCCACAATGCTGTCATGATCGATCTTGGTTCAGGATGGACCAAAGTCGGAACGGTTGGCGCAGATAATCCTAGTAGTGTATTTCCGACTGTGATTGGTCGTGTCAACAAAGGACGTCTACAAAGTATTCGTAGGTTTCAATTTTTTTCGATGATTACCATATTTATAAAATTGAATATTTTAAAATTAATTTCCATTTTCATTCATGATCAAATAACATACGTAACCCTTTTATTTACTCTTTTCTAGCCACTCTAATGATGGATCGAGAAACGATCGGAGATGAGGCCGTCTGTCGTTCCTACAATTCTCTCACTTATCCGATTCGACATGGAATCATTAAAGATTATGATCTCATTGAAAAAGTACTTCATCATTGCTTTTTCAACGAGTTACGAGTCGCTCCCGAGGAGAAATCTGTCATTCTATCGACTCGAACACTCACTCCAAAAGTTCAACGAGAAAAATTAACACAAATTCTTTTTGAGACATTTTCAACGTTGGCATTCTTTCTTGCGCAATCTTCAGTGCTAAGCATGTTTGCTTCTGGAAGAAATACTGGAATTGTTTTGGATTGTGGAGATGGTGTGACAAGTGTCGAAACCGTTTGTGATGGTTATCAGACCATTCATGCTTCAAAACGAATGAGTTTGGGAGGATGTGACATTCATGAATATTTATCAAAGTTGATTTTTCTCGAACGAGGTGTGGAATTAACGACCAGTTCTGAACTCTATACAGTTCAAAAAATTAAGGAAAAATTATCGTATGTGGCACTCGATTTTGATCAAGAATGTCAAACAGCAGCAAGTTCGATTGCATTGGAAAAAAGTTATGAACTTCCCGATGGAAGTGTCATGACTATTGGACAAGAACGATTCCAATGCATGGAAGCATTCTTTCAACCATCCATGGTCGGACGTGAAGATGCAGGTATTCATGAAATGGTGTTCAATGCCATTCAAAAATGTGATTTGGGAGTGAGAGCTAATTTTTATGGAAATATCTTGTTGAGTGGAGGAAGTACTTGTTGTGAAGGATTTCAAGAACGACTTACGAAAGAAATGCAAAATTTGGCACCTGAAACGATGCGTGTGAAAGTGGTGGCTCCACCAGAAAGAAAATATTCAGCTTGGATTGGAGGATCGATTTTGGGATCTTTGACATCGATGGCACAATTTTATATTTCTCGAGAGGAATATGATGAAAATGGACCTGCTATTGTCCATCGAAAGTGTTATTGAATCATTTGTTGTACAATAGATGACACATTACGTTGTGAATGATTTGATGAATTAATTCATGAATCTAATCCATTGAATCGACCATTTAAAAAATTAATTATAAAATTTTATTTAAAAAAAAATATGAATCAATTACAAAAACATGTCATTGCTAACATGCTCCGGAGACAGAGCCTTTCCAATCGTTGGTCCTGTCTCTCCATAAAAATTCATCATGACCTTCTCCGAAGAGACTATTTTCATTGTTTCCTTACCCTTCAAAAGTCAAGTCATCAAACAACAAGATCAATCCAAAAATCAACAAACAAGACTACTCATCATTCAAATATGATTCAAAACCATACAAACTCTCCTCATCATCATTTAACTTTACAACAATTACAGGAATTTCCCAATATTGAAAACAAGAAAATCATTCCATTATTAATTTCTCCTTTTCAAACCGATCGAATTTTACATGAACATTTATCGCAACAACAACCAATTGTTTCCGAACGATCGGAACACTCAAAAAGAATATGGTTGGCCCATGACCAAACAAAGGTTCATACTTTGATAAACTTGATGTTCAATCAACCATTGAATTCCGACACAAAGTCGAATATCATTGTTTTCGAAGGAACGTATCATAACATGTTGGAATTGTATCAATCATTGAAGAGAAGGCTTTCGGGATATTTAAATTTGAAACATGAGAAAAAAAAGAGTTTAAAAGAAAAGTATTTGGAGAGTCATCTTTCAAAATTGGAGTTTACTGATATGATTTCCAGATTTGGAATATTGGGTCGTGTGGAATTGGATCATGACAAAAAAGAGAATGGCGAATATTCGAAAAGTTATTCTTTTATTCAAACAAAGGTGAAACGATTACCCAAATTAGAGACATTGAATCGACTCGCACAATTTACAATAGAAAAAGCTGAAAAAATTGATCCATTACTCAATGGTGCTTACATTTTCATTCCAATTCATTCTCTTCTTTCTTCCATAAAATCAATGGATCAGTGGGAAAAGAATGGAATTCAAATTAGTCTTTCTGAAAAGGATTTTATTGATATTTATCCTCAATTTGGCGTCTATAGTCCAACGAGAAGAGAAATATTTTCGACACTGATACGAAATGCTTGTGAAGAATTTTTGAAAAATTCACAAATGTTGAAACAAATGAATAACATCAATATTATTGATATTGGATGTGGAACTGTAAGTGGCACAAAAATGTGTTTAGAAAATGATTTTTTTTAACTTGATGGTCGTACGTTACTTCAATTAGGGAGTGTTTGGTCTGTTTGTGTCACGATATTTATCCACATACTGCCTCCCTCAAAGCTCAACTGCAACATTTAATTTACAATTTATTGATATCAACGAATGGGCTATAGAATGCACAAAGGAGAATGTCAATATATATTTTAACAAATTTGGCAACCATAATGAAAGAGTCGATTTCACATTATTGGACATTTCGAATCGAGAGATAGCTCAACAGGAAATCTTGTCCAAGGTAGAATCGAAAAAGGATAATACTTTGCAAAATCTGAATTTACTTCTTTGTAATCCTCCTTGGATATCCATTTCAAAACAAGACTCTCAATTCATTCAACAAAAGAGAGAAAGTCTCAATACATTCAAGAATGTAATTGATTTATCAATTTTTGACATTGAGCATGAATTTTTGGATAATTTCTTGCATCTCATTCAGCAATTCGTATCCTCATCTTCATCCAAACACGACAACCGTTCACAAACGTATGGAATGATACTCATAAGCAATGTTGGACATTTATTGGGTCTAGAGGAACATCCAATATTGGAAACAGTTGAAAACAAGTGTCTACAGATTGGACTCAAAATTGTGCGAGTGTTTACTTTGAGAAGAGACATGGATTCACAAAAACATTCGCTCTCTGTTAGAGAATTTCTCGTCAATAATCCTCTTGCATCCAAACGAAAGAAGTCTCCTCATCATGACGAAATTCAACAAGCTAAAGAGAATGAGGAAGTCTATTGTGTCGTGATTGGTAAGAGCTAGTCCGTGTAACTCATAAAATTTAGTTCCTTTTGTTCTGTAGTGTCATGTATTGTGGTCTTGACAGAACTTTTATAATATGATATGCTTGCTCCCTTAATTCTTACCCCAATTTTTAAACTTCTCGATCAGAAACGGAACGCTACAGAAATAAGGCTGATCAAACTTGGCAATACGTTTCGGTAGGTAATACGAAATATTCACTGAAATAAATCCGATCAACACGCATATTGTGCCCATTGCATACATAATATTGAAGGCAGAAAAATCGCTCTTGAAAATCATGTCACAAATGATTGCAAATGGAATTGTGAGAGTGAGACCGACAGTTGCAACTACAGGTGAAGTCAAAACAACAGCCAATGCCCACAGCAAGTCGCTAAACACGGCCGATATTAAACTATTCAAAACCATTGCTATGAAGACTTTCCATGAAGGTGCTTGAAAAATTTCAACAGACGTTCCCCACAAAATAAATAAAATTGGCCAATTAAAAATTAAATTCAAAATTCCAACAAAACCGAACATCATTGCCATAGAAACTCCTTCTTCATATTTTTTCAAAAGTGAGCTATAAACTCCATATCCTACGGCTGCAAGTAAGCTTAGCATATTTCCAAGAACAGTATCTTTTTTCGCTCCAGATCCATTATGACTTGCATCGGAAAAGGTCACAAGAACAACTCCTGAAAGTGTGACAAGAATTGCAAAAAATCGAATGATACTAAAATTCTTTTCAACTCCAATTAATAATCCAAAGATAAATGTGAATAGACATGATGTATTAGATATGATAGTATCACTCGCAACACTTGTATAGGAGAGAGCATAATTATATGCTGTGTTTGAAAAGAACCAAAAGAATGTCACTACTACAGCCAATCTGTAACGTGCAACAAGTCAAAATAATTACAAGATATTTCCAAGCATTGAAATAACATGATAACTAAGTCTATTCAAACAAAATAATAATGTGACAAATACTCACCTGAATGTTTTTCCAACGTTCACGTCATGATATTTCTGAAGTTGAGCGTTCCTCTCAAGTTGTGAGCTCTCTTGTTTCAGAGCATCCTCTCGAGTAACGTTTTCTTCAACATTTTCCTCTTCTGATCTTGTATTGTTGTTTTCATTTTCATAATTAATTATTCCGAGAGATGTTGCACTGAGTGACTCCTTTGAATCTAAACTCGTACTGCTAGGTTCCACCTTTTGATATCCATTCACCCTTCTCATGACTATTCTACTACTTGAGCCATCTTCTCGATCCTCTCTCGAATATTTCACAATTCCTAAATAGTTCAAAACTGTTGAAGGCAACACCAAAAGTATAAATCCTTTCAATAGCCATTTCAATCCTCTCACCAAAGGCCTCCTCCATGATCCAATAAATACAAATCCCAACAAGTAGATGGAAAATAAGTTCGTGCTCACATATGTAACAAAGAAAGGCTTATCATAATTCATATTTCCGTAAATGAATTGAATGACTACTCCTCCGAGAACCCACAAAATCACAACAGATACAATGCAGAAAATTCCGAGAAGTTTTCTGAAAAGGCTTTTCATGAAGGTGCTCCTTATTTGATGTTTGTTGTTGTTGTTGGGGGAGGAGGATCCTTCAGGTGCAGATGAAGAGGACATGAGTAGAGGAGATCCCGAGGATGCTACCGATAAAGAAGCAGCCAAATTCATGTTAGGAGAGTTGGTTTCATCATGATGCGAATTTGCATTGTTGTTATGGAAGGAAGGAGAGATGGATGAATGATGTCTGCCTTGATTGAGTTCTGAAACAGTTGAGGTGATTGGTTCATCATGGTGGTGTTGATGATTCATCGGGATGGAATGATGATCTGTTTGGTTGTTGTTGTTGTTGTTCGGTTCCGAAGACAGCAGCACCTCAGAATGCATTTTTCTTCTGGAAGCTCTTTGTGTTGGTACCCACTTCATCAACTCCTCCTCGATTGGAAATTCCTTGGATAACATCAAAGGATGGATTATTTCAGAGATAATCGTTGCGATCATGGTCCTTCACCACAACAAATTAGGACACATAAAATGGCAACCTGCAGTTTTCGCGAAAGGTGACTTTGTCTTGCTTTGAAACTCAGCACAACGACATGCAAGATTTATGCTCTCAAATCAATTGAGTTTTAGTGTGTGGAACCTAGATTCTAAGGTGGGTAGTTGACAGTCGAGAATCGTTTGTAACGGCCGTGACCATTTTTATTTTTAAAAAAAATTTATCAACCGATTTTTGATCAAGCCTTCCTCGCTCACTATCAAAGTTTCCCTCTCTTGTCGTCGTAACAAATCTCGACTCGATACCACCTACCAACAACATCCTTCTTAAATTATTATCACACCAACAATGAAGTACATGGAATTTCAAGAATTATGGCCTTATAATTGCCTCCTCGACGGTTATGACCTCGGTTGCACGTATTTGTATGGAAAAATCGAAGTATATTCATGTAAGTAATACGAGTTGCAACAAACAGCCTGCTCAAAATGGATTCAATCATGATCATATATTGTCGTGTTCCACAATATACTATTTGTTATCCTATTGTCACTGCTCACTAACACATCATCATCATCACAAAATACAAAATTTCATCTCCTCTTTTGTAATCATCATCACCAATCCGTTTCTTATCACATCGTATGCATCATTTTCAATAACTCCACACAACAACAGGCAAACAAACCTCTCAAGACAAAAAGCTAACGAAGGAGATTGAGAGTCGAAGACGAAATAGTAGTAATGCGTCGCCCGCAACGATGCCCAACAATAACATTTCGAATGGTAACCATCACCTCAACAACGGCAACCATTCATCTTCGACACATTCTCCCTCCTCAACGACATCACCACAAACCATCACTGTGCCAAGCTCCAAGGCTATTGCCATTTCGCCCAAGCAACAAATCGATATTCTCTCTCCGCCTGCTTTGAGCCCTCCAGCCTTCTATGACTTGACGAATCAATTCAACGATGACCCCTTTGGTGAGGAGAAACGGCAAACATTTGTTGATTTGATTGCCACTCTCAACAACTCGTTCCCTGATTATGACTTTAGAAATGTCAAACCAGAGTTCTTTGTCAAGCTCAACCTCCAAGATGCCATCTTCACCATCAACAATTCCCTCCATGATTTGTATGAAAATGAACAATTCAATTCTCTGTGGTCCACCATTAATGAAATTATTGACTTGAATCATTGTGAGGTTTACAGTTATGTACCGGACCAGAATTTGGATGACCCATTCGCTGATCCATTGAGTCTGGGTGGTTCCAAGTTGTGGACTTGGAATTACTTCTTTGTGAACCGAAAGCTGAAGCGTCTCGTTTTCTTTACAGCCTATGGTAAAAGTAAGGCGAGTACGTTGGAGGATGACGAACGTGAAGGCATGATGGTTGGAGACCAATATGACGAAGAAGATTATTTCTATTCCAATCCAAAGAATGCCAATGTGCACTATCAAGACTATGAGAACGATTTTGATGAAGAGATGGTGGATGATTTTGAAGATGTGTAGACTTCACACATTCTCTAAATGAAAAAGGGAAGTAGAGTCGTCAGTTCTATCCACCAATAGGCTCGTTGTCAACATTCTCCTGTTTGAGAAATCTTGGCTGATGAAAGGGACGCGTTTCGAGTCCTTGGTTGCTCCTCACCAAAAGGAAGCTTACACTTACTTTGAACACCACAACGTACATACTTGCATGCCAGTGCGCTCTCGCTTCCGGAGATCTACTCTCAACATTGAGAGAAATGATTCAAGAGGGATTGCGCATCATACATTGCCCGTTGTGTGTGGAAAAGCTGATTCTATTTAAGACTTGCATTCGTTTTCTCTCAGCAACCAAACAAGATTTCCTCTTTCAAGGAAGCTCCAACAACTAGAACGGCCTTCTTCCCTGAGACATGTTTGGGCCATGAATCCAAATAGGTTTGGCGTTTTTCGGTCAGGAAAGCTTGCAAAGGTTTTGCTCTTGAAAAAAGACAACCATACACCAAACCCTCCTCTTGTGCAAGGACTGTGAAATCAAAAAGTGCGTTTGTGTCACTCTCATCACCATGGCCGCAAGGTCGAAGTGATTTGGTTTTCTGATTCTGCCAGTTATTGAGGTTGTTGAAGGTGTGTTGTTGTTGCAGGAACGAAGACCCAGCATGAATATTCTGACGAGGAATTGTCCAACTCTACACAGCCCATTATTAACAATGTACATATCTTCATATCTTCAATAAAACAATTAATTATGATGAATTTGATGAGCTGTGTAAGTTTTGGTGTTGGAATGAAATGATAAGTAGGAGGTTGTTGTGGTGTGATCATGTTACGTAAATTCAAGAGCAAATAAATGGTGGATTGTCTGTGGATGGGCTTGTGTGAACTTTGATGTTGAAAATTTGAAAATAAGGCATGGCAATTGTGACGTGTTCTGTAGAATTGTTTCCTTGTCTCACCGAGAGAATTCCTGTTCAGGACCAACAAATCCTCCAACATCTCTTCCTTCACAACTTGGCTCTCCAGACCAGAGAGTGAGCCCTTCTAGGAGAACAATGAAGGACTTGTCAACCAAGCTGTGTTAGAAGAGGTTTGACAAAGCACATGGAGAGTCAGTCTCCATCTGAACAGAAATATTACCAAGGAAACAATTCAGAAGCAAGAAGAATTGCCTTTGCGTAAAAAAAACACGAGAGTGTACGTGAAGCAAGATAAGCGAATACTTGCTTCATCATGGAACACTCCAATTATTCGGAAGTAAAATGTTGAAAAAGCCACAGGTTTGTTTGTTCTGAAGAGAAAGTTATTGAAACAACACATCAAAGGGACAAACGTTGTTTAAGAGTAGCGAATGAATGAATTTAAATTCAAATGAATTGTCTTTGAGTACTACTTACATGTTGCTAATCTTGTGTACATTGGGATTTATTTAACCCAACCATCAATGATGTGTTGTTGAAGCCGTTTGTACAAAAGGTGCCGATGAGAAACGACAATTCTCTTTCATACGAGAAGTATGCAGAAAACGAGCCAGAGGTGATGACCAAGTTATCTTTGCAAAAGATAAAGACGATAAGGCTGATGACTACTGTGTGGTCATATTCCAACAATAAGCCTTGGCCCTATTGAAGGCTACTCATGATGTTCAAATACGCCAACACATTCCTGCAGCCATCAAGCTTTTATCATCATGGCCATGACCATCACATCCGAGACTCGTTCTCTGCAGTAATCGTCATTTCATCATCGACACACACGAAAGATTTCTTCTTCAGCGGAAAGTACTCTTTGCCATCATACATAAAGGACAGACGGTTGGAAGAGGTGACTTCAGGACTCTGAGAGTGGAGGTTGTTGTGGTGAAGAAAATTTTTTTGAAGTAAACCACTGGTCCTCTGTTGTAAACAGTACGAAAATTTAGTTTTTTGAATTTGCACACACTAACGATACTTGCCTCATGAAACAAAATAGTCCGCAGCCTTTGAATCCAAAAGACACAAGATGTTCCTACTCATCTGCTGGAATTCTCCAATGCAGTAGTGAACAAAGTACAGAGTATGTTAAATTAAAAACACATAGTATGAACTCTCATAAAGGAAATGAACGACAAAATTGTCCCATAAAAAATACTATTACTTTATATTGAAGGTGCTTGTGGACCATCGATCCACAGATTCGCATTCGACCTTCTCCTCACCAGCCTCAACAAGGCATTCTCACCTTCAACAACAAGGAATACACGTGTCATGTCGGAAGAAGTGAAGGGAATTGGACACAAATCAATGGAAGGAGATGGTATCACATCTGTGGGTGAATTTTGCATTCGGATGGGGTTTTATCGACCTGACAAGGTGAAGAGATCTTCTTCATCTCATTCGTTCAATAATCACGATGAAACCAATTATCAAAATCATCACAATAATTTTAATAGCTCCGGACTGGATGCCAACACTGTGAATAATATCAGTAGCAATGATTTTAATGAATCGTCACAAATCAACATCCATGAACACAATATTAACAATGGAAATAACAGCAGATTTGAAAGCGAGGAATTATATCATGATGAAAATTCATCACTGATTTCAAAAATTACTGGTATACCCATAATTGAAATGAAACAAGAATACGGGTGGTGTGACGACATGTTCGATGAAATGCACTACAATCGATTGGTGCGATTACCAATTCCTTCGAGTCATGAAAAATTGTGGAGAGACGATGATTTGTATGACATTGTATTGGTATTGGGCTACAATGATAATCCAGTTATTCTCGGAAAAGGAAGTGCAATATTTATGCACATCACGAATGGAGGTCCCACAAGTGGTTGTATTGCTCTTTCAAGAGAAGATTTGTTTGAAATTTTAACACAAATCACTCCTTACACGACCATCCACATTTCCTTGTAATGTGTCTGGAAGCACAAGTCAGTTGGCACTATTCCGACCAAGAAAGGAAATGTAGTTCTTTTGGTTGAATGACAATCATCATCAAAGTCACTTCATTGGAAGGAGACGCGTATTGTAAAAGCTTGTAGGCATTCAAGCATTTACACTAATTGTTCCATGACCAAATGGAATCTATTTTAGTATCTCCTTCACAATTTGTTTCTCAATTTTTTCGCGACTCTGGCAGAACCACTAACAACTCCAACACTCAATTTTACAAGATCGATTAAAAGAGTACCAACATCAACAATGATTTGAACGGGATCCATTTGTCCCATCTCTTGCATCTGCTGAATGTGAATGGCCAATTCATGCGAATGTTCAATGGTTCGTTCGAGATTTTCAGAGAAGTTGCTTGGCATTTTGAGTTCAATTCGTGGAATGGGGTGGCTTTTTGTTGATTTGCTTGTAATGTTTTTTTTGTTGGCTTGTCAGTAAGGTTTGAACGTCATCTCATTTGCTAAATTGGCTCAATCGTGAAAGTGTTGGAAAATCTGAGAGAAAGAACTTGGCATGATTGCATTTTTCACGTTTTTTAAAATAATCCTAGAAAATTTCGACTGTTGACCAACAGAATTAGCTTCTTATCAGAAGGTTGACTCTTCTTCCTCTCCTTATTTTCCCAAATAAGCACCAAAATAACATTGTTATTCAGAATCATATGTGAAGGGAACAAAAATAAGTTATTATTATTGCGCACATGTAACATGTTACATTTTTGCTGAAACTCTTCGTAATTGTTCAGCACGTCTACTTTTCACAATTTCCGAAGTTTTCAATTGACCACATGCCGCTTGAATATCTTTTCCTTTGGATCTTCTCACACCTGTTCGTATGCCTGCATTTCTCAGCACTGCTCCAAACGCATCAATGGTTTCTGGTGTCGAGCATTCGTACGGAGCTCCAGGCCATGTATTAAATTCAATGAGATGAAAGGCACAAGTAATACCCTTGACTAATTCAACAAGTCTATGAGCCTCAGCAATTGAGTCATTCACACCACGAAGCATGACATATTCAAAAGTCACTTTTCGATCGAGTTCCTTCTTTTGAATCATTTCTCGCAGAGTGTCAAATAAATACTCTAACGGATAGGTCTTATTAATGGGAACCAAAACATCTCGTAAATCATTATAGGTGGCATGAAGTGATATTAATAAATCGACGCCGAGTTCTGTCACAACACGTCTCATGATGGGTACAACCCCACAGGTAGAAATTCCAATTCGTTTTCGAGAAATATTGAGACCATGCTGTTCATTAAGGATTTTCACTGCCTTAAAAACATTCTTGTGATTGTATCTGTTTGGAATTTGAATTTTTACAGGTTATTGAACCCACCATGCAATATATGGACGAATATACACAAAGTGTGTGTGAATATATAAAATAATATAATATAATTGCTTTTAAAAAGAAGAAAAAATTAAGAACTTACAATGGCTCTCCTTGTCCCATAAAGACAATATGTGTAATTCTTTCCATTTGATCAGGTATTGGCAATTGTATATCATTCATTGAATTATTGTCAACTATTTTCCTTCTCTTCTCTCGATACTTCTCTGTCTGAATTGGCAACGAGTAAGCATGAATTGGAAAATTATGATACAATTGTTTTGCATGCATGACTTGTCCAACGATTTCAGCTGCTGTCAAATTTCGTTCTAATTTCTGAGATCCTGTGTGACAAAAACTACAATTCATACTACATCCCACCTGACTCGAAACACACATTGTAATTCTCTCCCTTTCTGGAAAATGCATAACTACTCCCTCTACTTTTCTCTCATCCTCATGTAAATCAAATAAATATTTTCGAGTTTTGTCGAGAGGACTTATCGTTTCAGCACAAATATTCATAGGATATCGAATTTCAAATTTATCTGCAAGTTCATCCATTTCTCGTTTCGTAATCATCACTTTCATGTCATGAAAATTCGTTTGACCCTGTGTGTAAATGTGTGTGAAAATTCGAGTTGCTTTTTGAGGTGTGATGGTAGGAATACTTTCCGAAAGTGTGTCAATAAGTTCTTGTAAAGTAAGACCAATGAGATTTTTCTTTTCATTACTTGTAGATTTGTGACTTGAAAGCATAATAATATCCTTGTCGATTTCGGATGTGTTGTTGTCATTACTGTGTTGGAGATGTTGATGTGAATTTTCGTTATCCGAGTCAAAGGAGAATGATGAACTAAAATTATTTTGAAAATTATAAGAGTTGGATGGGATGTTGGAAGAGAAAGTGTTGTCATGAATATTATTATTATTACTGCAAATTCTAGAATTATGATTTACATTCCTCTCAACTTGACGATTCTCATGAATGGAACATTCCGAACATTCTTCACTCCGTTGAAACCAACAACGATTTGAATGGAAAAGTCTCATCAGTGAATCGCTCATACAAGAGAAGGATCCTTGGAAATGACACACTCCGAAGAAGCAACATGAAAGATGATGACTTGTGCTTTGAATTCGGATGCAATCTTTGCGATTACGGCCAATTACTTGCCAACTCTTTTTGAACATTTTTTTGAACTTCCGTTTCAACACAAGAGGAATGTACTTCGTTCAATTCATGATGATTTGTATTCAAAGAATCAATTAATTCTGAATTGTTGTTATTGGGGAAACGTTAATATAAACTTACGTTCTTAAAAACAAAAAATAATGTTGAAAAACTAAGTAATATTGCCGGCTGTATCGAATGACTCTGGCAAGAGGATCCTCTAGGAGCGAGAGATGATGGCCACATACTTTTGAAAAGAGAGCTCCCGAATATGAAAGACATTGATGCAATCAATAGACGTTGAATACTTGAGACCTTCCTTGATGCCCGATGGTTTTCCCGAGTGTTGTCGATGAGAGAGATAATACCATTTGATAAATTTAAATTCATCATCATCATCAGGATTATTAGTATTATTATACAGTGTGTCATCTGTGTGTTGTATCGATATTTCCTCTTCATCCCAAAAATTCATGACGTTATTCTTGTTTGGATCATCTTCAGTAAGGAATAAGAAAACAACAACAACAATAACCCACAAACAACAGAATAACAACAATTATTCATCATCAACCGCTGTGGAAAGGAATAACAAATCACCAAAGGGTTCTTCTCTACGTTCTTCCGTTGTCATTCAGGAAGAAAAGGTCAATGGAACAACGTCGTCAACCCATTCAAAACACAAAAAAGGAGGCTCCTCTGCTCAACAGTCAACGAATCAAAAGTCATCGAGACATTCCGTGAATGATGATGTCAACAAAGAAGAGAACCACCTTGATGATCATCATCAGTCGCTGGAACTTGATGCAAGTCATATTGTTGAAGTTCCTCCATTGAATCAACTCTTACCTGATATCAACAAACGACCTTCTCATCATGCTTTGCCAAGAGAAGACTCGTTTGAAACTTTGAAATCACCTTGTCAGATACCTCAAATTGCATCAATCAACTCTTCCTCTACATCGTCCTCTTCACCTTTACATTCACCTCATCAACGAACAGAATTCTCATCAAGGAGAAAAAAAATTTCTCACCAGGTGGGTTCTTCGAATGGTGATGAAGGTCACGTCAAGAGGCATGTATTGAAATCTACAAATTCTGTGCGATTATTGGACACTTTTCAGAAAATGAGCAGCACTAGAACCTTAATCAAACAAGACCCTGCTTTTGAAAGCAAATTAATTGAATATGAAGAAAAGAGACCAAAACAAGAGATGGAAGAGTGTAAAAAGATGGTTTTCTCTCAGTTGGATGACATGAGGAAGGTTTCACCCACCTCCATATACGATAATTCATTTTCGAACGCCCAACCTGTGAAAACTTATGCATCAAAGAATAGAGGATCCGATAGAGTTAGAAACGACGATGAATATTCAGACGAAGAAGAACAAGATTTGGCCTATTCGAAAAGAGAAATTGGTAAATTATATGCCAAAGAAATTGGAAGAGAAAGTTTGCATCTCATATGCAAAGTTAGACGAAATATGAAGAAACAAGACAGTTTCATACAAGAATTGAATGATACCAATATTAAGGAAAAGTTTGAAAGAAATATGAGCTTATTGAAGGGTTATGGAACGAATAAGCAACACGGATTGAAAGTGATGGAGTAGTAGTATTTATTTATTAAGACTCCTACCTGTATTACACAAATTTCCAAATTCTATAATTACAATAATTACGACAATGCCTGTCTCAAAGCGCCTTTAACCTCACTCACACAAATTAAAACTAAAAAAACTTTTATAACAATAATTTATTTCACAATTTCAAGTCCGAGTTACTCTCATGATAAATCAAAGCTTCCTCCTCCCATTTGAATCGCCACACCCATCTTTGCTCTCAACACTTCGAGTGATGAGTATGCAGGGAGCTTTAAATAATGGAAGCAGGTGTTGCAAGTGGGAAGCTCATTATCTGGTGACTCAACTGTCTTTTTCACTACCGTTAACTTGGGGTGTAATGACCTCAAACCGCCAACAGGCACTCGACCGCTTCCAGTTGTGAATTGTAAGAACAATCTCTGTTCATTGGCATTCAACTCAAGCAACCAATCAATCAAGTATTTGATTGTTTCAGATTCAAACGTGTATCCATGTGAACATTGAATACATTGTATGAGAGTTTCTCGGCTATTCCACAATTCATCACATCCTCTAATAAGAATGGACAGTTCTTGTGGTGTGAAGCATTGCAAACTTGAAATTCCATGGCTGAATGATAACACTTCACCAAAACCATATTCTATACACCAGAGCTGTTCTTCAATTCCTTCCTTGCAAAGATAACGAGATAAATAATCACAATACTTTTCAATGTTATGAATGGTGACATCCTCATCCATTCCATTCTCAATCAAATTGTAATTTCCAAATTGGAATTGCAAACATAATTGATCTATATCATTGGAAAGTTTCTTCCATTCATCTTGATTTTCTTCCACCTTGCACAATTGTTTTCTATTCCGACATGTAAGGATATGTTTTAAAGAGTTATAAATACGAGGTTGAATTTGAGCATAATCATAAAGGGAAAGTTGGTCTTTCACTGGATTGGTCAATAGTTCTAACATTGGTAAATTACATTCCATATCTAAAAGACGACCATCCTCCAAACCTTTTGCAATCAACGATCCAACTAGAATAAATAATTTTCGTTTTGATTCAGGGAGAGCCAATCTATCTTGCCTCAATTGAGGGAAAATTCCAAAGGAACTTGTCACATATTCTCCTTCTTCAGATTCATCCATCCAAAGATTGTTGACCTTCTTTTGTAATTGTTTAGAGATTAAATCATAGTAAGCTAAAGTTGGACCTAATCCAATGCCAGCTTCATTTTCATACTCAAATTCGAGTGTATATTTGCTTGGATAGTGGAGAGGTTGAATTTCTGTCAATGTTTGTGAAACAATAGATTCTCGATCAACAATTTTCACACGCTCCATCTTCTTTCTGCCAATTCTAGTTTCGCTTGATACACCTGTTGCATTGGAGTGTGTCTGTAATAGTTGAGAGGCATACAAAGTAGCTCCACTCCATTTGGAGAAAAAATTCCTTCTTGTGGAGAATGGAAGAAGAAATCCACAATATCTGGTTAAGATGTACATCCATGATGGAAGAGTATGAGTGGTAATGGCTACAAGTATTCCAAGAAATTGTGATGATTGTTGTTGCATGATGAATTTGCTTGAAAGTTGCATATTTTGAAAAGATGCACTATTAACAGTTTGACTCTCATTTAAGGAGTAAAGTATCTTCAAAAATATTAAACAGTTGATGAGATGAGAAGCTGCTTCTGATTTGTCCAAAGTATTGCTCATTTCAACGCTGAATTGTTTGATCCATTTCAATAACTGATGCATGTTGTAAGACGATTGTGTAAAGAAATTTTCAACGGATGAAGATTTGGTGCTTTTTTTGTGTTCCAAGAACTTGTCCAGTTTTTTTTTGCAATCTAAAATCTTGTACTTGATGTCATGACTTGGCAAATTAAAAAATTCAGAAGTAAGTGATTCGTTCACAGTGACGAGGGAATCATCTTTCATAGCACGAAGTTTTGCCTCGAAATAGGTCAGAGAAGGATCTGAGCATACCTTTCCATTAATGTAAATTTCAACATCTATGTTTGCACTGGATAAAGATTGGACTTGCTTTTTGATAAAGTTTTCAATACTTCTGATAGTGGCCAATGGTTCGACTTGAATTCCTGAACTGGCCCAAGCTCCAATTTTCTTGTTATCATGGCATTCAATATTCAAGTAGATGGTATTTCCGAATTTCTTGATCGTGCTCTCTGAGAAAGTATTCTCAAAAAACTTGAAAAATTTTTCAGACAACTTTTCAAGCAAGGAATGGCTCAGGTCAATCAGATTGGAGTATGTTGATGCATTTTGTGATACGAGTTTTGCAAATTCTGCAATAAGCGTACCTTGTTGATCAGTTGGAGTTTGTAGAAGACTGTTCACAAACACGGTTGAAAAGCCACATTTCTGAAATTGGTATGCTGAAATATTAGATCCTGATCGAAACAAGGAAATTATGTCTTGTAAAGCTTTGTCGTCCAATACCAGTAACCGTTTACATAAATTTTCTAATTGAATCTCTTCTTCTGTGTGATGACTTGTAGTATGAATTTGATCCTTGAAGAAGGTATTCAAAATGTGTTGAGAGCTCTCTTGAATCACCTTAAAAGCATTCAGCTCTAACTCGTTCATACTATCCTTGGACATGGCGCTGATACTATTAAAGCTTGATATCATTCCTTCACGAATGAAAATACTCTTCAACGTCGCTTGATCAGACGGTAAATGAGAGAGAAGAAGTAGCATCACTTTCAAGCAATTTGAAATAACAACCGTGTCAAATTTGCTCATGGTGTTGAAATCATGAACGGAGACATTCAAATAAGCAGGAACAGTGATATTCTCATGTTGTTGAGAGTCTAATAGGTTTTCTATGCTTGATATGGAAGAAGAGCCCTCTACAGAAAGACATTGATTCAAAGTTTTGATCGTAAACTTGGCTACAGATTCCCAGAAGAGAGAGTTATCTTGAAGAGTGGTGTTGTGATTGGATGACTTGAGACAAGTGTTAATAAATTTGCAAATGAGGCTCAAACAGTCTTTTCTGTAAAACTCATTGGTTGACAACGTCATGAGAGGTTCAAACAATTCTTGTAATGCAAAAGAGCTGATTTTGGTCTGATCAGATGATGACAGTTTAGAGAAGGCTCCTGATTTTGAATATTTCTCTTTGGTTTTAGAGATGGTCGGTTTAGTGCTGTTGCTGGATATTCTTCTTCTAAATTGAGGAGTGGATGGAGATTCATGTTGAGAAGAGCTGCTGCTTGTTTTTTGTTTCTTGAAAAATCTCTTAAAGAAACCCTTGTTTGATTCTGTACTCTCTTCACTCGATGAGGGAGGAGTGTTTGGAGATTGCTTGGTTGGCTCTTCTCTTATTTCAATACAAATTTCTCTCGAGAATGAGAACGGTAGAGGATTTCTCTTCATATTTCTTGTGACTCCACCTTGTTGTTTCATTTCCATGAGATCAATTCTATAGCTTCTTCCAAGGACCATTAAATTGAAAGGAGTTTCTACATTTCCTGAACGGTAATGTTTTTCTAATTCAACATTGGCATTCTCATCATATTCATTCATATTATGGTAATCGTCTTCCCAGTAATACTTGCTATTTCCGTAAATATAGATGGGAATTGTACCACCACATTCATCATCTTCCACTTCAGGAAATAAATTGTTGAGTAAATGCAAAATACAATCCTGTAATAAGGAAAAATCATGGCTCGATTTTTCATGGGTAGAGAACATCAATTCTTGCTGTTGAGGATCAATCCACTTTCTAAGAATTGACATGAAAGTTTTCGCCAAAGGAGTGGCATTAGTGGTTGGTACTGAAGGGTTGAGTAGATGATTGATGACTTCTGGAGATGCATCACAATATAGGGAAAGAGTATTCAAAATGTACTGAGAAATTTTACATGATGAAAGAGAGACAATGTTAGAGGCATCATTCAATTTCTCAACCATGTTAGAAAGCATGGATATGTTTGCGACTCTTCTTGCAACTTGTTCCATAATACTCTCAGATGTGCCCATTGATGAACAAGTTGCTGTTCCAGACTTTGTCGATGATTTTCGTTTCGTTGGTTTCTTCTCAGAGCTATCTGATAATTTTCCTTTCTGGAATCTACTTCGTTCAAGTATATAGGCAAAGCAATGACAAATAATTTCAAACATTTCTAGAGATTGACGTATACTGTTAATATCGCCACTTGCATTGGAAAGGGTTGCATGTCCAGAAATATTTCGGATTTGTCTGATCAATGCATCCAAAGCACCTGCTTGTTCGATGAAAATTGGAAAGTCTTCCTTCACATGCATCTTTCTAAACAAGTTGCAAATAGTTTTTAGAGCAGAAAGTTTGATCCTAACTCCCATTTGAGGGCTATCCAAACATCCAAGTAAAACACTCAAAAATCCGACATTTTTCGTTGGTGATGATGATGATTTTTTGATTGAGCTCGAGGATTTTGTGTTGTTGCTGCCACTCTGATCATCTGTATTGTCACTATTCGTTTGTGCATTCAACAATGCTGTTGGTTCTTCAATACTGATCTTGTCAAAACATTTTAGAATTTCCTCCAGCATGCCTTCGTTGACTAAATTTCCGAATAATTCTTTCGAGAGTGGTCTCGCATCGTCATGACGACTTGTTTGATCCGAAGCTTCCAGTAATGATGAACTATCAGCACTACTATTGTAAATGTTGTCAACTTTGGATTCTTGATTGTCAGAAAATATTTGTAACAAATCTAACATGACCGGTATGGGATTATAACTCAACACAGTTGGACAACTTCGGGGCACCATGTCTAGAATTGAACCGAGTGCTCTCAAAATTAAAGTGATGATTTCTCTCGAGTCGTTCCATTTTCCTTGCAATGATGAGACATCCTCGAGATTTCCACTGTTGACCTCTTGCTCAATTCGTTTCACTTCGGAAAGTCTATCCTGTAAAATCGGAGTTAACACGCTCGACCATCCATATACATCAAAACCAGAAATAAAATCCTCCAATCCGATACACAAGAAAGTACACAACTCATTGAGACTGTTTATTCTCTCTTGATCGCTCGAGAGATTTTGAAAATCGCTTGAACTCATGCTCATAGAGCCAAAACCAAAGTTTTCGTCCTCTTCCATTTTTTTATGGGTTATTTTTGAATTTTTGAATGGACGTTCCATCGTTCCATCTGGACAACAGGTTTGTGTCAGATGATTTTATTTGCAAGAACTCCGAATTTCACACTCACCTACAATAGTAGGCACAGGTTTTTGCCGTTCTTTTTCTTTTTTGAAACTCTTCCGTACAAGCTAACTCGAATGGCATCATCAAATACCTTCTTAAGGCCCTGTTTTGTTTTGGCAGAGCATTCTGCAAATCCTGCACAGTCCAATTCCTCTGCCAACTCAAGACCTTCCTTGTATGTTACAACTCTTTCTTCTGGATCCCCTCTAGCTTCCATATTCTTCACATAATTAACATCATTTCTCAAATCTAGCTTGGTTCCGACCAAAATAACATGTGCGGATGGGCAATGTTTTGTAATTTCTGAGTACCATTTCAGTTTGGCATTGACAAAGCTCGAGTACTGAACTAGAGAAAAACAAAGTAAGAATACATTGGTATCTGGATATGACAAGGGTCTTTTGTTTGTGTCGTTCAAACGAGCATTGGAGAGAGAATTGTGTTTCAACAGGTTGCAAGTTGTAACAAAGATTCGTGTTATCAAATTTGCCCAATCATTGTTATAGCTCTTACCTTAATCGATCGTAGTCTTCTTGACCGGCTAGTTTGTTTTAATTTACGAGTGATTAATTCATCAACAGGTCATGATTTTTTGTTCGAGTTCGGAACATTCATACAAATTCAACCACTTACCTGTGTCCCATAAAGTAAGATTTACAGGCTTTTGATCTACATAAACAGTACAGCCCTATATTTACCAAGATTTTTTAATTCATTCAAATGAGAATGATTGAGAAGGAAAGCAGCAAGGAAAATGATCCGAGTGAGGTCGGACAATGTATACCAGTTTCATTGTTAGGCATGAGATGATCATTTATACAATCTGTAGCTCTCTTGAAGCACTTACGTAATTATCAAATACTGTAGGTACATAGTCGTTCATAAATTCCTTTCCGGCATAGACAATCAACAAGCAAGTCTTTCCCACATTTCCATCACCTGAGGTATCATGATGACGGTTGGATAACAATCCCAATAAAGAGTAATACCGAAGAAACACGGACGTTTGATTTAATGGAAACACCCTCAAAGTCTTACTTACCCACAACAACAATTTTTACTGTGGTAGCCTCTGACGTTGAATTGTTTACGTTGCTCATATTTTTTTTTGTGAGATTACCACATTTGGACACATAGCATATCAAGAGTGGACTATGAAATCTTGAGTAAATAAGTAATACTTAAGTAATAAATTATTCTTCATTTGTTACATGATTCAATAACTAACTCCAAGATGAAAAAAAGTTATTCAATCAACTATTGATATTTGCAACCAAATGATCCGTAATGTATCTGTAAATATGACGTCTGTTGTCAATAGAGTGGTCCTTATTGGTATAGACCATTAAATCGAACTGAACCAATTTGTCTTGTAAGAGGGACATTAAATTAAAGCTATTAATTGGGTGGACATTATCATCTCGTGATCCGAAAGCAAGGGAGAATTTCTTCGATGATTGCGCAACATCTCCATTGGAAAGCTTGGTTGGTAATAGAGGGCATTTTGGATCTTGAACTTGATTCAATACACTACTTTTCTTGTATCCAGAAGGATTCACCGATGGCCATAACATGTATCGTTCGGTGTAAGCAGTATCATAGTATGTCCAATCTGTCACAGGGGCAACGCTCACAGCTGCCTTGAATGGAAGAGTTTCAGTATTGGTGTTATTCTCAGAGAATGTTAGAGTCTTGGAAGAAAGATAACCACCGTAGGACCAACCCCATATTGCAATCTTTGCACTATCTACATAGGACAAACTCTTAAGATATTTGGCAACAGCAATTTGATCCTTCACTTCGTAATAACCCAAATTCAAATAGGTTTGAGTCATAAAATTAACTCCTCTATAACCCGTTCCTCGACCATCTACAGTCGCTACAATAAAACCAATGGAGGCCAAATACAGTGAGAAAGAGTTGTGCATAGATCTCCAATTATAATTGACAAGTTGTGAACCTGGACCATTGTAGCTATAAATAACGACAGGATACTTGACATCATTTTCTCCATTCCATTGAGGTGGATAAATGAAAAGAACATTCAATTTGTCTCCATTGTCGTTTTGAACTTGAGTGACCTTCACCTTTGGCATTAACAATTCAGTTTCTACTGTTTGTTTAAGTCCTGAATTCTCGGAAACATTGTATCCGGCATTTGCAGCATTAGCAATGAGTGAAGATACTGAGTACAAGGTGGAGAATGGATATTGTGGACCTCCATAATTCAAAATTGCATAATTTCCATTCACGCTAAATGATGCATCAAAGTAAGATCCACCATCTGTTGCTGAGGTTGAACTATTTTTGCTTAGCAAGGTAATCTTTCCATCGAGAGTGGTACCATAAATTTGTCTCTGAATTCCATTTGAATCAACTGTTGTTTGGAAATATATATTGTTAATATTTTGGGAATAGATTCGATAGACTTGAGTGACATCGAAATCTCCACTTGTCAAATATCTCACAAAAGTATAATTTGTAGGTTTGGAATAATCAAAAAGAGCAAGATGATAATGATCAAGATATGGAACAATATCAACGAAATAAGTAGTTTGAGGAATAAAGTAACTTGAACCTTGCGCATATTGGATCCATCGATCTGTGTTAACAGTATGAACAATACGAGTTGGAATTATACCTTGTGCAGAGGTTTGTGTCACATCACCGAGTAAAATATCTTTTTGATTTTGACGTCTGTTCACACGTACAACAGCTACTTGAGTGTTCGATGCCCACATTAAATCATAGACATAATTTTCATCCTCAATATTGGTAGGATATGGAGTTTGACCAATGTCCACTTGAGTGGTGACATCACTTCCCAAATCGTATACATGAACAGATGGAATTGGATTATGATCACCTGGTGTTGGAATTCTTACTTCTAAATATTCGGCATTAGTATTGGTAATGATATATTCAGGAAGTTGAACTAATGGAACTTGGCTATCATTCAATTTGAGATAGGTTATCTTTGAACAATCTGGTGAGAAGAAGAACGTATCAACTCCTGCAATAACTTCTTCTTCATAGACCCAGTCAGCAACACCATTGAAAATTAATTCAAAAGAACCATCTGTTGTGATTGGTTTTAGAACCTTGGTTTCACCAGTTACTGCATCAAATGTGTGAATGAAAATGTTGTTTTCTTGTACAAATGCAGCAACAACTTGATTTGAATTTCCATAAGAAGGGTTACACCATTTCATAATTGTTTGCTTTGGAGCTTGAGGATTTGAAAGAGTAGTGACCTTCTTGGTAACAGTATCCAAAACAATAAATCTGCTGAGACTAGAGTGACGCCAAACATGTTCTACGTCCATCTCAAAAGAAACAAATCGTTCCTCTGCTTGAATCAAGAAGGATGTGTAACAGGCAATGTTATTAGAGAGGAGTAACTCGGATGACAGGAAAACGCTCTCACTCTTCGTGTTAGTATCAAATTTCATGATATCACATTGAGTAGAAACACCAACTCCTTTAAAGGTTCTCACACTAGCCATATTTTCGAAGGTATGGGTCAATACATTCTCTCGAGTTTTTCCACTTCCTTCCGAAGTTGTATCATTCCTCAATTTCCAATAATAATAGAAATTTTCTTTGCTTGGATTCTTGGACCAAGAGGCATCAAGTGATTGTGTCGCAAAGGTGCCATTGAAAATATCATTGAATACGATGGATCTCTTGATGGTCTTTTCCTCATAGGTGAGTATTAAAACAGCAATCACCACGGTGATAATTCCAGTAATCATCAGTCCCAGAACAATATATAAAATTCGAGTGAATAATTGTTGACGTCGTTTCTTCACTTCTTCAGGAGAGAGCTCTCCGGACTGAACGTTGCCAGTAGATTGGTCAATGGGATTCTGATGAAGGCGCTCTCTTTCACTCATTTTTTGTTCTCAAAAATCTTTTGGATGACATCCAAAAAGTCAAAAAGTGTCTTATATTGTACAAGGAAAAATCATTTTACAAGTGAGGTGTTTGTTCTGAACTATTGAATGTCCTTATTGGTAGATTTTTTGGTTTTGGATTTTCCATTATTCAACTGCTCGAGCGAATGTTTAATCATCTGCATGGTCCTTTCCACCTTACTTTTAATACTCGTGTCGTGCTGGTCCGAAGAACGATTATTTTCCTTGTTGTGGAATTTATCGCCATTCTTTCTCTCCATGTCATCTAAGAGAATTCCAATCTTTTTACCATTTCTTTTCAAGTCACACAACAACATGACAGATTTAGGATCCATTCCCGTTGCATATTCCTTTCCTAATTGCCCAAGCTGTTCTTCTGGTTGTGTTTCTTCTTGATCACTTTCTCCATCCTTTGAATAGACATAAGGTTTCAGGTTGATCTTGTCATCTGAAATTAAACTCGATTCATACTCAAACAAATGATTGTCAAATGTTGGATCGTTCTTGAGGGTTTTTCGTTGTTCGGTAATTTTTTGGAAGGTATTCACAAGCCGAGGAGATGACACAAGACTTCCCAAATGTCCAGATGAAACTCTGGATCGTCCAGATGTTACAGAGTACATTGAATTTCTTCTCGAAAGCGGTGGAGGAGGAGTTAGTAAATTCGAGGATGACGTTGATTTTGAAAGGAAGGGATACTTATGATGGTTCAAGCTTGGAGTTAATAATCTTGATGATTGTTGTAATGCTTTGTTATCAGAAGAAAGGCCTGTTGTTTGTTCACTCGGACCCTCAATGCAAAGGCTTACCATCGTGGAGGAAGAAGAAACATGCCTTATTTGCTCCTGCTTCGACGTTTTGGCTTCCGTGTGATTAATATTTGGTTTTAAATGATGAGAGGACCCTTGCGAAGGAAGTAAATTGTACGAGATGCATCTACGAGGAGCTTTGCAATCTTGTGTAATTAACAAGGACGAAGAGCTCTGCACTGGAGATAATTTCTTTTCTGTTGTTGAAGATGACTGTATTGTTGTGGGTGAATCGATGAGTTTTCCATCATCTTCAATTTCTTCATCGTAATGAAGTGGCTGAGAATCATCATCTTCTCCTTCATAAGAAGATGAATAATCAGAGTTCGTGTTGCTATGACTGGTGTTGTTGTTATTATTAATATAAACATTGGATGAATTAAGATTATTTGATAAGGTTGTAGTATTAGAGTTGGGAGAAAGCATCATCAACTTATTCGGTTGTGAAGGGTTATTCGGAGATGGTGATGAAGTCTTTGGGCTCATCCTTGTTGGGTTACGAGCTGAAATTAATGGGGAGCTCTGCCGTGAGTTGCTGCTCTTTGAAGATTTAGGTGATAACATTATTTCAATAAAGCTAGCATGAGTTAAGTTTGTTAGTGATGGTTGGGAGGAATCAATGAAGAGAGCGGGTGCGCGAAACAATGCAATAGTGAGAGGTTTTTTTGGTAGGCCTCGTGATTTGTGGAGCACTATTACCAATTTTGATTTCGAAATTGTGGAGCACGCGATGTGGCACAAGGCTTCTGTTTCTCGGGGTTTGTGTCCCAGAATAGGATCTGAATATCAATACAACACTTGTTTTGCTGTTGTTGTTGAAACAATTTCTTTCTCAATGAACATTCAAAGGCTTCACCGTGTATGAGCGACAACAAGTCCATACCAAAGGAAGTAGCCAATTGAAAACTATTCATACCATTTGAATTTTTCAAGAGATTCAATATGGCAAGTAAGGTTGGGATCACTTTGAGGTGTTGTTGGTTTTGATGGGGCAGCGTTGTATCTCGTTGCAAAGCTCTCGTTGCGTGTTGATCTTTGCCAGTTGCAAGCATGACAATATTGTCGTTTGAATAATCATGTTGATGTGAAGGTGCGGAAGAAGTACTGTTCGTCCTTGGCCAATGAACATTAGAAGCTCTGAGAATCATTAGAGGTAAGGAATTATGATCATTTTCATTAGAAATGTGAAAGGGTGGCATGGTAGTAGCTGGTAAAAAGCAGCATGTAGTGAAATTTCTTGTTTCGTGTGTTTGATTTGTCTTTTCCAAATGACGTTCGAGAGATAAGATCATTCTTTGAAGCAAGTGTGAACAAACTTTCAATCCATTATCAAAGAGTGGAGAGTAAACAATGTTGGAATTGCTGAATTGCATCATTCTTAAACACGACATGATTGGAATTTCTCCAATGTCGTTTTGTTGAAATAACAAGTCATCGATCCTAAAATCCCGAACAGGAGCTGATTCATTGCTTGCTGTTGTTGCGAGACTGTGACACCTTGTAGAAGCCATCACATCCAATCGATGGAGCAGTTCCATCACAATGAATGGATTCACTTGCTGAGAAGCAATATGGAGAGCATTCCATCCATCACCCAAAGAGAGACATAAATGTTGATGTTCGTGAGGATGTCTTGTTTTGACTCGCTTTGTCGATACATTTTCATTTTCGTATTCGTCACTGTTGGTAACATCAAAATCTTCATCCACTCGTCTAATAGATAAAGTACGTTTTTGAGAGGAGTGTGCAGCTTGAAGAGGAATCGAGAGCGATGTATTGCAGTGTGAAGCCAAAATATTTCGGACATGGTCCAAATCGCAAATTTCAATGCTGTTGAAAAGAGTGTAAGTGGTATCAATCGATGAACGAAAGGATAAATTCATTGGTGTAACGTTTTTTTTTGAAAGTTTGGTGGTTGCCAAAATGGAGTTGACATTCGACATTGTTCTTTTCATTAACGTCATGTTGAATTAAACAACATGTCTTATAATTCAATACATTATGACTTCATATCAAGATGCGTCTGACAACTACCTGATTTCGTTGACAACCCTTTCAGTGGAATTCAGACCATGTCACCATATAAAGTACAAGAATAAAGTATTGAACACGATGATTTCACAACAAGAAGTCATCATTTTAAAACGCAGTCAAATGTCTTCACCATTCTCTTATGCATGCGCAACGCAGTTTTTGGGTTACGCAAAGCCAGTTGGAGAAAGGACTTTTGCTGGACTAATTCTAGAGGAAAAGAAGGAGAAAACCAGAGAAACGCAAGGAAGCAGGATGGAGGAAGAGACGAAGACTCCATGATGTGAGGTCACATTTAAGCAATTGCTTGATAAATCCATGAAAATCATGAGAACATGATGAATTAAATAAATATTAATCTTCTCATCTTAATTGAGGTTAGGGTTTTGTGTTAGTTGTATATAGCACGGTGGCCAACTCCTGCGAATTTTTTTGGGAACACCAAGCTACGAGAAAACTTTTCGCTGCAAATTATTTTAAAACAACGATCATAGGATGATTTTATGATGGTTTCAATCCATCAAAACTTGCCAATTCAATTTATTGTTGCTGACACATGAAGGAAACACCACATCACTAATGGTGTCTCAAAACGATGAATTGGCACTACAAGAGCCATGGTGGTTGCTTCTTAAAAATTTATCGTCCATGGAGGACTGAAATTGTGACTGAGTTGAAGATGAACATTCCCGCTCATCACAATCACATGACCGACATCATCTCCCTCTCAAACAGTCATTACACACTCTCAAACCACAATCCTTACATGGAGTTAACGATAAACATTATTTGTGGCATGAATTGCATAGCAATGTTGGCATATTTGGATGGCAGATCTGGGTTTGGGTTTGGGTTTGGGTTTGGGTTTGGGTTTTGGTTTTGGTTTTGGTTTTGGTTTGGGTTTGGGTTTGGGTTTGGGTTTGGGTTTGGGTTTGGGTTTGGGTTTGGGTTTGGGTTTGGGTTTGGGTTTGGGTTTGGGTTTGGGTTTGGGTTTGGGTTTGGGTTTGGGTTTGGGTTTGGGTTTGGGTTTGGGTTTGGGTTTGGGTTTGGGTTTGGGTTTGGGTTTGGGTTTGGGTTTGGGTTTGGGTTTGGGTTTGGGTTTGGGTTTGGGTTTGGGTTTGGGTTTGGGTTTGGGTTTGGGTTTGGGTTTGGGTTTGGGTTTGGGTTTGGGTTTGGGTTTGGGTTTGGGTTTGGGTTTGGGTTTGGGTTTGGGTTTGGGTTTGGGTTTGGGTTTGGGTTTGGGTTTGGGTTTGGGTTTGGGTTTGGGTTTGGGTTTGGGTTTGGGTTTGGGTTTGGGTTTGGGTTTGGGTTTGGGTTTGGGTTTGGGTTTGGGTTTGGGTTTGGGTTTGGGTTTGGGTTTGGGTTTGGGTTTGGGTTTGGGTTTGGGTTTGGGTTTGGGTTTGGGTTTGGGTTTGGGTTTGGGTTTGGGTTTGGGTTTGGGTTTGGGTTTGGGTTTGGGTTTGGGTTTGGGTTTGGGTTTGGGTTTGGGTTTGGGTTTGGGTTTGGGTTTGGGTTTGGGTTTGGGTTTGGGTTTGGGTTTGGGTTTGGGTTTGGGTTTGGGTTTGGGTTTGGGTTTGGGTTTGGGTTTGGGTTTGGGTTTGGGTTTGGGTTTGGGTTTGGGTTTGGGTTTGGGTTTGGGTTTGGGTTTGGGTTTGGGTTTGGGTTTGGGTTTGGGTTTGGGTTTGGGTTTGGGTTTGGGTTTGGGTTTGGGTTTGGGTTTGGGTTTTGGGTTTGGGTTTGGGTTTGGGTTTGGGTTTGGGTTTGGGTTTGGGTTTGGGTTTGGGTTTGGGTTTGGGTTTGGGTTTGGGTTTGGGTTTGGGTTTGGGTTTGGGTTTGGGTTTGGGTTTGGGTTTGGGTTTGGGTTTGGGTTTGGGTTTGGGTTTGGGTTTTTTGGGTTTGGGTTTGGTTTGGGTTT